TAAAAAATAAACAAACGGTGACCTAAAATTGTGAATCGCTCTCCTAATTTAAGAAACATATTCGTAATTAGAACGATTGAGTCCCTTTATACTTTTATACTGGATGTCGAAAAAGTCAAATTCTTCATGCGCGATTAGGAATGAATAGAAGTTCTTTAAACTGTCACTTGTTTCCAAGAAATTTAGTTTCTTCTCCTGACTGTCGCTGGGGTGATTTGGATACTAACTCACATTTTTAATTATTTTGCCCATTATATTCGGAAATAAGACAAGAAATGATAATCTCATTTGGAAGCCTCCAATTAACAGTACCAATGGACACTGAATAACTTACAAACGCTCAAATATGATTTCAAATGAAGAAAACATTAGTTTATTTCTTATGGTACAAAAGTTCATTATTAAATCTTAAAGGTTTACAAACTAATAATTCACACAATGTACATATAAGTATCTTATTAGTTGCATTTTTCTTTTCTTTTTCAGTTCATTATGAAACTCAACTGACTTTATCAATATTTTTATTATGTAACAGAGCATGTAGTTTAGATTCATTAGCTCACCTGGTCTAAAAGGCCACGTGAGCTTTTCTCATCACTTGGCGTCCGTCGTCCGTCGTCCGTCGTCCGTCGTCGTCGTTCGTCGTTAACTTTTACAAAAATTTTCTCCTCTGAAACTACAGGACCAAATTTAACCAGACTTGGCCACAATCATCATTGGGGTATCTTGTTTAAAAAATGTGTCTGATGACCCGGCCCGCCAACCAAGATAGCCGCCATGGCTAAAAATAGAACATGTGGGTAAAATGTAGATTTTGGCTTATATCTGTGATATAAAAGCATTGTGAGCAAATCTGACCGGGTAAAATTGTTCATCAGGTTTTGATCTATCTGTCCTGATCGAGTCCCTTTATACTTTTATACTGGATGTCGAAAAAGTCAAATTCTTCATGCGCGATTAGGAATGAATAGAAGTTCTTTAAACTGTCACTTGTTTCCAAGAAATTTAGTTTCTTCTCCTGACTGTCGCTGGGGTGATTTGGATACTAACTCACATTTTTAATTATTTTGCCCATTATATTCGGAAATAAGACAAGAAATGATAATCTCATTTGGAAGCCTCCAATTAACAGTACCAATGGACACTGAATAACTTACAAACGCTCAAATATGATTTCAAATGAAGAAAACATTAGTTTATTTCTTATGGTACAAAAGTTCATTATTAAATCTTAAAGGTTTACAAACTAATATTTCACACAATGTACATATAAGTATCTTATTAGTTGCATTTTTCTTTTCTTTTTCAGTTCATTATGAAACTCAACTGACTTTATCAATATTTTTATTATGTAACAGAGCATGTAGTTTAGATTCATTAGCTCACCTGGCCTAAAAGGCCACGTGAGCTTTTCTCATCACTTGGCGTCCGTCGTCCGTCGACCGTCGTCCGTCGTCGTCGTTCGTCGTTAACTTTTACAAAAATCTTCTCCTCTGAAACTACAGGACCAAATTTAACCAGACTTGGCCACAATCATCATTGGGGTATCTTGTTTAAAAAATGTGTCTGATGACCCGGCCCGCCAACCAAGATAGCCGCCATGGCTAAAAATAGAACATGTGGGTAAAATGTAGATTTTGGCTTATATCTGTGATATAAAAGCATTGTGAGCAAATCTGACCGGGTAAAATTGTTCATCAGGTTTTGATCTATCTGTCCTGAAATTTTCAGACAAATCAGACAACCCATTGTTTGGTTGCTGCCCCTGAATTGGTAGTTTTAAGAACATTTTGCAGTTTTTGGTTATTATTTTCAATATTATTATAGATAGAGATAACTGTAAGCAGCAATAATGTACAGCAAAGTAAGATCTACAAATAAGTCAACATGACTAAAATGGTCAATTGACTCGTTTAGGAGTTATTGCCCTTTATAGTCAATTTTTTGTTATCTTTTACAAAAATCTTCTCCTCTGAAACTACTGAGACAAATTTAACCAAATTTGGCCGCAATCATTATTAGGGTATCTAGTTTAAAAAATGTGTCCGATGACCCCGCCTACCAACCAATATGGCCGACATGGCTAAAAATAGAACATAGGGGTAAAATGCAAGTTTTGTCTATTAATTTTTGAACCGTGATAAATAGAAAAAATCTGAAAGGAGCAAAAATGTTCAGAATGAGCTCTACCAATTGTCCAGATACGTCAAAACTGTTAGACAAATTTTTATAGGAGTTATTGCCCATAAATGACAAATTTTACCATTTTTTTTTTCATTTTTGCCCATTATCATGAAGACTATGACATTTAGAGAGAAACATTTTTTTTTTCCCGTTATGCCTTATATGATTTATATTATAATAGATAAATAAACACTTTAAATCACAAAAATGATCAGCAAGGCAAGATCTATCAAAAAGTCAAATGTTGCCAATATAGTTAGTAGACTGTCACTCTTCATAGGAGTGATTGCACTTAAATGAGAATTTTTTTTTTACCCTCTTTTGTGTTTTGAGCAAAAACTAAAGAAAATAGAGAGAAACTAAACAGACTAAAAGATCATTTATACAAGATCAACAAAATAGAGATTTTTTGTCATGAAGTCTATTCTTGTCTAAAATGTTGGAGAGTGTCCTTTGTTTGATATGCACATAGACCAAGGTGAGCGAGTCCAGGGCTTTCAAAAAATATTTGTGCCAGCCGGACATTTTTTGTCTTATCCCGATTTTGATCCCTTCCCAGTGGGCACTCAACGTTGATACAACATTGAAATTTAGTTGAAATTATGTCGTGACGTTGATCAACTTAAATTCAACGTTGTTTCAACGTCAAGCTATTCAACGTTGACTATTCAACGTAGAATCAACGTTGAATTTACGTTTTACAAATCAACGTTAAAACTACAACGTTTATTCAACGTTGGGTTAACGTCAGTCATTTAGGACAGACAAATGTATAAATAGTTGTTAAAATTGAAAGATACAAATATTATTGAGGCAGTGGCGGATTCAGGTTGGGGAAATGAGGGGGGGGGGGGGTCCGGGACGATCAATATGCACTTGAATGGACATATGGTTGGAACCCCCCTTAAATCCTGGGTTGGAACCATCCCCCTTTTTGAAAATGAGTGGATTTGCCCCTGTGATGAGCAGAGCAGACGTGAAGGGGAAGCTGAGTAGTATTGTAAACGATTGCAGGATAATGATCATTGGCTGATCCAGAACTTGTTATAAGACTTGTAGGGGCAACTGACTGCCATTAAGAAGGGCCCGTTCAGCCATGCTTCAGATATTCCCCAATAAAACTTCTGCTTTTTCTATTTCATTTTTTTTTCTTTGTTTATTTTTTAAAGTATTTTAAATAAAAAAAAACAATAAACTACTATTATCCGATTTGTGTTTAATGACCTTTAATCATTTCTCAATTTTTTGGGATATCCATCTCAAAACCTCAGTATTAATGCCATTTTTTTTTGTTACATTGTATATCTTAATGCATATTATATATTTTTTCGATTTATGTTTTTAAAACAAATCGATTTTTGCTGCTGCTATCTCTTATTAAAATCAATGAAAGCATGGATTTGTATAGTCTCACTATACAAATCATTGATGAAAGTATAATCATTAGAGCAATTTTAAATTTTGGCGGTATTTCAAGTTGAGTTCCGAAAAAAATTTCCTTTCGGATGCGCACGCAATCACCACGCGCACCTCCTTTCGACGTCCATTTTGAAAATTATCGCGCAAGATTGAGAAACAAAGAGTACACAACTTCGCAATATTTAAAGACGATATATATAAAGACAAAAGAAGATTAATCTCTAAAAACCTTTTGGAATTTAGCGTAAGTTTTTTTACAGTTACATTAACGATGAATCATGAGATATACCGCAAATAATAAAATAATCTTTATATTTGTTTACTTTTGTCTTTGACTTTGTTCAGAGACCTTTAAGGTTAAAACTAATAAGCCTAACAAATTATTAGAAATAAACATGGCTTACTATTAGGAACCTACTTATTTCGTGTGTATGTATCCACCAATTAACGAACTAACATTAACAAGAAATATCTGGACATGTACCCAATCATACCAGAAAAGGGGGGGATCGGGTCCGTTTGCCCTGATTACATGTTCGCTCTGAGTTTGGTGGTCTGTAGAGTCCGTTCGCCCTGGGTTCGTTCTCTCAATTTTTTCTTAATATTGATTTTAATGTTTAAATGACAATAATTCTCACTGATTGTTGTAATACTAGCATTTGAAGCTGAAGGATTTACTTTAATAATTAAAACAACGTTTTGTTTTGATAAACTAGTCTAGTCAGCTTGGTATTAATAAAAGCCAGAATCTCAGGTGTTAGTGGAGTGGACCCCCTTTTTTATTTTTGGTTTGGATATTTTATTTGAAAATATTATTTTTTGTTTTATATTTCAACTTAGTTTAACTTATTTACGGTGTTCAAAGTCTTTTCAATGCGATTTAAAAATATTAGTAAAAAAAAAACCTTCTATTCTTATTATCTTAGACCAAGTATAAGATGGTAGACTGTCTGTGTCAAGATCCTGGTGCTTACATTACAATGTTGTGGTATAATATGGTTGACTATCAAGATCCTGGTGCTAACATTACAATGTTGTGGTATAAGATGGGTGACTGTCAAGATCCTGGTGCTTACATTACAATACAATATTGTAGTATAAGATGGGTGACTGTCAAGATCCTGGTGCTTACATTACAATGTTGTGGTATAAGATGGGTGACTGTCAAGATCCTGGTGCTTACATTACAATGTTGTGGTATAAGATGGGTGACTGTCAAGATCCTGGTGCTTACATTACAATGTTGTGGTATAAGATGGGTGACTGTCAAGATCCTGGTGCTTAAATATAATGCTTTGGTATTAGATTGGTGATTGTAAAAATCCTCGTTCTTGAGCCCCCAAAAAATGTTTACAGTTAACGTTACCCCAAGTCACGTAATTTCCGTTGAGCTTGAATACAACAGAAAATAGTTGTATTTGTTAAATTTAGCATGAACTCATATTACATTTAATAAGTGTAGAAGAATGTTGTACACCCTGACCGAGATAAGGGATTTGTTGAAGAAGGATTACATAAGAGGTCAGAAGGAATATATATTCCAACAGATAGATGAGATCGACATACTTAAAGAAAAGGACATACAATTGGGTGAAGAAAAAGAGTATGCTTTATGCGTAAGTAAAGTATTTAAAATTGTATGTTATGAAACTTGTGAAGTCAAATCTTATTATTTGATAAAATGGCCTTAACAGCAGGGAAAATCCTGATTGTTTAAATCTATCTTATTTGCAAAAGTAGCAAAAGGTAATGGATTCAAGTTATAACAACAATAGTAACTTCCTCAATCTAAAATTTTGATGAAAAGTTGTTGGTCTAAGTTATAACCAATGAGGTATGAAAATTAACGATGCTTATAAGTTATGTTTACTAAGTAATACTATGAATTTCAGAGTAAGTTTATATATACTTGTAAATAATTTCATTGCAAAGGAACGTTTAATGTACTGGCATTTTTTTTCTTCAGAAGAAATACATCATGCAGATTGGTGGGAAGGACTATAAAGAGCACATAAATAAAGCCATGCAAAGGTAAACATCTGATATGTGTATATTCTACCTAAAAACAATACAGTCGCAGTGATGTAATGGTTAGCGTGCTGGCAAACCAAAGACTTGAAAATTGGTATTGCTGTTTCTTTGCTAAGCACCTACCATTAACGTATTAGATATGGTGGCCAGGTTGGGAACCATGTCTTTTTGCAGACTTACTAGTTTAAAATCCTGCTCGGCCAGTCAGTCTAGTGAAAAGCAGGGTCAGTTTTCATTTCTGATTATCATGTTCTAAGACAGAATTTACATGCCACTGGAAATTAAACACCAATCCATCCATCCATTCTCAAAAATTGGATGTAAAACCATATAATGAAAAAAAAATTTGTGACATTAAAGTACTGAATACATCCTTTAATCGTTGCAGTGGTTATTTACATCCTCTTTTTTTTTCTTTTTGTTGCAAAATACATAGATAAAACATTGAAACTAAACACCAGAACTGTGACTGTCTGCTGAAATTTATAAAAACATTGTGATGAAGAAAAAAATGGTTCCAAGGGGTTCATATCATTTTGGAAAAGTATGACCATTACCACATTTTTCGTTAATGTTTTTAAAGGTAAATGTTGATATTTTTAACTAAATAAAACTTGCATCATTTGTTTTTGTTTAAAGGTGTCTCACCAACAAACTCATGTCCATAATGAATATGAAGGGGAAGAAAACAAAGAGGCATTTGGTGATTCCAATCTGTTCAAGATAATAAGAGGTAAGTAAGTCTTGATATAATTGTAAAAGACTTTCCCATTGGAATTCTGTTTCAGTTTTATAGTATCTGAAATCCTTATGTTAATGTCAACTGCTATTTCTTTTCTTTTCTGTTAGTGAGACAATTTTCAGTCATCATCTGTTTCAACATTACCTTTATTGCCACAAAGTGCAACTTAAGTTTAAATTCATGCATAAAAAAAAAATTATGCCATAAAAAAGCTTGGACATTGGTTTTAAATGGACATGTCTACTGTTTTATTTTTATTTTTTAATGGTAGAAACTTCTTCGTATCAGATTAATGTACATTTATTTTATTCAAAATTCAGGGTTTTTTTGGGGCATGATATTGTGCAAAGTATTTTTATGCCCCACCTACTATAGTAGATGGGCATTATGTTATCTGGTCTGTGCAACTGTTCGTTCGTCTGTTCTGCTTCAGGTTAAAGTTTTTGGTCAAGGAAGTTTTTGATTAAGTTGAAGTCGAATCAACTTGAAACTTGGTACACATGTTCCCTATTGTAGGATCTTTCAAAATTCAAATTAGTTTTTTTACCTAAATTTTACAATCCACTGAACATAGAAAATGATAGTGCAAGTGGGGCATCCATGTACCAGGGACACATTCTTGTTTGTTATGTATTAAAGCTATGATGTTCATCTTTCTATCACATTTTTGTAACAGTTTTTATTATGCAAGTCAAATTTATGTTCTCTTTTCTTTCAGATGCTGTTCTAACCTGCCACACAGAGGCAACTGAAACTAAAGTAATTGAGCAGTGCTCAAACTATTTGACGTATGCTCCATGAAGAAAAGGAGGAGTTTTAAGCCAAAAGAATAGTTTTCTTTTCAAAAAAAATAAATTTTTCTTTAAAAAAAATTTTTTTAACATTGGCCAGTTTAGTGTAAGTTGACAGGAAAAAAAGTACAGTGAAATTTAGAAATACTTTACTTGGTGTTCTTCATCTTTTTGTTTGGTTTACTTAAGCTGCTTATATAATGATTGTGGAGTACACAGCTTTGGTGATGTTATGGTGTCTGCTAAATTGCAATTTTGATCACCACTGATACCAAAGACTTCAAGATACATATAGGTAGATATAAGAAGATGTGGTATGAGTGCCAATGAGACAACTCAAGAACCACATATGCAGAAAACACACATAAAAGGTAAAATTCAGATTGACAAAAAGTCCATATAAAAGATATCTGAAATTGTCTTGCTATGTATTTGTGTTTCTGTCCCAAACTTGCTGCATTTACATGATTTTGGAGTTTTGGAGTAAGTGGGAAAACGTGGATCAACCAGAATCGAAACAATGTGCTGGAGTTGCATGATACATGTTTTCCATTGCTTTGAGAAATTAATGATGTGCTAGAATAAAAGGCTTTGTTAATATTGAGGTACTTATCTTGATATTCTTACTGTCTTTACTCCTTGGTTTTGATTGTTATTGTTTTCTATTCTCTTTATTTAGTTAGTCTCTAGTAGAGATAAGAACGCATGATGGTATACTACCGTGAAATAAAAATCTAGTAGAGATATAAAGAAAGTATGATGGTATACTAACGTGAAATAAAAAAAAATGGCTTTTGTTATTTCATAGTTTAGATACCTCTATTGTATTTGAACAAGTGCCAATAAGGATTGATTTACATCGAGACCCATCACTTACCTAACTTCATCCAACCTACAATTGGCCTGATCTCAACCTTAATTGACCTGAATTCAACCTAATTTCAACCTAATCTGATCTGACTTCAACCTCACGCAACCTGATTTCAACGCAACTCGACCTGATGTCAATTTAACTTGACTAGATTTCAACCTGATTTCAACATGTTATCAACCTCACTTGACCTGATTTCAACAGGTTATCAACGTCAATACAACGTTGTAACTGTAACGTTGATTCAACGTCAGAATTTCAACATCATCTCAACTTTCAAAACTAACCCAAGTTTCAACGTTGTAATAACGTTGAAGTCTGACAGTAGATCAACGATGATACAACTTTATGTGCCTGCTGGGTTAAGACTACGTATCAAGAGGCAATCATGCTAATCAGTTGGGCATCATATAAACAATGAATGATTGACATAAAAACGATATTAAACTTGACTTGAGCGACACAGGCTCTTTAGAGCCTCTAGTTTGTGTATATTGTACGATCAACGTCATTTTTCTTTTGCTGTCCACGTATAAATTGATATATATCACGTGTATCAACGCAATTCCCACAATTGCCCTTATCGACGGTGCTAGTGATAGTTTTTTGGGGAATTAAGCTGTATAAAGCATCAAAAGCAAAAACTAGTTGGGCATCATATAAACAATGAATGATTGACATAAAAACGATATTAAACTTGACTTGAGCGACACAGGCTCTTTAGCGCCTCTAGTTTGTGTATATTGGACGATCAACGTCATTTTTCTTTTGCTGTCCACATATAAATTGATATATATCACGTGTATTAACGCAATTCCCACAATGCCCTTATCGGCGGTGCTAGTGATAGTTTTTTGGGGAATTAAGCTGTATAAAGCATCAAAAGCAAAAACTAGTTGGGCATCATATAAACAATGAATGATTGACATAAAAACGATATTAAACTTGACTTAAGCGACACAGGCTCTTTAGAGCCTCTAGTTTGTGTGTATTGTACGATCAACGTCATTTTTCTTTTGCTGTCCACGTATAAATTGATATATATCACGTGTATCAACACATATTCCCACAATTGCCCTTATCGGCGGTGCTAGTGATAGTTTTTTGGGGAATTAAGCTGTATAAAGCATCAAAAGCAAAAACTAAAGATCCTGATAGAACAATAAAAAAGGGTATTTGCCTCAGAGACTTGTAACCTTATGTAAGGTAAATATATCAAATTATAATTTGACAGTTGTAAAAAGAACAGAGGACTTTGGTGTACGATTTAACAAGTAAAAGTGCTAATTTCATGTGGATGGATTTGAATTGTTTCAATACAGTCAAACAAAAGATGTACTCAAACCAAACACCGACAGGACTAGAAAAATTGTGTGTGAATATTCTAGAAATTGCTCAAAGCGTTTACTTTCATGGACAAAGAATCATTGAATATCATAATAAAAGAATCGTAAAGGGTAACAGAAACCTTTGTCTCGCTTGCAATGGTTGCTGGTAGTGTAAAAGGGTAATTATGACGGCAAAGCTAAGTCCATTCATTAATAATATACCTAACATTTAAAACATATATATATATATATTTGCCCCAAAAAATAAGTCTATTTATCAGTAAAACATGGAAAATGAAAACAAATATTTTTTAAACTTTATTCTGGATACTGTCTTTTGTTCATGAAATAGCCTTTTCTCACTTTCATAATAATCTGTGAAGGTTATTGATATTAGAAAAAAACACTTTAACCACAAACCTAACTTCAACAATGAAGACACCGACGACAGAATATAGGATCGCTTTGTATCGTTTCCCTGGCTGTCGTCGGTGTATCGTCAAATTTATACCTTACATTATTCCGTTACACATTAGTATTTATAAACTGCTCAAGCTGAACTTCTGTTACAGTAGTAGAATCTCTATTGTTGCTTTTTGTTTCGTCATGGCGCCAATTGCACGTAATAAGTTTTTTAAAATGTTTCTTGAATTGGTTATCAAATATCCCGTATATAAATGGGTTTGCAACGTGGTTGACAAGATAAAGTCTTTCGCCAATCCTTAACATTGCAAACTGGAAAGTGTTTAGATCGTCCTTATCGATCATTTTCTCTGTAATCTGAAGTATAAACAGTGGAATGTAACTCACTGCAAAAACCATAGATATTGCAAAAGCGATTTTGGTCATTTTACTTGAAATAGCCTTCTGTGTAGAGCTGGTGATTTTCTTTTTGATTCGTCCCGTATGCTGTATGTATAATTTCCGTCCTATAATCGAGTATATCACGACTAAGACAATTGTGTAAACAAAGAACAATGCTAGAAAACCGTAACTGAATGCAGTGGAATAAATTGACGGATTGGAAAGTGATATAGCACAGCTAAAGCCAGTTAAGTTATATCCAACTTTTATTTTTTCGTATTTAGAGAGGCCAAAATGTGGTGCAGATAGGATGAGTGCAATGCTGAAGCAAGCAATTACCCAGTAGTTGACGTTATCCAAACTTATTTGTGTTCTCAGCGGGAAGCATATCTTCCGGAATCTGTGAATGGATAGAAGTAGTAATAAGTGTGTTGAATACAACAGTAGGAAATACAGCAAAACAACAAACACAACACATGCCCATTCTCCTTCAAATGAATAATAGTGTACTATCCGAGCAATGTTAAATGGTATTCCTATCGTACAGAATATCTGATCCGCCACTGCTAGATTCCAAACAATAGTTCTGTGTACGCTTTTAACATATTTCTTACCATAAATAACCAGAACTACGATGTTCCCAGGAACTCCAATTATTAAAGTAATCACGATAAAAACTATAGGTGGCAATAAATTCCTGAATTTTTCATCTTCGAAATCACTTATTGTCATTGTTAAATTAGCCATGATTAATTCGAAATGCACACGGAATGCAGTTGTTTGCTTGACATCAAATCCAATGTGCATACATGTGTTATTAGTGGTGAAAACTAAATGCAATATATGTCGTTAGTATTCACTGGTATTTGCAAATAAAGAAAAGTTTAAATATTCAAGTATATAATAAAATACAGTTAAGAGTGTCAAAATAATGATGTTTCGTTATATAACAACACTTTAAATTAATGATTAAAAAGCGGATATGAAGAGTGTAAATCTAATATCTTATGCTTCGTATATCAAATCGGGATTCATATTTTATTAAATGAAACAAGTGCTTCCTCGTGCAATTATTTTCTCTATGAATAGATACATTTAGAATTGGGAATATAGCAACCTGCTGTTAATAAGATTAACAAGCATTTGATCGAAATTCATTCCGCTGTGACTTAGTTCTAATGATTGCTTGCTTACTTGTACGATTTTCTTATTTTCGAGGCTATTTTGAACGCAATACAGCGTTCAGTTAATTCTATCTAAATGAATTCCACTTTCCGACAAAGTATTATCAACTGTTTCCGAATATTATCGGACGTCTTTTTGTAGAACTTTATTGCAGGGCAATTTGAGTGCGAAAGATAATATTTAATGAAATTGAGAATGGAAATAGGGAATGTGTCAAAGAAACAACAACCCGACCAAAGAGCAGAAAACCGCCGAAGGCTACCAATGGGTCTTCAACACAGCGAGAAAATCCCGCACCCGGGGGCGGGCTTCAGCTGGCCCCAAAACAAAAATGAGCACTAGTTCAATGAAAATGGACGTCACACCAAACTCCAAAACATATAAATGAACTAAAATTAAAAAACATACAAGACTAACAAAGGCCAGAGGCTCCTGACTTGGGACAGACGCAAAAATGCGGCGGGGTTAAACATTTTTTTTTTTTGATATCTCAACCCTCCCCCTATAACTCTAGCCAATGTAGAATAACCAAACACACAGCAATACGCACAGTAAAACTCAGTTTAAAAGAAGTCCGATTCCGATGTCAGAATAGGTAACAAAAGAAACTAAGCAAAATGACAATGATACATAAATTAACAAAGGACTACTAGCAGTTACTAACATGCCAGCTCCAGACCTCAATTAAACTGATTGAAAGATTATGTCTTCATCATATGAAAATCAAGCACAATCCCTCTTGTTAAGGGTTTAGTATAATGACATTATAAAATATATGAGAAAATAACCCGTGTCATGCCAACAACTGGTTTTAGAATAAATGTGTTTATTTCCGATGCAAAGACCCTATGAGTGAATCAATATTAATACCAAAATATGCCAGTATCTTCAATAATTTATAGATATTAGACGATTGCTTGCATTTTACCTTTTTGTTTCATCCTTAGGTATGGTGGCCATCTTGGTTGATGAACAAAAATAGAGCAAAAATTATTTTAACAGAATGCTATTACGAAGTCTCCCAAAAAAGTCCCAATAACTATATATCCCTAAGGACTCTTCCTATTATTCATTCAATTCATCTTGCAGAAATCATTGTTTAGGGGTCGGGATCTGAATCATTTACAAGATATAAGAACATTCTCATATGACATGGTGTGGGGATGACCCCTGGGGACTATTTCAATGTGTCATTTAAGCAAAGATGAACAGTGGAGGGACAACACTTCACAACAAATGCCAAGTGATCCAAAAAGTTTATACTGGACTTTAATTGGCCTTTTGCCAGATGAGCTTCAAAAGATGATTGAATAATTGTTGATTCAACAAATTTTCTAATTGTCTGTTGCAACCTAAATATTAGAATCAAAGCACTGTAAGCGCTGTAGGCAGTTAACCAAAAACCAAGGCAAACGTAATTATGAAAACTGTGGCAGTGTTGCTTCAATTTTTTTTTTTTAAGATTTGAAAGAACAAACATTAAACATTCGTATATTGTACATTTATTTTATTTTATTAATTAATATTTCATCAAGGTTTTCAAAAGCAACTCATATATCAATGTAAATGACCCCCATCTTCACCCCCAAGTGCATGCTGTTATTCCATACCAAGTTTGGAATAAAATGACAGGTGATTATAAAACAGTTGGTCAAACATTCACTGCTTGAAAGATTTATATGTTTTCTTTAAAATGAGCCATACATGAAAATTATTATAACCAAGAAATAATTTAATAAATAATTAAAGTAAATTCAATTAACCTAGACTCATTTTTTGCATCAAATTTTTTTTTATAATAAACAAGAAATAATTGTAACAGGAAGTCTCCAAAACAAAGCCCCATTATTCGTCATTTCCATGGTCTCCTGACATTGGGCATAAGTCCAGTTCATATTGGTTTGGTCTAGTAAAGTGATATGCATATGTGACACCTAGGAGATTGACCCTGTATGTCATTCAAATTTTTTTGAAATGATGAACAGGAATAAATATGGTTTAGCTGTGTGTATCTCGGTGACCACAGGGACTCTCCCTATGTTTCATTTGATTTGTTTTATTGTCTCATACATGAATATATATGGTTTAGGGGTGGGAATCTCGACCATTTCCAAGTTCTCAATCAGGAGGGGGTGGGGTGACCCGAGGAACTCCCCATATATTTCATTTGATTTGTTATATTGTCCCATACATGAATATATATGGTTAAGGGGTGGGGATCTTGACTGTTTACAAGTTCTCAAACAGGAGGGGCTGGGGTGTCCCCAGGGACTCCGCCTATATTTCATTTGATTTGTTTTATTGTCCCATACATGAATGTATATGGTTTAGGGTGGGGATCTCAACCATTTCCAAGTTCTCAAACAGGAGGGGTTGGGGTGACCCCAGGGACTCCCCATATATTTCATTTGATTTGTTAAATTGTCCCATACATGAATATATGGTTTAGGGGTGGGGATCTCGACCGTTTACAAGTTCTCAAACAAGAGGGATGGGGTGACCCCAGGGACTCCCCCTATATTTCATTTGATTTGTTTTTTTGTCCCATACATGAATATGTATGGTTTAGGGGTGGGGGTCTCGACCATTTCCAAGTTCTCAAACAGGAGGGGGTGGGACGACACCGGGGACTCCCCCAAATTATTTTCATTTGATTTCTTTTATTGTCCCATACAAGTATATATATTGTTTAGGGGTGGGGATCGCGACGGTTTACAAGATAAAAGTACATTTTCAAATTAAAGGGGGTGGGGATGACCCCCACGGAATCACCCTATATTTTGGTTGATTTTTTGTATTGTCCTGTTCTCATTACTGAAGACTGCATGTGTCTATCACTTACTGTTTTCGAGAAATAGTCATTTGAAAATTTAAAAATAAAATGCTTCGCTGGGGCGCAGCTTGATACGACTGCAGAGGTTGAACCCTGAACAGTTGGGGCAAGTATGGACACAACATTCAAGCTTGATACAGCTCTGCATTTGGATTGTTATTAAATATTTGACACAGCATAGGTTTCTGACACAGAAAGAATGTGGTCTAAGAACTTGAATTTTTTTAATTTACCTATTATGGTCCAATGTCCAAAATCAAAATACATGGTTAGATTCAGCATATCAAAGAACCCCATATATTCAATTTTTGTTAAAATCAAACAAAGTTTAATTTTGGACCCCAACTTGGACAAACTTGAAAACTGGGCCCATAATCAAAAATCTAAACACATGTTTAGATTCAGCATATCAAAGAACCCCAAGAATTCAATTTTTGCTAAAATCAAACTAAGTTTAATTTTGGACCCTTTGGACCTTAATGTAGACCAATTTAAAAAACGGGACTTAAAATTAAAAATCTAAATACACGTTTAGATTTGGAATATCAAAGAACCCCAATAATTCAATTTTTGATGAAATCAAACAAAGTTTAATTTTGGACCCTTTTGACCTCAATATGAAGCAATTTGATAGCGGGGCCCACAAATAAAAAATCTAAATTCATGGTTAGATTCAGCATATCAAAGAACCCCATATATTCAATTTTTGTTGAAATCAAAAAAAGTTTAATTTTGGACCCCAACTTGGACCAACTTGAAAACTGGGCCCATAATCAAAAATCTAAACACATGTTTAGATTCAGCATATCAAAGAACCCCAAGAATTCAATTTTTGTTAAAATCAAACTAAGTTTAATTTTGGACCCTTTGGACCTCAATGAAGACCAATTTAAAAAACGGGACCCAAATTAAAAATACGGTTAGATTTGGCATATCAAAGAACCCCAATAATTCAATTTTCGATGAATTCAAACAAAGTTTAATTTTGGACCCTTTTGACCTCAATATGAACCAATTTGATAGCGGGGCCTACAAATAAAAAATCTAAATACATGGTTAGATTCAGCATATCAAAGAACCTCATATATTCAATTTTTGTTGAAATCAAACAAAGTTTAATTTTGGACCCCAATTTGGACCAACTTGAAAACTGGGCCCATAATCAAAAATCTAAATACATGTTTAGATTTAGCATATCAAAGAACCCCATGTATTCAATTTTTGTTGAAATCAAACAAAGTTTAAATACTGGACCCTATCTTGGACCAACTTGAAAACAGGGCCCATAATAAAAAATCTAAACACATGTTTAGATTCAGCAAATCAAAGAACCCCAAGAATTCAATTTTTGTCAAAATCAAACTAAGTTTAATTTTGGACCCTTTGGACCTCAATGTAGACCAATTTAAAAAACAGGACCCAAAATTAAAAACCTAAATACACGGTTAGATTTGGAATATCAAAGAACCCCAATAATTCAATTTTAGATGAAATCAAACAAAGTTTAATTTTGGACCCTTTTGACCTCAATATGAACCAATTAGATAACAATGTCCACAAATAAAAAATCTAAATACATGGTTAGATTCAGCATATCAAAGAACCCCATATATTCAATTTTTGTTGAAATCAAACAAAGTTTAATTTTGGACCCCAATTTGGACCAACTTGAAAACTGGGCCAAAAATCAAAAATCTAAATACATGTTTAGATTCAGCATATCAAAGAACCTCATATATTCAATTTTTGCTAAAATCAAACAAAGTTTAATTTTGGACCCTTTGGACATTAATGTAGACCAATTTGAAAACTGGACCCAAAATTAAAAATCTAAATACACTGTTAGATTCGGCATAACAAATAAATAAATGTGATCAAAGATTTTACAAATCTAATGCGCCATACTGTGCAATTAAAGATTACTTCTTGAAATTTTTCAATATTTGAAATTTGAAAAAAAAATAATATTTGAAGAATAATTCTTTTTAATTTCTGAAATCTGAAATGAGAAAAAATTGGCCCCCCACAATTTCTTTTTATCCCCCCCCCCTTTTTCCCCCAAAAAAATTCTTTCCCTCAAGATATGGTCATAATCTCAATTCAAATTTCCAATGGAGTTGGCAACCATAATTACCCATTTAAATTTACCATAGTGCTAACTTAATCTATTTTATAATAGAATTAATAAAAATATAGTGTCAAATCTTTCATATGGATTTTTTTGTAAAAAAAAAAGATGAAAACATTTGCAGATATTTTTACTGGTCTTCCTTTATAAATATGCATTTCTTTAAACATAATTTAAAAGCAGTGTAAGGGAAGTAACCAAAACGTTGTATTTGGATTACCTCCCTTACACTGTTTTAGATTATCTTTATTGTTCATTAACCATTACTTTATACATAATTTAAAAGCAGTGTAAGGGAGATAATTTCAATGATGTATTTGATTTATCTCCCTTACACTGCTTTAAATTATGATTTGTACTAAAGTATTTGTCCATTAACCAGGACAACCTTGTTTTTCCCCCTTTTTTGCCCCTAATTCCTAAACGGTTTGAGCCATAACCCCCCAAAGCAAATCCTAACCATCCCTTTGTGGTATGGAAACTTGTAGTATAATTTCAGAGAGATCCATACACCGTTCCACAGTTATTGTCTGGAAACTAGAAAATGCTAATTTTTGGCCCCTTTTTGGCCCCTAATTCCTTAACTGTTGGTACCATAACCCCCAAAATCAATCCCAACCTTCCTTTTGTGGTATTTAACCTTATGGTCAAATTTCAAAAAGATCCATTCACTTAAACTAAAGTTAGAGTGCGAAAACCAATATGTATTCGGACGACGACGCCGGACGACGACGACGACGACGCCAGACGACGACGACGACGACGACGCCAACGTCATACCAATATACGACCACAAAATTTTTTTGCGGTCGTATAAAAATAAAATCCTATAGGGTTCTATAGTTAACCCCTCCCTTCTTCATGTCCCTCAAATACCGCTAAATAGACCCCAATGCACAAACAAAAGATTAATGGCTCCGCTAGACATGTTAGTCTAATATTCTATGAAACCCTAAGTAAATCTGACAAACGGTCAAAGTTGTCTTCTTTGACGGTTTGAGTGGATTCGGTCCGACTTGTCTCGGGGACGAGTTGTCCACATTACTTAAAACATCCCATCTCTGTAATCTGTGATCGTAATTCTGCCAAGCAAGGCACACCTCCATTCACATAGAGGGAAAAGTCAGTACACGATAATTTACAATACAACGCGCATCACTTTATATATTAAAATATAAAAAAAATTCAGCCACCTCATAAATTATTATGTGCATCAACGTCGATTTCCGCATCTGTTTCATTAAACTGGACCCCTGTTGTGTTCACTTATCGCTACACTTCGGTGCGAAGCTATAGATAGAACGGCGGACCAGTTTACTGTTTCATGATCTCGTTTCATTCATAAAATAACAACAACCTTATTTGGCAAGATAAGTTAAAAATTACCGCCCACTTATATAACTTTATTTCCTCTATCATAGAGATTTGTTGTACATGAACAATATTCCTGCGCATTTTCGCATTTGGGAAATATAAACGACTTGTATAAAGTTCCGATTTTCGGCGATGAAATATTTCATACAATTGTTCTTTGACATCGTAGCCAAAAGCACAGGGGATAATAAACTACGTACGGATTTCTATTGAGCACTACTTCCTATGTGCAACTTCAAAAGTTTTGGGTAGTTCGACGATCATTTAAGGTTTTTCTGGTCATATTTTTTGTATTCCAGAAATAAAAGTATTAAAAAAATGTCCAAATAGTTATAAATAACATAATAGCCAGCTAGATAATAACAATGGCACGTATTTCAGCATTTATTGGGTAGAACACAAATCTAGTTAGGATGCTCGCATAAAGCAGCTTAACTGCCTAAAAAAATAGATAATGTATTTTGTGTAAAAGCCTGTAGTATCAACAGTGATAGCAACATAGTTGTCTATCAGCATGCTTAGAACTCAATGAAACTTTACAATTCAGTTGTGATTTTTGCTTTAACATTTTACTTGTATGTTATTTTGTACACATTTTTGTGAACAGTCAGACAGTAGTCCCTTATCAAACAAAAACGGTTTGGACTTCTTTCCTGTTGTGATATGCAGTTAGAAACAATAAGGTCAAATAAGTCAACACTTCTCTGTGATAAACCATAGTACTTTAGCAAGTCTACCAGCTGACATGGCCATTATATTGTAGTGTGTCAGACCATCAATTTTAAGCTTACCACCCACTTAAGGTGACAATTGAAATTTAGCATGCTGTACCAAATTACTCTTGCTTCATTATCATATATATTCCATCGAAATTTCATACTACAATCAAATTGAAAGCTAAATCAAACTGACAGGAGAGAATACATCAAAACATAAGAGAGACATAGATTATTAAATGTTAAATCCCAGTGAAGGCAGATAAAAATACCATTTGTGAAAAAGTAATCAACCAACAAATTAAAGTTGAATAAATTAAGCCAACAAAATGAATCTATGTCATTTATTTTAGATGACCATTTATTTATTCTAGAAAAATGAAACATGATTCTTTAATTGGCTGACATCACATCTCTGGCTTAATTTAAAATGAAGAGAAAAGAAAACATTATCTGTTATGCATTGATTAAAAATAATAATCTTTTGATCGTAGAAGCAGCAAAGGATTTTTTTTTTAATTTACTTTTCTTAACAAATTATTTTCAATTGATAAAAAATAAACTGAAAAGAAAATATACTAAATAAATGTACAAAATGGGTGTACGCATACATTATATATATATATATATATATATATATATATATAGTTTACAAAGAATTGTTTTGTTTTTATGCATATATTAAAAATATTTTGGTTTGCCCAAACCCTACCCAAAGGTAGAGACAGTAGGTAGGTAGGTAGGTAGGCATTTTCTTTTTTTTTTCGGCAAAGAGAAGATGAATTGTCAGATGTTTTTTAGTATTCATGACTATCTGATTAAAAAGATTAAAAAAAATTTCACATCAGGGCAATTTAAGATTTTAGTAGGCAGCTATTTTCTGGGTAGGTAGGGTTAGGGCAAACAAACATAGTCTTTTTTATGGCCTAACATGTATACCTCATATACATGTACAGACTGAAAAAACATTACAACATTATTTCTAATATCTAGCTACCCTGTTTTCATGAATATGAATTATTCATAAATATTCAAGGATAATTTAAGAATATTCAAGGATAATTCAAGAATATTCAGGAATATTCAGGAATAAATCTTATTTTGTCCAATTTCATCTTCTCTTTCAGTTTCTAAATATATCAAACATTCACTAGACAAATGTTTCCTATAGTTCGAACTTTCTGAAAAAGAACCTTCACCTATAATTTTTTTACAATTGTATAACCATAGTTAACAAAACAGTAGGATTTCTTCCCTTCTTCCAGTTAACAATATGAAATCTGCATTTTGTCTTGTTATCTATATGATATCTGCCCTTTGTCTTGTTAACTATACGATATCTGCCCTTTGTCTTGTTAACTATATGATATTGTACATGCATGTCCCTTCATCTATTTCACAAATATGATATCATCCCTGCATCTATTTAACAATATGACATCATCCCAATGTCTAATTTACAATATAAAATCATCCCTGTATCTATTTAACAATATGATATCATCCTTGCATGTATTTAACAATATGATATCATCCCTGCATCTATTTAACAATATGATATCATCCCTTCATTTATTTAATAATATGATATCATGCCTGTGTCTATTTAACAAATTGATATAATTCCTGTGTCTATTAAACAAATTGATATAATTCCTGTGTCTATTTAACAGTATGATATCTTCCCTTCTTCTGTTTTATTTGATAACAGTACATCTCTGTACCATAAATGTTCGCAGATAATATTTAATATTTGTGCGACATCATTAAAGTCTGTTTTACCATCATTATCGGGAATATTTCTTATTTTCAAGATTGGGATTTTCCAATTTTGTTCAAAATCTCTGATGTCTCTTTGCGTTATTTCTGTATGTGCATGCTGATCAAATCTTAAATAAGTTAAGGATATTTTTTGCTAATATTGAAAATATAAACCTTTTTATAAATGATATCTTTGTCAAAGTTCATTTATAATAAATGAAAATTATTGGAAAATTAAGATAGGTTCATGTATTGGTTTTTAGATAATAGCAATTAAAAAAATAAATTTGAAGTTTCAACAGAAAAAAGAATTCTTGTAATTTTTCATATGAAAGTCTGTAATATGAAGGTTTTATTATTAGTTCAGTGACACATAAACTTAACATTATCAATGTTCTATGAAAATGAGGATAGGGTCAGATGAACTATGCCAGACAGACATGTACACCTTACAATCATCCAATACACCAAATATCTCTAATAGTACCTGAGAAACAGATCAAGGCACAAAATCTTAACATTGACCAATGAACCATGAAATTGAGGTCAAGTTCATATTAACCTGCCAGTCGGACATGTACACCTTACAATCATTCCATTCACCAAATTTATTTGAACTTATGCTTATGGTATCTGAGATACAGATTTGACCACCTAACTTTAACCTTGATCCATGAAATGAGGTCTAGGTCAGGTGAACCCTACCTGACTGATATGTAGACATTGCAAGGAACCCATATACCAAATATAGTTATCATATTACTCATAATAAGTGAGTATTTCACTATTTTTTTTCAAGCAGTCACTGAACCATGAAAAGAGGTCAAGGACAATACACCTTATTGCTATTTATGCCAATCTGGATAAGTTCTAAAATTACACAACTTTTTCAGACCAGTTGAAGCTATCTGGTACCTTGTTCAAACAATATATTATGCATAAAACTTTTCATAGAGACATGTTTATACCATCATAGACACATCAAACAAAGACAAACAACACTAAGGCTATATCACTAAGTTGCGGTATCTTTTATTGTGATGATGGCACCCCTGTGGCAAAACTAGTTGACACAATAAAAGATACCACAACTTAGTGACAGCCTACTATAGTTTTGATGTCTTTGAATCTTCTTGTATGATGTACAAAGTAATAAGACAACGTTTTTTGTAGTAGGAGAGGGATGTCTTTGGTTGATGTGGACTTTTGTATTGTGAGGTATTTTTTGGTGAGTCCTATTATCCCTGTTTATATATAGTGTTTTCTCTTCTCTGTTTGAAGTATTCCAGTTGTTATAACAGCTATTATTATGCTATGCTGATAAGAATTTTTTTCTTTTTTTATGTATATTACACAAAGGATACTTTGTTCCCATGATGATTTTACAAGATGTATCTTTTGGTCCACTAAATCTTCCAAAGTTCTGTGGAATGTCATCAAAACTACTCTTGTCAACAAATGAAAATAGGTACATAGTACAGTCACACTTTTCTAAACATGCCTGAAAAGAAAAAAAAAGAAAAACATGTTTAGTTTTTAAGCATTATTTTTATTTCTTTTAAGGTGCCAGCAAGACAAAAGCAGAAACAAAAAAATAAAATACCTGTGTTTTTTTTCACATAAAGAAGAAATGTTAATTTTACTAAAAAATTACAAAAGAATTCTATTATCAAGAATATAACAAAAGATAAAACTAGAAAAACTGAGATGTCACTAAGGGCCTGCTTGCACATTTTATGTTAGGCACAGAGTCTGATGCTGTGTATACATGCATACACAGCAATTCATGTTCATTGGGGGTCAATTTCATAAACTCTGACACAGAGATTTAATTTACAGGTAGGATAATTTAGGATAAATCTAATGTTTTGTTAATATCTAAGCACTTTTTTATTTTGATAGGTATTTAGGTAAGTGGTAGGCAACAAATATTTTTTTGACACAGTTATCATTTTGAAATAGCAAATTATATCTACATAATGATTTTCATAGAAATTCTATTTAAAACATTTCTAAAACATTTGGCACCAGGGATTAATTTGGAATGCATATTTCACCTATACATCAATTTTTGTAAAAATTCTTAAACAAAAAGTATTTCTCAATATTTACACAGAAAAACAAAGCCTTTACCAAATATTTTACATGTACAATCAATTTGGAATAGCACATTATACAAATATCTAAATTTTTGTTGAAATCATAGCAAAAAAAAAAATTGTTTCTCAATTTTTGATTTTTTAACAAAGTAAGTCAATACCCTTTTTTTAACCTTTTTAAACTTTGGTACCTTCAATCAAAAGGAAAAATATCTTATTTCACCTATGTTTCAATTTTTGTTTAAATCTTTGCATAAGAATAATTTTTAACATAAACTGTTGTTACAGAGATATGTCTCGCCTGTATGTAATTTTGATAGTAAAATGAAAATGGAAACAGCACCTCTTATTTCTTGCCTTCACTTCTTTGTAGAGGTGAGACAAAAAACTAAGTTTTCAACACATCTACCCCCCAATCATTTCCAATTGAACTGCAAATTTGACATCAGGAAACCTGAATTCAATTTGGAATAACTTATTATGTCACTATATCAACAATGTTTCTGAAAATTTGTGAATATTTAACAAAAGTTTAATATAAATAACATTTGATTAAATGTTGTATTTATCTAAATTAGTGTGAAGTAAAAATAGGTCTCATCAGAAACAGGAATTTTTTGTACAAAATGTATATAAATATCCTTTTTTCTTATATGAAGCTCTTCTACATTCTGGAATGAAACTTCAATATTTATCTATAGTTTCAAATGCCTAAATAAGGAGAATTGTTTTGACCTAAAGTACCAGCAACTTATAATCAACAAAATTCCTTTTTTTTTTTAATTTTATTTTTACAGAATTTTAAGATGCAATTTTAATTGTAAATTACATGGCCATAGCATTATGTGTTCAAAAATATATGTTCAAAAAATGTATTCATTAAAAAACAGGAAGTTGATGAGCAATGAATGTGTAAACCTATCACTTGCTGCAAAATTTCAAGAAACACTGATTTGCAGTGCCTGAGAAAATAGTGTCATTTCATGTGACTGAGGGGTGGGGGGTGGACACATTGACAGATGGACCGACAGAGGTAAACCAATATGCCCCAGCCCTTTAAAAAAAAAAGGTTTTTTTTAACATCCTGTACCATTTAAATTAATATTGTATCCATTATGCCAGGTGAGGTATAATGATCAAGAAGTAAATAGAAGACATTGAAAATAAATTTTCTGAATTAATTAGGCAAACGCCTTACCGGCTGAATATGGTCAAACTTTTTCAATGCCCCTTCACCTGCATCCCATAATTGTAGCTTGAACATTATCACTTTGTTGAATTGCTGTATTTTTCCTGGCCAGTAAATAGTTGTTGTCTGTATTCCTTCAATGACAATGTATTTATTAGTTCTTAGTCTTAAGAATCAGAAAAAAATAGTTTGACACATGCATCAGGGTTTAAAAACAATGAAAACCACTGTCTGACTATGGTATACCCATTGTACTTCTAACAGAAAGTAAGAAAAACTAGTGAGCAATAATATACAATGTACCATTAAAGGCATATTACACTTCTGCGAATAAAGCTTCAAAATAGTAAGTCGAGAGTGGCAAAAATATGTTTTATACAGATTTTCAAACTTTCCTATACAAAAAAAAAAGAGTTATTTCATGAACCTGCAAGCTCTTTAAATATAAAAATCTACTCAATATTCATGTAAAATGCTATAATATAGGGGTTTTCAATTCCTGAAGAAGAGTTTGTATTCTGTGGAGTAGTCTAATGTTAACTGAGAGTGATGGCAATTGTTAAGTGGTTGATGTTTGCAATAGTAATTCCTACATGTAGACTCCATTATACACATGTACAGTCAACATAAAACTGAAGGAATAATTCCTGAGTTACAACTAAATATTTCCCATATTTCAGTATTAAGCTATTAAGCTTTCCTTTCTTTAATACTTATCTAAATAAAATCTTTAACTGTGTCTGATCTAGAATTTTTTCATAAAAACTGCATCCTCTGGCAAACTTTATAATATTTATGATTGTTGATCACATATTTTATGCAAAAATGGTTCTATAATGCACTTTAAGATCCAAAACAAATTTTCTTATGTTCATTTTAACTGTTATTGTCATGACAACATTATACCTGCGGTCTCACTATGACTGGTAGGAATCTGGTTCCCTGATAATTTTGCAATAGTACTAGTTTTTCCTACACCACTCTTACCGACCAGAAATATTTTGTATATCACTTCCTCAACTTGTGTAGGAACATTGGGTTTTTCTAGGAGACCTGTAAAAATAAATGTACAGGTAATAGTAATTATTGATTATAATAATATTGATTTGTCAAATAACATGTATATGATGTAAGAATTGAGAAAAATTGTATCAGATCACTATAAAACATGTAGATATTACAAAAACTCATGGTAAGAGTTAACAGTTGTTCAAGGGGGCATATCTATGAGGTACAAAGCAGAGTTCATATTCATATCACATTAGCATTTTCTCGTTGCAGAAAGAAAGGATATTCCAAATGAAATGGTACATTAAAAATTTACAGGCTTTTTAATCAGCCAGACAAGTATTAAATGAACAGATAAATCTATTATGTTTATCGGTAGTTATATTTTTTTGTGAAAGAAAAATAACAAATAAAACTACTATTTGTACAGTTTATATGCTATCAAATTTTCATTAAAATGTCTGGATTTTTACCAGAATAAGAGAAGGTTTGCTAAGGCACTTTTTCATATCCTTGGCCTGAAAAAAAAGTCACAAAGTATCCTCTAGTATTTATCAAACAAAAACCTTAAGAGTTAAGATGTCAACAAAACATTGGTCACTCAGATACCATATTATGATTGACTTTGAATAACATATATGCTTTTAATAGTAGGCCATCAGACTTCTTCAATCTAAAGAAAAAATTACAAAACACTTTGAGATATCATACAGGAGGGTGTGGATGGAGGTTTACAGAATAGAGAATAATGGGCAAAAAATTTAAAGAATGGAGAAAAAGTGACCAAAAAAATAAAGAATAGAGAATAATGAGGTGCTAAAATATAAAGAATAGAGAAAAATGGTCTAAAAAAATTAAAGAATACATAAATGAAGGACCCCCCATCAAGATCCTCTTACAGCAACGTCATAAAACAGTGCAGAGAGATATAAACTTGTGTAATGCTTGATTTTTTTTGGCAGAACTTCAATGCAGTCTCATTTATGGCTACTTAGACTAACCAAACAAGGATATTCTATATATGGCTATTGGTTTGTTCTTTTTGGTCAAATTGAACCAAATAAAAAAATTTATTTTTATTTTAATTTTTTTTTTTTGTGAGAAGTTAACTTCATCTTACCAAAAGTTTTCCTAGTGACCAAGTTCTTCTGAAGTAATGATGAGATTATTTCCCTTCCTTCTTGTGACCGATACCATTCATGATTTAGATATGTTCCTGGAGACAGCATTATTTATTCCTAAAAATAAAGATAAAACAATAAAATCCTATAATAATTTTTTAAATAAAATTAAAGAACCTTAGTGAGCGCGCTCACATACCCCACATCCCCACATTGTCACTGGAGAAATAAAATAACAGTAAGAAAAAAAAATTGAATCATAATTTCCTGTCGATATGCACATCTACGTAGTATGTCCTTATTATCTAGAAAGGTTTCATGAAATTCTGTTGTGTGGTTTCGGAGGAGTTGCGATGACAAACTGTTGCAGTAGTATATTGAAGCAAATAAGTTCAAAGGGGCATAACTCCTAGAAAAAAAATTGAATTGTAATTTCCTGTCGATATGCACATCTGCATAGGATGTCCTTATTATCTAGAAAGGTTTTATGAAATTCTGTTGTGTGGTTTCAGAGGAGTTGCGATGACAAACTGTTGCAGTAGTATATTGAAGCAAATAAGTTCAAAGGGGCATAACTCCTAGAAAAAAAATTGAATTGTAATTTCCTGTCGATATGCACATCTGCATAGTATGTCCTTACTATCTAGAAAGGTTTCATGAAATTCTGTTGTGGTTTGAGAGGAGTTGCGATGACAAGAAACAGTACTGACGGACTGATGGACAGACAGACGGACGGACGGGTCAAAAACATTATACCCTCCGCAACTCGTTGCGTGGGGTATAATAAAAAAAAAGTATATGCAAACATTGAGCTGTAATGCTGTTTTTTTTTTAATACATGTATAATGAATATATTCACCTACACTTTACATATCTATATAAGATAGCAAAAATATAATGTTCTACAAAAAATGACAAAACTTGTATAGTTTTACCTATATATTTGTGACTTAAAGAGTATAAAGAGACAAAGTGATTTACCTTTAAATGTATAATATTAATGATCCTGGAAGTAATTACGATGCTAAAATTATAAGAACCAAAAGCGTGTTTATAGGATGACCAGTAATGTCAGGTGATGACCCTGTACTGAATCTGGGATAATGACATGAAAATCACTTGTTTTAGTATCATACCTCTATTTTTCTTCCAAAAAATCACTTCTTTAAGTATCGTTTTTTTTAATTACCCCACTATTTTCAACACCCACGTACAGTCAAATTGTGGGCGTGACAGTAAAATTTTATTACATAATCTGTAAGCTGAAACCTTGAATTTTACAAGAAAATACTTCCAGTTCTGTTAAGAAAGTATTAGTTCATTATGTAAATAGAAATAAGAAGATGTCAAAAAAATGGATGTGGTATGAGTGCCAATGAGACAACTCTTCTTCCAAGTCACAATGTGTAAAAAGAAAACAATTATAGGTCAAAGTACAGCCTTCAACACGGAGCCTTGGCTCACACCAATCAGCAAGCTATAAAGGGCCCCAAAATGACTAGTGTAAATCAATTCAAACAGGAAAACTAACAGTCTAATCTATATAAAAAACGAGAAACACTTATGAACCACATCAACAAACGACAACCATTGAATAACAGGCTCCTGACTTAGGACAGGTGCATACAAATGCAGCAGGTTTGAACATTTTAACAGGTGCCAACCTTCACCCTAACCTGAAACAGTAGTGTAACATTACAACATTAAAAGACACACTATAAAATATCAATTGAAATGGCTTAACAGGACCAAAAAGACGTATAAACAAAAACAAAGTAAACATACACTAAACAAATAAATCTGATCTATGTCACATTATAAATACAATTAATAAAAAAGACAATGTCAAAAAGACAACTCTAACCTGGGACAAAATGGTGTACCGTACACAGGTAAATTTAAATATAATAATTTTGTTGTTAGATGTATGAAAATATATAAAGCCTTCATTATAGCATTTATATCAACAAAATTAGAATTACAGATGAATGATTGCATCAAAGGCATAAATAAACCTTGCTACATAAAAGAAGTAAAAGATCCATTTTTTTTATTATTTTACTGACATGACTAATAATCAGATATAAACTAAACATGTATGTTTAAAATTTTGATAAAACTACAAAATCACAGAATTTCTAATTTGCTACTTAAATGAGTGATTTAAAATCACTTATTTCTGTTCCCATGACCATGATGACTGTACAATGCTAAAAATAAAACAATGAGGAAATACTGTAGTTTTTGGCTTATATATCTTAATAGTTAAAGAAGTTGTAGCAAAACAGACATAGTAAGAATGATCAGCATGTCAAGATCTATATCTATATGTACATTTGTACATGTATCTTTGGTGTAACAGTACAAGTTGTCATAAAAACAAACTATAAAAACCAGTTGAAAAGAGCTTAACGTGAGGGCATGATACGCCTGTCGCTTTTTCAATGAATAAAGTTCAAAAACTCCTCAATGTCATATCAGAAACTTAAAAAAAAACAAAATGGAGCTTATTTTAATAGATATAAACCAGATACCAAAGTGTCATAAAAACTGCTGCAAGCATTTTTCAGTTATTGTCCGAAAACTGGAAATCCACCCTTTTTTATGAATAAAATCCCATCACTCGGAAACATAAATCTAAAATTTATTAAAATAGAAAGGGAGCTCACGTCAATAGATATAAACAATTTCATAAAAATTGGTTAAAGTGTTTTTGAGTTATTGTCTGACATGTTCACGAAGGACGAAAGGACAATAGTAGACCATATTACATGGTAACATACATCCAGTAAATGGGCTTATAAAAACATAGACTGGACATGGCAGGGTATTTATACATCCCAACAACAAAAAAGACACTCTATATTTTTTTGAAAGTACAGATCTGAGAGTACTCGCAGTTACTGACAACAAGTTAAAAGCCAATAACAATGAAATAAAAAAATCATGCATCTAAGACTTAAATATCAATCAGTACACATTCACCATTTAATGGATTCAGTGTAAAGATGTCATTAACAGTAGGAGAAAAACATGACCTTTTGCAAAGCCAACAAACAGGTATATACAGATTGTAGGGCCATGAATGTACATATGTATATAAAAATACACCTTCACTAGCCAAGGATTACGATCTAGTCCCCTCCTCTCCACCCATGGCGGATTAAGATAGAATTTCGGATCCACTATGTAGAGATTTCCATTGGTCGCAGTTGTAACTGGCTGCATCCAATCAAAAAGAGTTTTTAATATGATCATGTGTGAATGTAGAAAATGTAAATAAACAATTGCCACATGCAGTCAGGGGTACTTCTAGTACAAGTAATCTTTATTTACTTGAAGAATTCAAAAAAAATATACTTGTATAAGTTAATTATAATGTTTGAATAATCTCCCCTTAATTTTCTCAAAAAGTCACTTGTATAAGTAAAAAATTTTTACAATCCCACAAAAATTCTCAAGTTTTGAGATGTAAAAACATGCCTTTAATGACTTTTCCCAGGTTAGCTCATAATTTTTTATTAGAGTTCAATGTTTCATCTCATTAATTCAACAAAGAAACTGATTGCGCAAAGATCTTATGTATTTGTGCAAGGCCTTCAAAAATTGCTCCTTGGGGGCTTGTAAATGAGCAGTGTTCTGAAGATAACAGACAAATGAGATTTTCATTGTCCATGAAATTACACTTAAATGATTAGTGAAGACATCTGCAAAGGACAGACAATTTAAAATTCTATTAGAGCAAAGAAGTCCTAAGAATTCAAGAAAAGAAGATAGGATGACTTTTTAACTTGTATAAGTAAAATAACTCTAGAACGGTAAAAGTGACACCACCAAAATTCAAACTTGATCTGTGTTTTGTGGTAATAAGCATTGTGTATAAGTTTCATGACATTTGGTTGAGACAAACTTAAGTTAGAGAACGGAAATTAAAATTTTGCAATTTTTACATTTATAAAGGGGCATAACTCTAGAACAGTTAAAGTGACGCCACCAAAATTCACACTTGATCTGTGTTTTGTGGTAATAAGCAAGTATAAGTTTCATTACATTTGATTGAGGTAAACTTAAGTTAGAGAACAGAAACTAAAAATTTTGCAATTTTTCCATTTATAAAGGGGCATAACTCTAGAACAGTTAAAGTTGATCTGTGTTTTGTGGTAATAAGCATTGTGTATAAGTTTCATAACATTTGGTTAAGGCAAACTCAAGTTAGAGAATGGAAACCAATTTTGGGCTGTACGTTCGTATGTACGTTACTAAGTACGTACAGACGGACAAGGGTAAAACTTAATATAAAAATCTGAATGTCTAAGGGACATAACTAAGCCAATTTTTTTTTTACCTATACAAGTAAATAAAATACACTTGTATAAGTATCCTACAAATTTACTTATATAAGTATATTAATATCACTTCTTCAAGTAAATAAAAATTACTTGTACAAGTAGTACCCCTGACTGACATGCAGATTGTGCAAAAAGTCTTTACCCCCAAAACATAGGACAATCTTAGTGACAATCTTAAAGTTCTTGATCAACTAATTGAAGATTCTGGGTATGTTGGAATGTATTTAGAATGGTATTTAGCTGAAGTTTGTCTCCGAATGACCTTAGATCTGCTCTGAATAACCTTTTGACGTCAAGCAACACCCACTTTTTAATTATGACGTCACATTTTTTAAATTGTGATGTCAAATTTTACTGGAACTTGTGTGATTTTAAGTAATGGCGGACAAATTTGCATACAAGTGTAAATACGCTTTCGAGACGCAACGGCCATACTTCCAAGACGTCCATAGGATGTGCCGTCCATACCGCCATATCGTCCATAGAACATATCATCCATACTTTAAGTATTTATTCCATTGTGGTTATAACATAAAATATAATAATACAACAACTATTTTTTTATAGTTATAACATAAATATGATTCTATAGTATATTTTGTTAAATGTACAAGTTTGCTGATTTGAAATAGTCAGTATAGATCTAGACTATATATTTATTTTTACTTCTGAACATCTGCTAAAGACAAGTAGACTCATAGAAGGCTGGTTTTATGGTAATGTTTTTGATAATTCATCCCTACTATGACTTCGAAAATTGATTTACAGCTTTTTAACAGAATACAAAATACATTTACAAGTTATAATAACCATCTACATGTATATATCACAATACTTTCACAATACTTTATTAATAAAATTAATTTTCGAAGAAAAAAAAACCCATGGACGACGCATCTTCACAAAGTATGGATGATGTTGTCCCATGGCTGATACATCTTTTCTAGGTATGGCCGATATATCCTATGAACGTCATGGCAGTATTGAAAAAAATAATAATTTAAAGGATTCTCTGTTTTGTTTTCAAATGCTAGTCAATAACTTATCTTTGAATTTTTGTCATTTTTACTCAAGATTCTTTGCAAGAAGAAATTAAAAGAATAAGAAGCAAAAAAACAAATAAAAAATAAAAAATAACATGAAAAAATTAAAAAAGAAAAACATTAGGAAAAAAAAGAAAAAATGTAAATTTAGACAGAAAAATCAACAAATGATATGAATTAAGTTTAATTAACAAAGACTAAAGCAACATTCTATTCTTCATTTTCAAGAAAAGGTGAAATGTCAATTTGATAAGAAACCTGAGCTACCTGTACAGGTAAATTTTAATGAAACATACAAGCTGAAAACTTCAATGCTGATTGATTTCAACAGGTAACATAATTAGATAAAACATCAACCTATGTTTTATGACCCCAATAAATGGCCAGCATCTCAAGATTGAATACCCCAATAAATGGCCACCATTCGATGGTGACCATACAAGAGGGTGGACATAATTAAGAGGAAGTCACAGGTTGTACTGTACGTCTATTCTACACCTCATAAAAGGGATAGTTATTACATTTTGGAGTTATCCCTCATTTGATGGGTTGTTCCCAACCTGTTAAATAAGATGGCAGATGACGGTAATTGGTCCTCGACTAATTCCAAAACCGTGGCTCTTGGGTCCTTATGATATTTTTTGACAATTCGCTCCGCAGCTAGTCCTCGACTAGTCCAAATAATTATGACATCTTGGAAGGCTATTTTAAATTTTTGCTTTGACGCCTTCCTGCGATGTAAGGCGTCAAAGAAAAAAATATAATAGCCTTTCAAGATGTCTTCTTCTTCTTCCTGGTACGGGAAAGACTCCGGTGCCGGAGTGTGGAATATCCCGGAACTGTGGCGCTATGTACATGCAAATGGATGTCGAAAATTTTGTTATAAGATAAAAATATTTGCCACAGTTCAATTACAATTTAAAATAACATTAGTTGTAGCTTTATGTTAAACATATTCACATTATGTACAGTGGCTTAAATACACTAATTAATTAGCCAGACTAAAACCTCCAAATGTTAAGGTGGAGATACCACCTTTGAAGGATTCTAGGGAGGGTGACATGCAAATTGTTTCTGGGAGATCGTTCCAGACAGCAATAGTACTTGGGAAAAAAGATGATTTAAAAAAGTCTTTATTTGTATATATATGTCGAAATTTATGTAGGCCTCTAGTTCGCCTATCAGATTGTGTCAGGACGTCATTAGTGACTTCGACCAACCCCCCATTAATCTTATAAATCAAGACAAGCTTAGCTTTTGTTCTACGGGATTGCAAGTTTTCCCATTTTAGTTTGTTTAACATACCAGTGACAGCACCTGGTGATCTATCGTTATAGTCATTAAAAACATATCTTGCTGCCTTATGCTGTATCTGCTCAATTTGGTTTATTTGGCTTTGTTTGTACGGATCCCAAACTGGTGAGGAGTACTCGACGGTCGGACGCACAAGTGATGTGTACGTAAGGTTTTTAACCTTACGTGTACAATTTTTCATGTTTCTACGTAAAAATCCTAGTGTTTTATTTGCCTTTGAAGTTATATTATTAATATGGGGCCCCCAATCAAGATCATTGCTTATCGTAACTCCTAGATACTTGCTGTCTTTAACAGATTCAAGTACATGGTTATGTAATTTATATTGAAATAAATTAGTTTTCGACTTATTAGAAATATTTATGACATAGCATTTTTCAGGATTAAATTTCATTTGCCATTCAGATTCCCAATTTTCAAGGCTTGATAGATTTTTTTGGAGTGCTTGAGAATCTTATGGCCTCATTTATATTATTTGATGTTTCATAAAGTAAACAGTCGTCAGCAAAAAGACGAACCTTACAGGAGACATGCTCAGGTAGGTCGTTTATGAATAACAAAAATAAAGTTGGGCCTACAGTAATACTGAGGAACACCAGAGTCAACAGCTAATTTGGAAGATTAAACACCGTTAAGCAGGACTTGCTGTTGCCTGTTTGACAAAAAATCTTTTATCCAAAGTAAGTTATTTTCACGTATACCATAATAATTGAGCTTTGTTATTAACCTTTCATGGGGGACCTTATCAAAAGCTTTGGAAAAATCTAAAAGTATTGCATCAACTTGATTACCTTCTGCTAAGTATTTGGCTATGTCCTGGATGCTGATAACAAGTTGTGCTTCACAGGAACGTTTACTCCTAAAGCCATGTTGGCAATCATTTAAAATATTATTTAAATCTAAATGTTTTCTAATGTTACTTGTTAAGACGTGTTCTAAAACCTTACAACATAATATAGCCGTTAAAGAAACAGGTCTATAGTTAATTGCATTATGCTTATCTCCCTTTTTAAAAATTTGCACAACATTTGCCTGTTTCCACTCAATGTCATAATTATTTGGACTAGTCCTCGACCAGTGTATCAATCTTTTAAAAAATGTACCTTGAAATTCATAGACAATAATAAAAAGTCTCAAATGCGTCACATTAGCCAGCCAACAGCAAAGTACTTGTTGATATTTTTATATTCGCACTGGGAGAAAATGCGGTGTGGTTTCTATACATATTAAAAAAATGTTCGATTGTTCAAACTTTACTGAAACCATGGACGCTGACATATTGAAAATGCTAAAACCTAGTGTTACACTAATGACAGGATGATTGACCGGATTGGTACTTTTAATTGTCGATGAACTCATTCAGGCCAACATTTGGAGCTCAAAAATATTTTAAAAACATTTTTTCAGATTTTCATAAAATAGTTTAGTATCTCAAGGTCTCCAAATATAAAAAAAAAACAACCAAATAACAAAAAAGTAATGACCATTTATATCTATAATCCGGTCATTACCCTATCACTATCCGGTCAATCTTCTTGTATATTGATTGGTTCCCGGTTCCAATGGTGAAGGTTATCCCAATTTGTTATGTAAACAGTAAATGTTGCATAAGTACAAAATCACGTTTTATCACGGTTAGATTTTCATTGGCACCGAAATGTTGGCATGAGGCCTTATTTGGAGAAAGACGATCAAAAAGTTTAAACATTTAACAAATGTCAATAGAGAGGTAAGGAACGAATCTTGGGAAATGTCAGTTGACTGTGTAAAAGTTGATATGGAAGGTAGGCATACATGTGTCGTTATTTAGCAGCAGTTTATACAGTTTGTTTAAAATGTGTCAGTAAATTAGTTAATTGATTGTTTTGATCAATGTAGAATGAATCAATACATGACAACTCGGACCACTCTAAACAAGACCTTAATAAATGGGTATTATCTCCATTTATGGGGAATCCGGGTCCGTTCGCCCTATTCACGTTCTCCCTGATACCTGTTAGCCCAGGGTCCATTCGCCATGAATTTTATTTTTTTCTAATTGTTGTGTGACGGGATTGCCTCCCTTAGAAATTTAGTAGATACTTAGACAGCCGTAAGCGGTTGAGCTAAGGAAGTACTTCTTTAGCTCAGTCGGTATACGCGCTGCCTTGTAACACAGAGGTCCCAGGTTGAGGTCCCGGTGGATACATACAATTTTGCAAGTAGAATCATGCTCTCCGGTTACATTGGCGCCCAACAATAAAAACCCATGGTAGTTAGAGAGGATTTCTAGCTAGGGTATGTGTGTTAGAGTCATAATGGTATGATGACTCTTGAGGTGGGGGAAATGTGACGGGATTGCCTCCCTTAGAAAGTTAGTAGATACTTAGACAGCCGTAAGCGGTTGAGCTAAGGAAGTACTTCTTTAGCTCAGTGGGTATACGCGCTGCCTTGTAACACAGAGGTCCCGGGTTCGAGTCCCAGTGGAGACATACGATTTTGCAAGTAGAATCATGCTCTCCAATTACAGTTGTCTAGTCGCATAATTTTAAGTATTTGAACAAAATATGTTAAAGTTTGTTGAAAAATTGACAGAATATTTATATTGCCGCAATCAATTTATCATTTTCCCTTTGATTTGCAGAGGAGAATACTGGAATACAATGTATTTATCTTTATTGATATTTGTTAACAAAATAATTGTATTCAGTCAATCACGAATATATGCAGTATAATTGAGACAGTCTCAGAGTATAAATAAATGAACTTGTAAATCCGTTTCATGATTTACAGTTTGTACATCATTGTTTTTATTAATTTCAAGCTGAATATTTTATCAAAACAAAACGTTTGTTTTTATTATTAATCCATCAAAAGACAAGTATCACAATAATCAGTGATCCGAATTATTTTGTCATTGAACAATTAATGATCCTAAACAAGCCATAAACTTTTAAATATTTCCATGTTTCCATAAATTTCAAGAATATATACCATAGAAATATCTGAATAAGTTTATTCAACTTCAATGCCCTGCATATTAATATTTTTTTAGTAGGGCGAACGGACTCTATGGGCGAACGAACTCAGGGCGAACGGACCCACGGCGAACATGTTATTAGGGCGAACGGACCTGATACCATTTATGTGCATTATACTACAAACATGTATAAATTTTCAGTGATAAAAATGTAAACTTGGGATTTCAAGATATTTGCTGTTTTAGTGCAAACATTCAGGTAAATGACAACATGATTTTGCCCAAAGACACCATGACTGAAATATCATCTGGATAAAAGAAAGAATTTTTGAGGCCATTATCTTTGTATTGAATTGTTATTTGAACTATTGTCTTAAAAGGGAAAATGTTGTCATTTGCATAATAGCCATTAATATTTGCACCTTGACAGCCGTTAAAATGAAATACAAAAAATCTGATTGATTTGTCACTCACTCTGCCACAGTAAATTGATACCCGATTTGGGGTAGAATACCAATAAATGGGGTTAGCCTCACTGTGACTTTGAGATGAAGAACAGCAATAAAAGTGCTGTTCCTTTGCTTTTTGTGTGTGTTTTTTTTTTTTTGCTGTACATGAACTGATTTCGTGGATGGATACCGAACATCCTTTGTTTTTCTATTAGAACATATATTCATGAGGATCTTCCCCAACCTGATAAAAAGGTATATAAAGATGTAATGTTGTATTTATTGATGTATATTCATGTGATTGTTTTTTCATAATTTTAAAATGTAAATAGGGTAGTTTAACAACCACAGCTCCAGTTTTTATACGACCGCAAAAATTGAAAATTTTTTGGTCGTATATTGGTATGACGTTGGCGTCGTCGTCGTCGTCGTTGTCGTCGTCGTCGTCCGGCGTCGTCCGAAGACACATTGGTTTTCGCACTCTAACTTTAGTTTAAGTGAATGGATCTCCATGAAATTTTACCATAAGGTTCAATACCATGAAAGGAAGGTTGGGATTGATTTTGGGGGTTATGGTACCAACAGTTAAGGAATTAGGGGCCAAAAAGGGGCCAACAATAAGCATTTTTGTAACTTCCAGACAATAACTTGTGTGTAAGTGTATGGATCTCTCTGACATTGTACCACAAGGTTCCATATCACAAAGGGAAGGCTGTAATTGATTTTGGGGGTAATTGCCTCAAAATGTTAGGAATTAGGGGCCAAAAAAGGGGCAAAAAACAAGCATTTTTCTAGTTTCATGACAATAACTTGTGTGTAAGTGTTTGGATATTTCTGAAATTGTACTACAAGGTTCCATATCACAAAGGGAAAGCTGGAATTGAGTTTGGGGGTAATTGCCCGAAACGTTTAGGAATTGGGGGCCAAAAAGGGGCCAAAAATAAGCATTTTTCTAGTTTCCAGACAATAACTTGTGTTCAAGTGTATGGATCTCTCTGAAATTGTACTGCAAGGTACCATACCACAAAGGGAAGGCTGAGATTGAGTTTGGGGGTGATGAATCATAAGGGGGTTCAAAAAATTTTGGGGGGGGATTTTTTTTTTCTTTTTTTTTTTCTTTTTTTCCTTTTTTTTTTTCTTTTAAAATTTTCCATTTTAAGTTGGTTATTTCTGATTTATATTTAAAAGCAAATAATAATGATATGGTAGGAGATACACACCAAACAGGATGTGTAAATTATTATATAATAAGTATTGTGCAATAGCAAGAAATTTTCAATTGCACAGTATTGCACAATAGCAAGAAATCTTCAATTGCACAGTATTGCGCAATAGCAAGAAATCTTCAATTGCACAGTATTGCGCAATAGCAAGAAATATCCAATAGCACACTATTGCGCAATAGCAAGAAATTGTCAATTGTACAGTATTGCGCAATAGCAAGAAATAATCAATTGCACAGTATTGTGCAAAAGAAGATACTTCGTATAAATTGCTTATTTCTTGATCAATTTCAATGGGGTTTTATTCTTGAATTCTTGGGGTTCTTTAATATGCTGAATCTAACCGTGTATTAAGTTTTTGGATTTTGGGCCCCGTTTTTAAATTGGTCCACAGTGAGGTCCAAAGGGTCCAAAATTTAACTTTGTTTGATTTCATCAAAAATTGAATTATTGTGGTTCTTTGATATGCCGAATCTAACCGTGTATTTAGATTCTTAATTTTTGGTTCTGTTTTCAAATTGGTCTACATAAAGGTCCAAAGGGTCCAAAATTAAACTTAGTTTGATTTCAACAAAAATTGAATATATGGGGTTCTTTGATATGCTGAATCTAACCATGTATTTAGATTTTTGATTATGGGCCCAGTTTTCAAGTTGGTCCAAATCGGGGTCCAAAATTAAACTTTGTTTGATTTCAACAAAAATTGAATATATGGGGTTCTTTGATATGCTGAATCTAACCATGTATTTAGATTTTTGATTATGGGCCCAGTTTTCAAGTTGGTCCAAATCGGGGTCCAAAATTAAACTTTGTTTGATTTCAACAAAAATTGAATATATGGGGTTCTTTGATATGCTGAATCTAACCATGTATTTAGATTTTTGATTGTTGGGCCCCATTATCAACTTTGTCCACATTGAGATCAAAAGGGTCCAAAATTAAACTTTGTTTGATTTCATCAAAAATTGAATATATGGGGTTCTTTGATATGCTGAATCTAACCATGTATTTAGATTTTTGATTATAGGCCCAGTTTTCAAGTTGGTCCAAATCGGGGTCCAAAATTTAACTTTGTTTGATTTCAACAAAAATTGAATATATGGGGTTCTTTGATATGCTGAATCTAACCATGTATTTAGATTTTTGATTATGGGCCCAGTTTTCAAGTTGGTCCAAATCGGGGTCCAAAATTAAACTTTGTTTGATTTCAACAAAAATTGAATATATGGGGTTCTGTAATATGCTGAATCTAACCGTGTATTAAGTTTTTGGATTTTGGGCCCCGTTTTTAAATTGGTCCACATTGAATTCCAAAGGGTCCAAAATTTAACTTTGTTTGATTTCATCAAAAATTGAATTATTGGGGTTCTTTGATATGCCGAATCTAACCGTGTATTTAGATTCTTAATTTTTGGTTCCGTTTTCAAATTGGTCTACATAAAGGTCCAAAGTGTCAAAAATTAAACTTAGTTTGATTTTAACAAAAATTGAATTTTTAGGGTTCTTTGATATGCTGAATCTAAACATGTATTTAGATTTTTGATTATGGGCCCAGTTTTCAAGTTGGTCCAAAATTAAACTTTGTTTGATTTCAACAAAAATTGAATATATGGGGTTCTTTGATATGCTGAATCTAACCATGTATTTAGATTTTTGATTTTTGGGCCCTGTTATCATTTTTGTCCACATTGAGATCAAAAGGGTCCAAAATTAAACTTTGTTTGATTTCATCAAAAATTGAATTCTTGGGGTTCTTTGATATGCTGAATCTAACCATGTATTTAGATTTTGGATATTGGACCATAATAGGTGAATGTCCAATTTAAAATTTTTAAGTTCTTAGACCACATTCATTCTGTGTCAGAAACCTATGCTGTGTCAAATATTTAATCACAATCCAAATTCAGAGCTGTATCAAGCTTGAATGTTGTGTCCATACTTGCCCCAACTGTTCAGGGTTCGACCTCTGCGGTCGTATCAAGCTGCGCCCTGCGGAGCATTTTATTAAGCATGTTAAGAAAAACCCATCACAGAGTTTTTTTATAAAGTTCTGAGACTTACTACTACACAAAGTATATAATTGACAACTTTCAATATCTTACCATACTTCAAACACATGATGAGTTGCAGTCTTAATATTTAGAAAGGGACATTTGCCATTTGCCATTTGTGTAGGTCTACCATAGTGAGTTAAAATAACTTTTTTTATTTTCAAGTTGGCGATCAGCTAGCCTTGTGATCTTGCTGGGGATAAATGAATAAGTAACAACAGAAATATATTAAAAACAAACAATTTAATTAGCTAAAAGGTAGGGTGCTTAAACACAGGCACTAATGTCTCTGAAAAGAATTTACCTATATACTTTGATTTAAAGTAAACAAGTCTAAATTGAAAACAACGTTCAAACCTATGATTGCGTTGGATTTAAAGTGATATTAATATATATTGGTTCAAAAGTTCAGAGACAAGTGCCTGTGTGTTAAAACCCATTTGCAGCCTTGAAATATAAGCAATGCTTGTATTGTTCTATTTATATTTATATATTAGAGTGAAGACAGCATAAATAAATAACAGTAACAAAGAAAAGACATAATAAACAATGCTGGTGTTGTGTGATGCTAATGTACATGATATGCATGAATGAATTATAATCAATGGTTTAGTCAAATGTATGAAAAACTACAGTTTTTTTTTTTTTTTCCCTTCACAATATTGGTTAAAATTAATAGGTGCATTCAGAAATCATCTTCAAGACTTCCACATTAGTAGATTAGTAAAAATATATTTCGTGTCAGACATGTATTTTTTTTTTTACCACCATAGCCTAAAATAGAGGAGTACTGTGCTCCACCCCTCCAGGCTGCATCCTTTTGCCTTGACTCATTAAATTTGTTCCTTTGTTTCTCATACATGTATCTGTTTTTGTTAATGTGAAAAATAGTGTTTTTTCATTTTTTTCAACTCAAGTCCATTCAATTTGGATTTACCTAAACTTTTATTAGGTGATGACATCAATATTACTAATTCACTAGAGACCAAGACATTGATGTAAGCAACTATAGGTTACTGTATGGCCTTCAACAATGAGCAAAACACATACGGTATAGTCATCTATAAATTGCCCCACTTGGCAAAATGTGAAACAATTCAAACGAGAAAACCAACTGCCTGATTAACACTAAAACAAAAAAACAAAAATATGACAGACAGCAAGCACTGTAAATTCAGAAATTATTGCGAGGTTTTTATTAATGCAAATAATGCGACGGGGTAAGTATCGCAATAATTAGAACTTGCATTCTGACATGTCTGATATCGAATATATAGAACTGTCTGCAGATATTCCTATAATCGCAATAAATAATCTCACATTTTTGTCCTTTCTTAAAAAATTTACAGTTCATATAGAAATAAGAAGATGTGGTATGCATTTGTATAATCCATTCAAATAAAAGGACTTAATATGTTGGTTCTGAATACATATAGTCATATAATAAGTACTGGTCTAAAACTCCTTACCATGATCACACTTTATTAAAACATGGTAATTCATAATAAATTGTCTAAATTAGTTCATGTACTGACATTTAGCACTGACTTATATATTAATATCTACATTCTTTATATATTAAGCATTTGTCATGTCTTATTAATTATCTTGTATGTTGCAGGTGCTGAAAAGATGACGAGTAAAAAGAGAGTTCTAATTGTTGGAGCAGGGGCTGCAGGAACTGCAGCTGCTTACAGTTTATCAAAACATCCAGAGAAATTCCAAGTAGAAGTCTGGGAAAAACTATCAGTACCTGGAGGCGTTGCCTGTTCAAGCGATATTAAAGGAGATGCGTTTGTTAATTATGGGGTTCAAGGAGGTACACCTTCATACAGAAATACTTTGATAATGATGAATGAGTTTGGGTTTAAGACATCACCAGTACATATGATGATATCCTTTGGTAATGGAAAGACTCACTGGACTAACTATGCAAAGTCACCCCTGACAGAAAAGTTGAAAAATGAAATCAAACGTTTTGAAGATGTCTTAAAGAAGATCAACAGATTTGAGTTCTTTTATATTTTTGTTCCAATGTACAAAGTTTTGAAATGGAATGGATTTTCTGATGATTTTGCAAATGAAATGGTTTTTCCACTCACAGCTCTTTTCTTTGGAACAGGAAACCGTACTCCATACGTGTCAGCTGCTATCATGGCTAGAGTATTTTTAGATGAAGACCTGCGATTATTTGATTATGACTCAGAACTTCTGTTAAGTCAATCACCAGAAATGTTTGCCTTTCCAAAGCTAGAACAAATGTATGAAACAATCTTAAGAAAAAGTGGAGTGAAAATTTGTTTGAATAGACCAATAACTTCTGTCAAGAGATATGGGACTCATGTGACTGTGATTGATCAAGATGGGAAAACTGCTACATTCGATGAAATCCTGTTTGCATGTGATGCAGAAACTGTCCTTAAATTATTGGAAAACCCGACCTTCTTTGAAAGAAAAGCACTCGGCAATGTGAAATATTATAATGATTTAATTCTGACGCATGAAGATGATAATTACATGAACAAACATTATGAAGTAAACAAAGACAAAGATCAATACTTTGTCAGAACTGATCCGACAGACCCAGCCAAAATAGAAATGTCTTTCAATCTGTCTAACTACCAACCACAGCTGAAAAATTCCAAGAGAAATATTTACCAGACGATATACTTAGATGACAATCTGAGAGAGAAATACTGGACTGTAAATGAAGTGAAGAAGGATAAAGTCTTACTTGAGACATGGTGGCGACAGTTCTCTCATTCCTGGACTCATTTTGCGTTCACTGTTCCCCTGATGAGATACCTCCAAGGGAAGAAACACACATGGTTTTGTGGTGCTTATACGCTGATAAACACTCACGAAATTGCAATGATCTCTGGTCTTGCAGCAGCTCACCGCTTGGGAGCACCGTATCCATTTCATCATGATGCATTAGCTGCCAAACAGTTTGATCAGTATCTGTTGACCATACATGGCAAGCCAAGGAACTTTGGGTGTAACAAAATGACACTAATGAGTTGTGTGCTAGCTCCGTTGATGGCTCTTTTTGCACTCTTTTCCCTCTTATTGAGGTTTTGTTGCAATCGGAAGTCATCTTAATGTGAAAATATTGTAATTGTCTAGAACAGATGTGCATATTTGTTATAAGATGTAGTATAGTACAAACAGTTGTATGAACATTTACAAGTGTGGTATATGATAATAATGTACAAAAATGTTTTAGTGTATGTATAGATGGCATGCATGTAATACATATGTGAAGTTGCACATATATGTTTGTATAGTAAATGTATTGTAAATATACCTGCTTTAATAATGCATTGTAGCCTCTATTAATCAAAACCTAGTTTTGTAACGAATAATACTCAAATGCTGATAAAATATTACAATTACAATGAATAATAAGTACTAGTACATGTAATTGTATACTTTTTGAATTTTTTAGTTGTTTTTTTTTTTTGTGTTTTATTTTTAAATTACCATTGACAATTAATCATTTAATACAGGTCAATGTACTAAATTATGTAAATCTTTGGAGGAACTAAAGTATTCAATATATTCCAAAACTCCTTCATTGTCCTTAACAAGTAAATGAATTTGATGAATTTATTCACAAAATCTTTACCATGTTCATTTACATTTTAATTTTTATCCAAATTTTTGTTTTCAAGTTTCCCATAGCCATCATAGCATGGTATGGGCATATTCAACATGTATCCTTAATCTACAACTAAATGAAAGAATGTTATTTATAACTTCATTACTTAATCCCAATTTGTTCCTCCTATTTTATTTTAATGAACAAAAATTCTTAAGGGGTTAATGTTTCTCTTATCATAACATGGAAATTTGACATATCTATATATAAGGTCACAGTACCCAAATTGCACCTACTTAGCAAAATAGCAGTGGAAATCTTACAAGTTTTCTTACAGACCAAACAATTTGTATTTTTATGAATTGGCATTATGCACGTTTTCCAACATAGGTAAATATATTTATATGTACACAAAACGTTCACAGTATATCAACAGATGAGGTATTCACTGGAAAAAGTAAAATCTACGGAAACATCGCCATGCGACGTCCACAAAAAATCATCTTTTAAAAATGAGCAAATAAAATATATTACAAGCATCCATTTCTTAAAAAATGAAAAGTAAGCATAGAATAATGTCCAATTGTTCTAAATATTTGAAACAAAACATCTGTTATTAGATTTTTAATGATGTGAATTTAAGCATGGATGCAATTTAGGTGCTCCTCATTACATATTATGGGTCGTTTGGAGGTCAGCTCTAACCCATTTTTCTATGAATTAATATGGATTCAAAATTAAATTGGTGGAATTATATAGTAAATAATGATACATCTACAAAATAAACACAGAATGGAAACTTTTGTCTGGATCATAAATAAACGTAGGTGAAAAAACTGTCAAAATAGGTGCAATTTGGGTACCCTCACGTTAGTAGTTTCAATGTGGAGTTGAACGGGGAGGAGCACATATTTAAAACCTAGTATTATTATTAACCAGCAGCTAGGAAGCTTCTAGATAGGGAACCATAACACTTATGGTCCTTAGGAAATTTTCTGATTCATGCGGACGAAATTAAAAATCCACAAAAAAATTAGGATTCAGCACAGAACCGAAGAGCTTGGTTCCTCACTTAAAAATTTACATGTACATTGTATATTGATGTTTCTCTTTTTCAATAGTAAAGTTTTGTCTGTATGTTAAATAACAGAATTAACTACACTATTGTCCATATGTTTATATTATTTATTGTTTTTGTTACACAAACCAACAAGTCTACCTCTATATTTTCTGATTAAATACAGGTTTAACACTTAGTTGTTACTTTATTATTCAGATGATCTGAGATCTTTTCTATAATGTTTCTACAAAGACTTGTTGGATACCAATTTTTGTGGATATTGTGGTTAAAGGTGAACCACAAATTTAAATGTTCAACGAAGTACAAATTTTCTATAAGCTTGGATGCAAACTTATACAAAACCACTAAATCAAATATCCACAAAAAAACAATGTTCCTTCAATCCACCGAAATGGTACCCACAGAAATAAATGTATCCACAGTATGTTACACTCACAAACAACAATTACTGATTAGGGTTTCCAATCTCTGTACAGTTTCCAGGCATTCACTCATCCTTCCTTTTTTCTACATTTAGCTAGGGGGCTCCAGTAGATTACCCCTAAGGTCACAAAGTTTTGTTTAAAAATAAGCTCAAGTCACCAGGTCACTTTTAAGAAAATTTGACAGGTTTATGTTAAAAAAATTACCTGTGTTAAAGGTTGTTGGTCCCTTTAAATGAGATGTCAGGTCCCTGCCAAACCCCCAAGGTTGCAGGTTTGATTTGATCATGTTGGAGCCACAGCTAGTGCACAGAAACAAAGAGTGAAAATGACATGCAGACTAAATGAATATGTTGCATTCAAACCTTTTTTCACTAAATTAATCTTATAAAAATGCTCACAGCTGAATGTCTGAAAAGCTAAAATAATGCTTTATATTCACAAGGCCTTTAAGGGCCTAAAGAACATTTGAACGTCAACTTTGCCTAAGGAAATTTAAACCTTGGGTGAGATTTTTTAAATAGGAAAATATATCAAATAGTACTTTCAGGAAGTAGGTAGTAAATCACAAATTTTCACTAGTAGAACTGCTTACTGTGCCATATAGTACAACAGCATGAAGTTCAAAGATACCAAGGAGTTAACAAGAGTGCACACACTCAAATGTCTCACCTGCTTAACTTAAAGGATTGCATTTATGTTGAAAGTCTGTAATATGAAGGGTTTGAAAAACATTATCAATAATCCATGTATATGAGGTCAAGGTCAGATGAATCCTGCCATACAAACATTAACACTTTCCAAACATACCATATATCAAATACAGTTTGCCTAATAGTATCTGATAAACCAACTAAATTATAACATCGACAAATGAACCATGAAAATGAGATTAAGGTAAGATAAAACCAGCCAACCAGACATGAGCACCTTACAATTATTCCATTCACCAATATAGTGTCCGAGGAATAGACCAAACCACAAAAATATAAGTGTCCAATGAACCATGAAGTAGAGGTCAAGGTCATGTAAAAACCTGCCAGACCTTACAATCATTCTATACACCAAATATAGCTGATCTATTGCTTATTGTAGTATCTGAGAAACGGACCTAAAAATTTTTTTAAATTGACCAATAAACCATGAAAATGAGGTCAAAGTCAGATGAAACCTGCCAGTCTGACATGTACACCATACACCAAATTTTAATGACCTGTTGCATATAGTAAGGAATTGACCATGGAAACGTAACCTTGGATCACCATTCCATTAAATGAGGTAGAGCAAGCCCTGCCTAACTGACATGTAGGCCTTGCAAGGATGCCATATACGTAACGAAATACAGTTAACCCTATCACTCATATATAAGTGAGTCTTACATGACAAAATAATATACATTTTTAACAAGCAGTCCCTGAACCATGAAAATAAGGTCAAGGACAATGAAGATATGACAGACAGAAACTTACCTACCTTCTGTAATATAAAACTTAATATAAATAGTACATACTGTAGTAATCCCTATGTCGTGCATTTTGTGACATTTTGTACTTTTATACTATACAGTGTCAGTTTGCTCATTGTGTTGAGAACATCTGGTAACCTGTTATAGTCTACATCCTTATCCTTGTGTCTTCAGGTGTATTGCTGTCTCATTGTTAATTATACCTTATCTGCTTATTGTCCCCTGTGCATGCTTTTGGGGGGGGGACATAGAAATACCGGGCGTCCTTGTGTCCGTCAGGTCTTGTTAGCGCTCTCACAGCTACAATTCTTGCCAGATTTTTTTAAAACTTATACTATAGGTTAATATCAGCAATATCTTGGACAAGTTCTATAATGGTGGCCGATTGACTTTTTTAAAAAGAGTTATGCCCCTTGGAAATATTAAATTTATGGAAAATGGCCTCGTAAGTGCTCTCATGGGTACAATACTTGCCAGATTTTTATAAACTTTACTACAGGTTAATATCAGCAATATCTCGGACAAGTTCTATAATGGTTGACGATCGACTATTTTTAAAAGAGTTATACCCCTTGGAAACATTAAATTTATGGAAAATGGCCTTGTTAGCGCTCTCACAGGTACAATTCTTGCCAGATTTTTATAAAACTTATACTAGAGGTTAATATCAGCAATATCTCGGACAAGTTCTATAATGGTGGACGATTTACTTTTTTAAAAGAGTTATGCCCCTTGGAAATATTAAATTTATGGAAAATGGCCTCATTAGCAATCTCACGGTTACAAATCTTGCCAGATTTTTATAAAACTTATACTATAGGTTAATAACAGCAATATCTCGGACAAGTTCTTTAATGGTGGACGATCGACTTTTTTTAAGAGAGTTATGCCCCTTGGAAATATCAATTATATGGAGAATTGCCTTATGAGCGCTCTAGGGTGTACAATTTTTGCCAGATTTTTAGGAAATTTATATCATAGGTTAACATCATCAATGTCTTTGACAATTTCAATAAAATGCTTCCCTGGGGCGCAGCTTGATACGACCGCAGAGGTCGAACCCTGAACAGTTGGGGCAAGTATGGACACAACATTCAAGTTTGATACAGCTCTGAATTTGGATTGTTATTAAATATTTGACACAGCATAGGTTTCTGACACAGAAAGAATGTGGTCTAAGAACTTGAATTTTTTTAATTTACCTATTATGGTCCAATGTCCAAAATCAAAATACATGGTTAGATTCAGCATATCAAAGAACCCCATATATTCAATTTTTGTTAAAATCAAACAAAGTTTAATTTTGGACCCCAACTTGGACAAACTTGAAAACTGGGCCCATAATCAAAAATCTAAACATATGTTTAGATTCAGCATATCAAAGAACCCCAAGAAATCAATTTTTGCTAAAATCAAACTTAGTTTAATTTTGGACCCTTTAGACCTTAATGTAGACCAATTTAAAAAACAGGACTTAAAATTAAAAATCTAAATACACGGTTAGATTTGGAATATCAAAGAACCCCAATAATTCAATTTTTGATGAAATCAAACAAAGTTTAATTTTGGACCCTTTTGACCTCAATATGAACCAATTTGATAGCGGGGCCCACAAATAAAAAATCTAAATTCATGGTTAGATTCAGCATATCAAAGAACCCCATATATTCAATTTTTGTTGAAATCAAAAAAAGTTTAATTTTGGACCCCAACTTAGACCAACTTGAAAACTGGGCCTATAATCAAAAATCTAAACACATGTTTAGATTCAGCATATCAAAGAACCCAAAGAATTCAATTTTTGTTAAAATCAAACTAAGTTTAATTTTGGACCCTTTGGACCTCAATGAAGACCAATTTAAAAAACGGGACCCAAATTAAACATCTAAAAACACGGTTAGATTTGGCATATCAAAGAACCCCAATAATTCAATTTTTGATGAAATCAAACAAAGTTTAATTTTGGACCCTTTTGACCTCAATATGAACAAATTTGATAGCGGGGCCTACAAATAAAAAATCTAAATACATGGTTAGATTCAGCATATCAAAGAACCTCATATATTCAATTTTTGTTGAAATCAAACAAAGTTTAATTTTGGACCCCAATTTGGACCAACTTGAAAACTGGGCCCATAATCAAAAATCTAAATACATGTTTAGATTCAGCATATCAAAGAACCCCATATATTCAATTTTTGTTGAAATCAAACAAAGTTTAAATACTGGACCCTATCTTGGACCAACTTGAAAACTGGGCCCATAATCAAAAATCTAAACACATGTTTAGATTCAGCATATCAAAGAACCCCATATATTCAATTTTTGTTGAAATCAAACAAAGTTTAAATACTGGACCCTATCTTGGACCAACTTGAAAACTGGGCCCATAATCAAAAATCTAAACACATGTTTAGATTCAGCATATCAAAGAACCCCAAGAATTCAATTTTTGTTAAAATCAAACTAAGTTTAATTTTGGACCCTTTGGACCTTAATGTAGACCAATTTAAAAAAACAGGACCCAAAATTAAAAATCTAAATACACGGTTAGATTTGGAATATCAAAGAGCCCCAATAATTCAATTTTAGATGAAATCAAACAAAGTTTAATTTTGGACCCTTTTGACCTCAATATGAACCAATTTGATAACGGGGTCCACAAATAAAAAATCTAAATACATGGTTAGATTCAGCATATCAAAGAACCCCATATATTCAATTTTTGTTGAAATCAAACAAAGTTTAATTTTGGACCCCAATTTGGACCAACTTGAAAACTGGGCCAAAAATCAAAAATCTAAATACATGTTTAGATTCAGCATATCAAAGAACCTCATATATTCAATTTTTGCTAAAATCAAACAAAGTTTAATTTTGGACCCTTTGGACCTTAATGAAGACTATTTTGAAAACTGGACCCAAAATTAAAAATCTAAATACACTGTTAGATTCAGCATAACAAATAAATAAATGTGATCAAAGATTTTACAAATCTAATGGGCCATACTGTGCAATTAAAGATTACTTCTTGAAATTTTTCAATATTTGAAATTTGAAAAAAAAATAATATTTGAAGAATAATTCTTTTTAATTTCTGAAATCTGAAATGAGAAAAAATTGACCCCCCACAATTTCTTTTTATCACCCCCCCCCCCCTTTTTTACCCCCAAAAAATTCTATCCCTCAAGATATGGTCATAATCTCAATTCAAATTTCCAATGGAGTTGGCAACCATAATTACCCATTTAATTTTACCATAGTGCTAACTTAATCTATTTTATAATAGAATTAAAAATATAGTGTCAAATCTTTCATATAGATTTTTTTGTAAAATAAAATGATGCAACATTTGCAGATATTTTTACTGGTCTTCCTTTATAAATATGCATTTCTTTAAACATAATTTAAAAGCAGTGTAAGGGAAGTAACCAAAACTTTGTATTTGGATTACCTCCCTTACACTGTTTTAAATTATCTTTATTGTTCATTAACCATTACTTTATACATAATTTAAAAGCAGTGTAAGGGAGATAATTTCAATGATGTATTTGATTTATCTCCCTTACACTGCTTTAAATTATGTTTTGTACTAAAGTATTTGTCCATTAACCAGGACAACCTTGTTTTTCCCCCTTTTTTGCCCCTAATTCCTAAACGGTTTGAGCCATAACCCCCCAAAGCAAATCCTAACCATCCCTTTGTGGTATGGAAACTTGTAGTATAATTTCAGAGAGATCCATACACTGTTCCACAGTTATTGTCTGGAAACTAGAAAAGGCCCTTTTTGGCCCCTAATTCCTTAACTGTTGGTACCATAACCCCCAAAATCAATCCCAACCTTCCTTTTGTGGTATTTAACCTTATGGTAAAATTTCAAAAAGATCCATTCACTTAAACTAAAGTTAGAGTGCGAAAACCAATGTGTATTCGGACGACGACGACGACGACGACGACGCCAACGTCATACCAATATACGACCACAAAAATTTTTTTGCGGTCGTATAAAAATCAGTGCTGATCAATTATTTATAAAAGAGTTATGCGCCTTGGAAATATTGATTATATGGAAAATTGCATTGTTAGCACTCTCATGTGTTCAGTTCTTGTCAGAATTTTATGAAACTTATATCATAGGTTTATATCAGCAATGTCTTTAAACTTTCAAAAATATAAGTTCTGATCAAATATTTTTAAAGAGTTATGCCTCTTGGAAATATTAATTATAATTGAAATCACATTGCATTTGCTTTAAAGCCTTCATTTCTCCAAGATATTAATAAAAAAAAGTTTAAAGAACAACAAAAAAGTGCTTTTTTAGTTATTGCCCTTGTACCTTTGAGAGATAAAATATGTGCAATGCGGGGGACATTGGAACTCTGTTCTTTTATTTTTATTTCAGTTATTGCAGCATGAAATATAGGTCAGGGGACTCCAATATTGTTAATCAATGCTTTACCATATAAAAGAATTAAGGTGACAAAATACAATTGATATACCATCATAAGCCCAGGGAGAAATATACCTCATTGTAGATATTCTGGATGGATGTATGTACTGCAAGATAAAGGTAAATATAAATGATTTTAAGGAAGATGGAGTGTACAATGTTAAGAGTAACAGTTCAACACAAAGGTACCACAAAAATAACCAAGTCCAGTTTTCTATCTTTAATAATAGGTTATTGTTGTAACCAGTACATTGTTCATATACAGTGGACTCATATAAATTGCATAGCTATTAATACTGTTAGTTTTACAAGAATTGAATACAAAAAACTTTTCCTGTCTCATCTATTATACATTGTGGTTGCTAATTGTCTATTCTTAACAATTTCTGCCAATTGCATAAAAAAATTGAGAAGTGAAAAATATGCAACCTATTCTGAGAAAAAATGTGTTTGTTTAAAACCCACTGATTATTAACAAGAACTTGCCAAATATTGTTTTTACAAATATTTCATTTGTTTTTACTGAATCAATGGTTCTTCATAAGTGTTATCAATATGTTTATATAACAATTTTCATGCAATTCCTTATGACCCAAGGTGAAAAAACTTTTTCATCAAAAATAATGATTCTTTCAAAATCTTAACCTATCATATATCATAAAATTATATTTTCATGGATATTTGATTTCGTAATTATATCATTTCGCATACTAGTGTGTAGAAAATTTGTACTTCAATGAACATTTAATTTCATATTTTACTTACTACAAAAAAAAAATTGGTTTCCTACAAATAATAATGATTCCACACTGTGCAATTTATTCCACACATGTTTTCTCAAAAAATTGCAAAACAAAAAACAGAGCAACACAATAACAAGATTTTGTCAATATGCATATGAATTCCACCATATTAACTTTCAAATAGCACTATTAGTTTGGAATGATCTCCTTTATACATGTACACAATATCATATTATCCTTTAAAGATGTTCACTCCTATTGTTTTTGATTTTTTGCCAGATATTCGGAATCCTCTGGTAGTGCCATTAAAAATTTTGCCCGCTAACCCCTACTTTTCCTTTCATAATTTTATTACATAAAGTTTAAAAGCCATATTTGAAAATCTTATGAAATCCTTGTTATTTTTTCGTAGTTTTTTAAAGAAAACAGGTGCCAATGTTAAATGTAAGAAAAATCTAAAGAGAATAATTTCCCGCCAAATTTTCAATGGCTTATATCTCGAAAACCACCCTTCATTTTTTTCTGCTTTTTCAGTTCCTCGATTTATATACTATCAATTTATAACAGTTTTTTATTAAAACTTGTTTTTTGAAACAGAGTAGCAAACATCCATAATGCTCATCTTATATCAACCATCCAAGTTCAATCTAACATTCAATGATCAACATTTACATGTACCAACTTGCACATTTTTTGTACCAAACAGCAGCTAAAACTGGCATTCATTGCTACATATATACCAGACATACACTAATAGATAGGTTTCAATTGACACAATTTGAGCAAGAGTAACCTCCCATTAGTTTCCATGTTGGAGGACTATGTGCCCAAATTCCTTCATAAATCAGCCAAATTCATCTTGTTATACTCACGGCTAGACTTTACAAATAAATGGAGAATGTGTCCATGGGACACAGATGATGCCCCCGCTTGCATTTAACGACGTAACGTTATAATAGGACATAAATCAAGAACGGTAAAAGTGATGCTACCCACATTCATACTTGATCTGAATTTTGTGTACAAGTTGCATAACAATTGGTCGAAGCAATCTTAAGTTAGAGAATGGAAATGAAAAATTCAGCAATTTTTCCATTTTTAAAGGGACATGACTCTAGAACAGTAAAAGTGTCGCCACCAAAATGCAAATTTGATCTGTGTTTTGTGGTAATAAGCATTGTGTACAAGTTTCATAACATTTGGTTGAGGCAAACTGAAGTTAGAGAACGGAAACCAATTTGTGGGACGTACAGACGGACAAGGGTAAAACTTAATGCCCCCTCCGCTATGGCCGGGGCATAAAAATTGTTTTCTGAACAATTTTAATTTTTTTTAGCCTTGCTTGATTCATCACTTCTATCTAGTAAGTATCTTTTATCTGACTTGTTGGAACCAAATGTATCAATTTGGTTAGTCAAATAGGAAAATTATTAGTAACCATTTACCCCTCAAAAATGGTGGTCACAGGGAAAAGTTAAAACTCAAATTACGTTATATTGTAACCTTTTTATACTGACATTCAGTGCTCAACCTAAACCATATAAAAGATAAATTCATTATAGGGAAAATTCAAGTCTAATTTGATCTGTAGAATTTTGATTAGACCAGGAATTTTTTGTTCAACAAGTTCATTTTTCATCACAACCATAATAATTTACACAACAATCTTTTTTTCACAGAAATGCATTACAGTATGCAGTCCAACAATGTGTCCAGATTAATAATGAAAAAATAAATCATATTATAATTTATACATGATTAGAGATCCTTATGATTACTGATATAAATATGTATCACAGCAAACAAAAATGTTCAATATTAGTGTTATATACAGGGAAGGTTTTATATGTCATTTTGATGTATTAAATCTATTATGAATACAGTAGGGGTCTCCGTCCAAGAGCATATTTTTACTGGAAAAGCCCTTGGAAACTTTGGTAAATTTTGGACATTACTAGCAATCTACAGAATGTAGGTTTAAGAAAAATGTCTATTCATGCATCAGAATTTCATTGGGTTTATTACTGTCAACATTTTGTTAAACATATGCATAAATGTTCATAACTTGAGCATATAATATCTTCAACATCATCATATAAAAAATTAGCATACAGCTGCTATTGGTCACATGTCTGAGGTTAAAGAAGTAATTAAAAAAAATTTAGCACTATACAACAAACATCTATGAAGCACCATGTAAATCTTTATAAGACATAACATTTGAAAACAAAAATTTTACTAATTCAATAAGTTTAATGTCCAGTAGACAATATATTGGCGCTTTTTTTTAACATACATTTTCTTGTTAAAGCATCTTAATAATATATTTGAATATTAAATTGTAGAAATCATTTTGGAAAGATTTCATATCGAGGAATTATGCCCCCTTTCCTTGATTTGTTTTGAACAAAATCAGCATGTTACGTGATATTTTGTACAATAATTGTCTTTCATTGTACAAAATATCACATAACATGGTGATTTTGTGCAAAAAAAACCAACATTTTTTCCAACTAAAAGGGGGGGGAGGGGTGTTCCACCTGACATTATCACAGCTTCTTCCCTTGTCATATTAGTCATCACAAATCTCTCTCCCTAATGGTTACAAAAAGAAGTAAGGAAATGTATGTTGCAATTCACCAGTTACAGATGATATGGGACAATTCTGTTACAATATGGGACATCAATATTCTTCATGGTTAAAAAATCATTTGTTAAGATGATACTGCATAGCATAATTAAAATGGATAGTATTCGATCTTTTGAAATAGATCATACTATCATTTCACATGTAGAATGTTTTAGAATATCATAAATTACACTTTATATCTTCACGATCTATACTAGTCTATATCACAGTTAGGTTGATTTTAGAGTCACATGGTCAGGGTTTATTTACAGTCACATGACTTCCTGAGTATATCTGACTGAGCATCTCTGGAGTATCTGAATCATGATATTTGTTGGTCTACATACAGCTCACATCAACTAAAGAAGTATGTTGAGTTCTGTACACTATTAAGATCAAATGTACCTGAAATAGAAAGTTAAGGAATAGGTCAAGTGAGTGCAATAAACTTATTCTAATATGATGCTCTTCTTTTGCTTTGTAAACAAAGCCATGTTCTTATTCCAATTAAATATGGGGAACACATCCTTGACATCACAATTAAATTATATTTAGAATGACACTCAAGATCAAAATGTACATTTCTCTGGGAGTTGCTTGTCATGAAATTCAATAAAATCTTTTAATAAAATGCTCCGCTGGGGCGCAGCTTGATACGACCGCAGAGGTCGAACCCTGAACAGTTGGGGCAAGTATGGACACAACATTCAAGCTTGATTCAGCACTGAATTTGGATTGTAATTAAATATTTGACACAGCATAGGTTTCTGACACAGAATGAAAGTGGTCTAAGAACTTAAAAATTTTTAATTTACCCATTCAAACCACATCATTATTATTTGATTTTATATATAAATCAGAAATAACCAATTTAAAATGGAAAATTTTAAAGAAAAAAAAAGGAAAAAAAAATCCCCCCCCCAACCCCCTTATGATTCATCACCCCAAAACTCAATCCCAGCCTTCCCTTTGTGGTATGGTACCTTGCAGTACAATTTCAGAGAGATCCATACACTTGAACACAAGTTATTGTCTGGAAACTAGAAAAATGCTTGTTTTTTTGCTCCTTTTTGGAGGCAATTACCCCCAAACTCAATTCCAGCTTTCTCTTTGTGATATGGAACCTTGTAGAACAATTTCATAAAAATCCATACACTAACACACAAGTAGTTGTCCTGGAACTAGAAAAATGCTTGTTTTTTGCCCTTTATGGCCCCTAATTACTAAAATGTTGAGGGAATTACCCCAAAAATCAATCCCAGCCTTCCCTTTGTGGTATGGTACCTTGCAGTACAAATTCAGAGAGATCCATACACTTGAACACAAGTTATTGTCTGGAAACTAGAAAAATGCTTATTTTTGGCCCCTTATTCCTAAACTTTTTGGGCAATTACCCCCAAACTCAATTCCAGCTTTCCCTTTGTGATATGGAACCTTGTAGTACAATTTCATAAAGATCCATACACTTACACACAAGTTATTGTCATGAAACTAGAAAAATGCTTGTTTTTTGCCCCTTTTTTGCCCCTAATTCCTAAAATTTAGAGGCCATTACCCCCTAAATCAATCCCAGCATTCCCTTTGTGATATGGAACCTTGTGATACAATGTCAGAGAGATCCATACACTTACACACAAGTTATTGTCATGAAACTAGAAAAATGTTTGTTTTTTGCCCCTTTTTGGCCCCTAATTCCTAAAATTTGGAGGCAATTACCCCCAAAATCAATCCCAGCATTCCCTTTGTGATATGGAACCTTGTGGTACAATGTCAGAGAGATCGGTACACTTACACACAAGTTATGGCTGGAAGTTACAATAAAATGCTCCGCTGGGCGCAGCTTGATACGACCGCAGAGGTCGAACCCTGAACAGTTGGGGCAAGTATGGACACAACATTCAAGCTTGATACAGCTCTGAATTTGGATTGTGATTAAATATTTGACACAGCATAGGTTTCTGACACAGAATGAATGGGGTCTAAGAACTTAAATTTTTTTAATTTACCTATTATGGTCCAATATCCAAAATCTAAATCAAAGAATCCAAAGAATTCAATTTTTGATGAAATCAAACAAATTTAATTTTGGACCCTTTTGACCTCAATGTGGACCAATTTGATAACTGGGCCCAAAAATCAAAATACATGGTTAGATTCAGCATATCAAAGAACCCCATATATTCAATTTTTGTTGAAATCAAACAAAATTAATTTTGGAACCCAACTTGGACCAACTTGAAAACTGGGCCCATAATCAAAAATCTAAACACATGTTTAGATTCAGCATATCAAAGAACCCCAAGAATTCAATTTTTGTTAAAATCAAACTAACTTTAATTTTGAACCCTTTGGACCTTAATGTAGACCAATTTAAATCAAAGCACTGTAAGCGCTGCAGGCAGTTAACCAAAAACCAAGGCAAACGTAATTATGAAAACTGTGGCAGTGTTGCTTCAAATTTTTTTTTCAGATTTGAAAGAACAAACATTAAACATTCGTATATTGTACATTTATGTTTATTTAATGAATTGATTATTAAGGCAAATTAATTAATATTTTATCAAGGTTTTCTAAAGCAACGCATATATCAATGTATATTTTTAATGGTGAGTCTGCAGTGGTACAAGTTCGCAATGATTGCAGGTGTTCTAGTTGGTAGTTAACGTTGGTACCAGTTGACTTTTAGTGGTACAAGTTGACGTAATTGTATGAATGGACTTGCTTCCCTGGAAGGAACACTGAGTTTGGGTTCTACAGTACAAAAGTTATGAGACACAAATCAGACAAATGTTTACTACTACAGGGATCAAAGGTGAGGTCTGACTGCCCTGACCATAGTAAATGTAAATGACCCCCACCTTCACCCCAAGTCCGTGATATCACTCCATACCAATTTTGGAATAAAATGACAGGTGATTATAAAAGAGGGACGAAAGATACCAGAGGGACAGTCAAACTCATAGATCGAAAACAAACTGACAACGCCATGGCCAAAAATAAAAAGACAAACAGACAAATAATAGTACAGATGACACAACATAGAAAACTGAAGACTAAGCAACACGAACCCCACCAAAAACTGGGGGTGATCTCAGGTTCTCCGGTCAAATAAAACAATTGGTCAAACATTATTGGGCTTTACACTGCTTGAAAGATTTATATGTTTTCTTTAAAATGAGCCATAAATGAAAATTTTTATAGGCCCAGAAATAATTCAAAAAATAATTAAAGTAAATTCAATTTACCTAGACTCATTTTTTGCATCAATAAAATTTTATAATAAACAAGAAATAATTGTAACAGGATGCTGTTACGAAGTCTCCCAAACAAAGCTCCCATAATTCGTCATTCCCATGGTCGCCTGACATTGGGCAAAGTCCAGTACACATTGGTTTGGTCTAGTAAAGTGATATGCATATGTCACATAATGTGACGCCTAGGAGATTGACCCTGTATATCATTCAAATTATTTTGAAATGACAAACAGGAATAAATATGGTTTAGGAGTGGGGACCGTTTACAAGTTCTCAAACAGGAGGGGGTGGGTTGACCCCAGGGACTCCCCCTATATTTCATTTGATTTGTTATATTGTCCCATACATGAATATATATGGTTTAGGAGTGGGGATTTCAACCGTTTACAAGTTCTCAAACAATAGGGGGTGGGGTGACCCCAGGGACTCCCCCTATATTTCATTTGATTTTTTATATTGTCCCATACATTAATATATATGGTTTAGGGGTGGGGATCTCGACCGTTTCCAAGTTCTGAAACAAGAGGGGGTGGGGTGACCCCAGGGACTCCCCCTATATTTCATTTGATTTGTTATATTGTCCCATATATTAATATATATGGTTTAGGGGTGGGGATCTCGACCGTTTCCAAGTTCTCAAACAGGAGGGGGTGGGGTGACCCAAGGGACTCCCCCTATATTTCATTTAATTTGTTATATTGTCCCATACATGAATATATATGGTTTAGGGGTGGGGATATCGACCTTTTACAAGTTCTGAAACAGAAAGGGGTGGGGTGACGCCAGGGATTCCCCCAAATTTTCATTTGATTTGTTTTATTGTCCCATACAAGTATATATATGGTTTAGGGGTGGGGATCGCGACCGTTTACAAGATAAAAGAACATTTTCAAATTGAAGGGGGGTGGGATGACCCCCAGGGACTCACCCTATATTTTATTTGATTTGTTTCATTGTCCTGTTCTCATTCCTGAAGACCACGCGTGTCTATCACTTACTGTTTTCGAGTATAAATAGTCATTTGAAAATAAAATCCCATAGGGTTCTACAGTAAACCCCTCCCTTCTTTAGGCCCCTCAAAATACCCCTAAATAGTTCCCAATGCACAAACGAAAGATTGATGGCTCCGCTAGACATGTTAGTCTTACATTTTATGAAACCCTAAGTTAATCTGACAAGAGGTCCGAGTTGTTTTCTTAGACGGTCCGAGTGGACTCGGTCCGACTTGTCTCTGGGACGAGTTATTCCGCATTTCTTAAAACATCGACCTGATTGGTCGACATTGATTACGTCGATTTCCGGTTTTTCATTCATAAAATAACAACAAGTTCAGTGATAAACGGAATAATTTAATAAAAGAAAGGAATTTAAATGTGCATACATTTAATTGAAATCAATTAAATAATCACAATCTTCTTAAACTAAAAGAATATCATGATTAAGAGTACTTTCGCTTAATCGGACTTTATATCATCAGAATCAAACGAACTTACGTTTCGTGTAAGTTAAAATTACCGCCAACTTAGACTACATGTGTACTATATATAACTTTATTCCCTCTATCATAGAGATTTGGTGTACATGAACAATATTCCTGCGCATTTTGCCATTTGGGAAATATAAACGACTTGTAATTACAGATTTTCGGCGATGAAATATTTCATACAATTGTTCTTTGCCATCTTAGCCAAAAGCACAGGGGATAATAAACTACGTACGGATTTCTATTGAGCACTATTTCCTATGTGCAACTTCAAATATTATGCGTCGTTCGACGATCATTTAAGGTTATTCTGGTCATATTTTTTGTATTCCAGAATTAAAAGAATGAAAAAAATGTCCAATTAGTTATAAATAACATATTAGCCTGCTAGATTACAACAATGGCACTTTTTTTCAGCATTCGTTAGGAAGAACACAAATCTAGGGTGCTAGCATAAGGCAGCTTAACTGCCTAAAAACGGGACCCAAAATTTAAAATCTAAATACACAGTTAGATTTGGCATATCAAAGAAACCCAATAATTCAATTTTTGATGAAATAAAACAAAGTTTAATTTTGGACCCTTTTGACCTCAGTATGAACCAATTTGATAGCGGGGCCCACAAATAAAAAATCTAAATACATGGTTAGATTCAGCATATCAAAGAACCCCATATATTCAATTTTTGTTGAAATCAACCAAAGTTTAATTTTGGACCCCAATTTGGACCAACTTGAAAACTGGGCCCGAAATCAAAAATTTAAATACATGTTTAGATTCAGCATATCAAAGAACCCCATATATTCAATTTTTGTTAAAATCAAACTAAGTTTAATTTTGGACCCTTTGGACGTTAATGTAGACCAATTTGAAAACTGGACCCAAAATTAAAAATCTAAATACTCGGTTAGATTTGGCATATCAAAGAACCCCAATAATTCAATTTTTGATGAAATAAAACAAAGTTTAATTTTGGACCCTTTTGACCTCAATATGAACCAATTTGATAGCGGGGCCCACAAATAAAAAATCTAAATTCATGGTTAGATTCAGCATATCAAAGAACCATATATTCAATTTTTGTTGAAATCAAACAAAGTTTAATTTTGGACCCCAATTTGGACCAACTTGAAAACTGGGCCCGAAATAAAAAAATCTAAATACATGTTTAGATGCAGCATATCAAAGAACCCCATGTTTTCAATTTTTGTTAAAATCAAACTAACTTTAATTTTGGACCCTTTGGACGTTAATGTGGACCAATTTGAAAACTGGACCCAAAATTAAAAATCTAATTACACAGTTAGATTTGGCATATCAAAGAACCCCAATTATTCAATTTTTGATGAAATAAAACAAAGTTTAATTTTGGACCCTTTTGACCTCAATATGAACCTATTTGATAGCGGGGGCCCTCAAATAAAAAATCTAAATACATGGTTAGATTCAGCATATCAAAGAACCCCATATATTCATTTTTTGTTGAAATCAAACAAAGTTTAATTTTGGACCCCTATTTGGACCATCTTGAAAACTGGGCCCGAAATCAAAATTCTAAATACATGTTAAGATTCAGCATATCAAATAACCCCATATATTCAATTTTTGTTAAAATCAAACTAAGTTTAATTTTGGACCCTTTGGACCTTAATGTAGACCAATTTGAAAACTGGACCCAAAATTACAAATCTAAATACACGGTCAGATTTGGCATAACAAATAAATATATGTGGTCAAAGATTTTACAAATCTAATGCGCCATACTGTGCAATTAAAGATTACTTCTTGAAATTTTTCAATATTTGAAATTTGAACAAATTTGAACAAAAAATAATATTTGAAGAATAATTCTTTTTAATTTCTGAAATCTGAAATGAGAAAAAATTGACCCCCCACAATTTCTTTTTACCTCCCTTACACTGTTTTAAATTGTCTTAATTGTTCATTAACCATTACTTTATACATAATTTAAAAGCAGTGTAAGGGAGGTAATACAAATGATGTATTTGATTTATCTCCCTTACACTGCTTTAAATTATGTTTTGTACTTAAGTATTTGTCCATATAAAAATGCTTCTTTTTTGCCCCTTTTTTGGCCCCTAATTTCTAAAATTTTGAGGCAATTACCCCCAAAATCAATCCCCAGCATTCCCTTTATGATATGGAACCTTGTGGTACAATGTCAGAGAGATCCATACACTAACACACAAGTTATGTCTGGAAGTTACAAAAATGCTTATTTTTGGGCCCTTTTGGGCCCCTAATTCCTTAACTGTTGGTACCATAACCCCCAAAATCAATCCCAACCTTCCTTTTGTGGTATTGAACCTTATGGTAAAATTTCATAGAGATCCATTCACTTAAACTAAAGTTAGAGTGCGAAAACCAATGTGTCTTCGGACGACGACGCCGACGCCAACGTCATACCAATATACGAACACAAAATTTTTTGCGGTCGTATAAAAATGCTTATTTTTTGCCCCTTTTTGGCCCCTAATTCCTTAACTGTTGGTACCATAACCCCCAAAATCAATCCCCACATTCCTTTTGTGGTATTGAACCTTATGGTAAAATTTCATTGAGATCCATTCACTTAAACTAAAGTTAGAGTGCAAAAACTAATGTGTCTTCGGACGACGACAACGACAACGACGCCAACGTCATACCAACATACGACCACAAAAATTTTTTTGCGATCGTATAAAAAGTAAGTACCAGTATATTTGTATTTGCATATTTTTAAATCGTAAATGGTTGTTTTTACAGAACAATTTTGCTTTATCAAATCAAATGGCTGCCTTTTGAAAAGTGTCTTATAGGTCTGCTTTGAATGAAAAAGTCCTGAATTTTCCAGTAGAATCAAAATATTTGTTTCAGGTCATGCTTTATGCTCATTTTACCATAGGTAAACATAACATAGTTGACTCTCGTCTCAAACTAAGTTGACTCAAAAATTCTGCATGAGTTAAAATACAGTAATTTATGTAAATTTGCTCTATTTGAATGTCCCTTTGGTATCTTTCGCCTCTCTTTTGAGTATCATTGATATACTATTATAAGTTCATCCTAAGCTAATCCTGAGCTAATCACAAACTTTAACATGTAAAATAAACAAAAGTTCTTAGGTTTTCTATGTTGTCTTTTGTATACTATTGTTTGTCTTTTGGTCATTTTTGGCCATGGTGTTGTCAGTTTGTCATCGACCTACAAGTTCGAATTTATTTGGTATTTTTCGCCTCTCTTTTAAACTGATCTAATCACAGAACTAATACATCACTGCTGCCTCCAGAAATAGCACACTGTAGTCTTGCCTCCTTGACTTTGTCAAGGCAAAATAAAAACTTATTTTATCTACACAGAAGCTATAACCTTGATAGAAATGTTTAATATTACCTTTGGTTGGCACTCTACTTAGACATTCTTTCAAAAGAGCTCTCAATGTAAGGTCACTGAAATAATAAGTACAGGGATACATAGCTAAAACCTTCAAATAAAAATGTGAAGAATGAAACTGACACTTTTTCATATTGTACAACATGAAAACTGTCATAAAATCTTCACAACAGTTACTGAAAAATTATTTTTACATTTTAAGAATTATTCCCAATATATAAGGTGACGTTTCCATTGAATGATAGAATAAAACGCTGCACCATGAGCGCATGATATGCCCGTCGCTTCAACAAAAATATAACTCCTCAATGTCATATCAGAAATTTATAAAAAACTAAAGGGAGGTTATCTTAATAGCTATAAACCAGTCACCAAAGTTTCATGAAAACTGCTCAAAGAACTTTTCAGTTATTGTCCGAAAACTGGAAAATACCCTTTTTTAATAAATAAAACCCCATAACTCAGAAACATAAAATCTAAAATTTATAAAAATCAAAAGGCAGATTACATCAATAGATATAAACAATTCACCAAAGTTTCATGAAAACTGCTCAAAGCATTTTTGAGTTATTGTCCGAAACTGGAAAATCCCCCTTTTTTAATGAATAAAACCAAATAACTCAAAAACATAAAATCCAAAATTTATAAAAATCGAAAGGGAGCTCACGTCAATAGATATAAACAATTCACCAAAGTTTCATGCAAATTGGTTAAAGTGTTTTTGAGTTATTGTCCGACATGTTGACGACGGATAACGGTATACCACTATACGTCGCGTAAACGGGCGCATCATAAAAATGTGTACACATTGTTAAAATGGGGCTTTAACCTCATTTCATAAAACAACTGAACAGAATAAAGATCCACAAAATTTATTTTTTCAGGTTTTACAGTATATAAATATACATACTCTGGTATGTCACCAAATCTTTCCAACATAAATTTAGACAAATCTTCCAGAATGGGTTGGCTATGTATGGCTATAAATTGTTCTCTACATATCTGCAATATAAAAAGATTAAACTTCTATATAGATTAGTCATATCTAAGAACAAAATAAAGTGGAGGCATGTATCACAAAAATGTTATCTATGTTCAATGACACAAATGATAGAAATTTGGGTTGGTAGGGGCTCATCTCTGATTCAGGTTTATAATACATATATTTCAAAGAAAATGCCTTAGATATTTATGGTGGAACATAAATCTAGACCCTCCCTTGAACGTAAATTGCTCAACTGGATTTATTCAGGTATTTTGAGATAAGTAAACAATAAGATAGAAGAAACAAATTCATTAAAATCTTCATTAAAGTGCAGTAAGTCCAAAGAGGAATAGCCTTACGACTTTGTTAGGTATATTTTTTCAGTAGATTTTCAGTTTCTGAGTACTTTTGTGTCTGTCAATTTTTCATTAATTACCACCTTTTCAAGATATTAGACATGTCATAATTTGAAATCTTGACACAAACATCATTAAGTTGAAGTTAAGACTAAGTTAGTTTAGAGCTTAAAATATCTAAAACAAAAGTACATATAATGATTTTCGTAGGGGGATTTAAAGTTTTTAAAGTAATATTTATGCAAAGCGCTGGAAAGGTACTTCGATAATTGGATAACCCTCTATAGTGGCAATTTTAGAATTTCTCTTACACTTTCACTGCACAAAAACAACCACCCATAGATAAAATGTCCAAGTGCCTTCCCTGGGTCCCATGTATGTTTTTATGGAACAGACCAAAGCATAAATAAACATTTGAGTAAATTCTATAAACTAATGAATATACCTTGTTCATTATATCTACATCACATGGGTGTGTCCAGTAACAGTCGTGAACAGAAACATAGGTAATACCAGCTCTGAAAATACAATGTCATAATCATGTTACAAAAAATTTTACAAACCAACAGCCTCTTTCTCTTTAATTAATATATTCATTTATCAAATATTGCTCCGAGTCAACTAGATATGTTTGTGACATAAGAATGCCCCTGATTTCAGCATTATCTCAGAGGGAAAATCAACCACAGCAAAATGAACACTTGATGTTAAAAGTCATTAATATACACCTTCTCAAAGAATAAAATAAAAAGTCCAGCCAAGTACAATCTTCACAAAAATTTAAAGTTGAAGGACAAAAACAAACAGGCCCTGACAACTGTTTATTTTCAGAATGACAGAGGTACAGATAAGTAAGAATATGTGTAGGAGCATAAAAAATTGCCTGATTACCATTTCATGAATGTTTAAGGAATGTTATGCAATGTAATCTATTCAAAGTTATATTAATGGTACCTTGGAGTTCGGTATATTTGTTAATACTTTTTTCAATCCAGAAACATGTACTCCTGACCTATTGTAATGACATATTACTGTAAGCTTCTATGTGTATCTAAGGGAATATTCTTGATGTAACTGATGTAACAATACAAATCTGACAGTACTGGACATACTATCAGAAATATGTTGTTGCTAAACCCTGAAATACATGTATGAAAGAGTTTCAGGTCTGAGACAATGCTTTTCATGTGAAATACTGTAAACCAACTAATTTTCAAGAGTAGACAAATAATGCAAATATAAATTGTTGTGAATATGTAAAACTGGAATCTTCACTAATATACTATACAGAGAAATTATGAAAATCACGAAAATAAATTGCAGAAAAGTTGTCCAGAAAGACCTAACCACAAAATAAAGTATCTACAAATATAAGATGGTTTATAGTAACTATCACTTTTCAAGTTCAAGTTTTTGCATATAAATTTATGGAAGTTTGTATGTTTGTACTTTTTTTTTGTGTTAATGATGAGGCATGACATAAAGTATAAACAATAAATGTATGTTAATTTAAATATTACAACTAACCTCCAGCAAAACAAAGCTGTTAACATCATGTGGACAGAATCTAAGGAATGTATATAATTTGGAGGGAACCCATTCTTTTGTTTCTGACTATTAGGCTTGCTGCAAAAATAAACATAATCTGTAGAATTTCAAAAGTTGAGTTTTAGAACTACAATTAGTTTCTGGAGTAATTTACTTCACCTTTTAAATAATTCATTCAAAATCTGCTTCTGATCATTATTCTATTAAACATGTTACACTAAAGACGAAAGCACACTTTAATTTTTGAATTGCAATGGAACACATAGGGGAAATATTTCAAAGTGGATTATCTTCCTTTGCTCATAATTGTACTTGAACTTTAAGCCACTCCAATTCAAAGGAGCATTAGCTACGAGCTGGGAACAGTATATCTAACGGGAAATGAATCTGATACACTTTTCAGTATAAAATTGATAAAATCTCGGACTCCCCGAGACTTCCCGAGATTTACGGATTTTGGTAGCGTCTGACTGAAAAACTATCAGAACTGCTCAACTAATAAACCACATAACTCTACTTGTAAATAAATATAAGTTTTATCATTTAGTAGATATATTTTGTTATATAAAATTACCAAAATAAGTTTGATTTATTTGATGTGAAGTGTTTTACAATAGTTTGGGAATTTGTAAATCATCGCGGCAATGGCCGCCATTTTTTTATTACCTGGTTTGCATTCTGCACAATTCTGTGATGAAATGCTTTCGATTTTAACAAATTTGAAGTGACAGAATACAAGTTTGATACACTAGCATTACTGTAAAACTAGTTTGAATGACATTTTATTGATAATATCAGAAATTATTAGGATAATAGCGAATCCGTTTTTAACACATGTCCGTTTCTGTATCGTATCTTTATTAACTATGGCACGACGATAAAATCGACTACAATCAGGTAGTGTCAAGTCCCGTCAATATATATGTTCCTGCTACGAGATATAAAAAAAATTTTAAATATGATTTTTTTGGTCAATCTTTAATGAAAGTGAAATAGTGAAATAATAATTCGCTTTTAGCAGCCAGTTTGGTTGATTATGTCAAAATAAGCAAAGAAACATCGCTGATGAATTAATCACTTGCAAGTGAATAATTCGACCTCATTGAATCCGTATTCATGTGACCTACTATTTAACCCCTTAGCTAGAGTTGGATTACGCATGAATAAGGTGTGTTCAGTTATTAAAAAATATAATGTCAACATTGAAAGTGAAACAAGGGTAAACCATTTGATTGACTGATTCGCTCCACAAAAACTCATTCTCATACAGGTAAACACAATGATTTACATATATTTGTAACCTATAATATGAAATCAAACAGACCTAGAAAAATCCAATTGCACGAGTTCACTATCTATTTATATCTATATTATGTTTACTTCGGGTTTTATGACCGTCAGCAGTCTTCGGAGTTCACCTCAAGGGTTTATTAGATGGTGTCTAGACAAAAATACACACAAAATGCTGATACATATTATTGAGCCCATGCATTGTAAATTGTTTATTTAAGACTTTTTATAACTAGGATATACGTTTTAGTATGTTATAAATCAATTATGAGAATTTGAGTCAAATCGGTGAACATGAATTTGACAGCTAATGCCCCTTTAATGTCTTGTTTATGGGAATTGAAGCTCCAAATTTTGTTCATGCATAATGCACAACTTATGCTATTTTTCATAAAAAAAAGTTTCTTGATAAGTTTGGTTTTTCACATCATTTGTAACTTGAATATTTGTGTATATATTATTAATCAATTGCTTACCATGCGCATGATTTCATAAAATATAAACCCTATCATTGTAAACACTTACTCAGGTCTATCAAACTCTCCTGATAACTTGGTTATTCCTTTGAGATTAACAGTCTTCTGTTTAAAATAAGGCTGAAGTACAGGTAAATCAAGGGGAGTAACCCATTCAACTGGTTTATTACAGGTCTTTGATATTATATCAGCACATTCTGTGAACCAATCCTGTAAAACATTCAAATGATTGACTGGTTGGTGGTTGTCATAAAGATAAGATTGAAAGCAAAGTTTAGCTGTACATATGTCATAAAAGAAGTTGTTGAAATGTCCTTAACCATGAATATGCACATAATGTCATATAAAGTATACTGCAAACAAACTTTATTTTCGTTGATAGTTTATTTCGTGTATGGCCCTTTTTTGCAGATGTAAGCAGCCATTTATTCTAGCGCTTTTCATATTTCCTTGATGTATTTATATAAGTGAAGACCATATAGTTTTACATTGTACATATTCTCTATGATTAATGTTTGCATTATTTCTCTACTAGCGAAAGTCATGAAAAATAAATGGCTGACGAATAGTTGCTTTACAGTACCCCATATTTGTTATTAGACATTGACTGAAAATTCCATTCTCTGAAATGATTTCAAAGCATCATCAAACAGCAGGTGACTTCCAGGCAGAACTGAAAATTGCTACAACAATATAAAGTTCCCAAGACCAAATATCAAATCGATCCTTAGTATAGATGTCAAGTTATATATTAAATAATTGTTGAATTTAACCCACAGAGGAATAAAAAGTGGAGTATTCATTGCAGTACACCACCCACTCCATAAGGGGAGGGGGAGTAAAATTTGTGGGTGGTAACATAACACGCAAACTTATTTATAGGTGATCTGAATATAGATCTATCAGTAGTAACAAGTCATATATTGTCTAAATGAAATAATGTACAATTTTAACCTGAACCACAATACAAGAAATCAATGCAACAGTCAACCCTATAAGATCACTTATACAGTACATTCAGGTGAATATTAATTAATATTTCATGCGTTGCTTTTTTTAAATATTGTATCAAAATAATTCAAAAATATTGAATGACTCAAATTCCTTTCAAAATTTGTACAAAGTTTCAAAGGAATGCATTGATTTTTTTTAAGATCAGTAAAACGGAAGCAGTAGCCTATGTGCTGACTATTCACTTCAATACCATATCTACAATCTATCTTACTTGATACTATCTTTACTTTAAATAGGCATTTTATACCAACCTGGATCATTTTCGTTGATGTGAACATTTGCTGTAGACAACTGAAGGTAGCCTCTGTAAGGTAATGACTGGCTTTCCATTGATATTTCTCAGGAAATTCTGGAATGTCTTTTAATTGTCTTAATATTTGATATCTGGCCCCATAACGTGTCACACCATACACTGTGGTCATAACTGTCTGTTTAATAACCTGTAAAATTGATCAAACAAAGAACAGTTATGGGTGTGTTGCCTGAGTTCTCAAAAAGTGGCGGCCCAAAGGTTTTGACCACAAAAATTTGTAAAGAACTAACACATTTTTTATATTCTGCAATAGAGATAAGAGTGAAGACCAGCAGAATTTCTTCAATGACCACCAGGGACCTCTGTGTTGCATGTTGATCCAGTTTGAAATTTCATTACTTATTGGTAACCTTAATGGACTTTTTTATCCAGTTTACCTTTTAATTAGTTTCTTATGAATTTAAATGGGGTTCTTATTTAGTATATTTGGATCTAAGTCAAAAGGCTCATCATTATAGGCTGTAATGAGTCCCACTGTTGGAACAAAAACGATATCCATGCCTTCATTAATTTTTTAATTCATAAAAGTCTCCATGACAAAATAGAGGTAGAATATAAAACCAAAATTTATATTAATCTTTAAATTTTTGCAATGAAACAAAGACAACTGGAGTCAGCTGATAAAACAATGTACAAACTTGATCCATCTTTGAACTCAACAAGTCAAGTAATGACGAGTGCAGACAGATTTTGATTAGTACCTGACTCAAAGACTCGTCTTAGTGAAAATCCAGTTTACTATCATGCTCATTTTTTTCTTTTTATAGTACAACTGTATACTGTAAAATAACTTATTTTTGCAGATACTTTATTTCCCGTTTAGCCCATTGCAGCCTACACCGCATCAATTTGATTTTGAAATTTCAAATTTACTTTATGTAGTTAAATAAAGAAAGATCCAAGTTTTACACATTTGCGATAATTTGTATTCACATTATTTTTGTACTGGTGAAAGTCGGAAAAATTAGTTGGTGTACAGTATGAATGATGTAATAATACCTTTCTACGAACAAATCCTTCTAACACTTGTGCAATTTCGTCTCCATTTGCTGCATCTATCAGTCTTACTTTTTCTACCTGAAATAAATAAATGGAAACTTAAAAGACCAAATGCAATGCTAAATCATTGGTTTAAAAATGTATGTAATTGTTAATTAACATTTTAACTTTAGAAAGAAAATTTTGTTTGATAATTTATATGAGAGATCTCATGACAGTTCATGACCTTGACGATGGTCAGGGAAGAGATTGACTTCTGAAGAACACAAATATTACCCTGTAAAGGACAAAGTATTTCAAATTCATATCTCAACTTAATCTAGAACAAACAGCATTTTCAAATTCTCTAGACCAAATATGTATTCCTCAAGTTAAGTAAAATTCAAAAGATTTAGAATTTTCAACATTTTGCTTGTTTTCATATCTGTCTTTAATAATTTTAGTTGTCTTGGTCTTTAATACATCTGCCTTGGCCAAGGATGAAGATTCCTTTAGATACTTCTCAAAAGAACAAAAAATATGCTTTGAAAACAAATTTTAGGAAAAACTGATCTTTGCAAAAAGTATGTGTATGTTGAGTATATGCCATTATAATTAAATCCAGTCTGTCATCCCCATACTCTCTATTCAACATTACATATAAATACCTACCAATTCAGCAACATCACTGTATACATCTTTAGGAGCTTCAAATGGGAACAAATTAACCGACTCAGCTCCTGCCTTGTCACGTCCAAGTGCTGCATAATGTTGTAAACCGTTACATGAACCATCCTACAAAGGTCAATCAATCCATTAATGGGGTTTAGTGTAACTTCTGAGTTGTCAATATTTGTTTAAATCAAACTATCTGCTCTGAGAAAACATAGCTAGTCAACTCTGTTGCAACATGGAACAGACACACATAGTAAAAACAAAATGCAAATTTGATTATCTTCATTTAAGAGACAAGTTTTACAGTAGGATATTGAAAACCTACAAAAATGTGAATATCTATGATAAATTTCTCATTTTAGATGTTTTATCTCTAACTTAAATTCTAAAATTTTTCTATCTGTAATGGATAAATATCTGTCCTCTAATAAACAGATATTCTTATTTTCATATCATTCTCATAAATAATTGTTATGTTATTTTCATACATGATTTTACTCTGACATTGAAAATAAAAAGCAGAAATGGCTGTTAACGAAGCCAAATACTACGTTAATAAAGGAAGATAAACGGAAAAATCCAGATTAGAAATAATGTGGATTCAATATTATTTGTGGTGCATTAATGTGTATGGATTTCATGGGTGTGGATTAACCACTAATTCTAATATTTAACTAAATACAAGTTTCCTATAGACCTATATAAAGAATTACCAACAAGCATTCTGTGAGTATTGCATGGCAATACATAGTCCCCTACCTGTTAAAATTCATTGTAATGGAATGAAATTCTAACTTGATCTATATCTTGTCATGGTGTAAACTACATAAAAATATCAAGTCAAAATCTTCAAGCATGATGAAAAAAACTGTTGAAAACTGATTATTTAAGTGAATTTTCTATGTCTAAAGACCATAACTCTGCACAAAATTATCAGACTGGAACAAAATTCCAACTTGATCTGTAACTTGTCATGATAAAACTATATACTAATTATCAAATCAATATCTTCAAGAATGACAAACAAACCTACAACTAAATTCTTCAAACAATTTACCAAAGAAAGGAAAAAAATCCAAAATGTCATTTTGTCTTTTACAAAATGAGTTATTTCCCTTTGAACAGAAATCTACTAATTAATAAGTATTTCATCAAAAATTTAATTCTTGGGAAAGGGCTTTAACTGAACAAAGAGAAAAGCTAAAATCGTGAAAATTGAACTTGACCTGTAACTTTTCATGATAAATCAATAAACCAAATATCAAATCAATATCTTCAAGCATGAAGAAAAAAAGTCTGGAAAACTGATTTGCCGGACTGACAGACGGTCCGAGTGCAACCCTTAAGTCCCCTTCGACTTCGTCGGTAGAGGACTAATAACCACGAAATCAAGGATCCAGGAAATTTTGTTTGTGTGTTGTTTCATCTGGGACTAATAGATTATCCCAGGTTTCATTAATGTCTCATTCTAACACCATTAGCTATTTCTTACCTGATGGACAGGATAATAACAAATATATTTCTCTACATCCGGACTCCTTACAGCATTAGCTATTTCCTTACAGGCTGCTAAAGTCTGCCATGGTTCATCTGAAGCTTGCCACCATCTGTTTCCCTGTAAAAAAAAATCAATATGCTGTCACACCTGTTATGTCATCTCTTTAAAACCTGTCTTGTGGGTCACCATTTTTTTGTCCTACTGTAGTATTAAATACCTATGCATCATATGAACCTCAACTTAAAGGTCACCTCTGTTATAAGGTCAATTTTATTTAATCATGAAAGAGTACTTTATACACAGGTTTGACTGTATATAAAGTGAAACCTAACTTGACTTACTCTATTTATTAAAAAGATCAAATTTCCTGCACACCATCCTGGTCAACCAACATTACAAAACCTTTATAACTGAATTTATAATTTGATATGCTATAGGCCATCTCAAATATTATTGATTTCAATCAAATTTATGAGAAGACTTCAAAATATTTGTTCGGAGTATTGTTTCTAGAACAAGCAATATTCAACAATAACTGCAGCTACATTAGCCAGCTGCTCTGTAGTTACCAGTACATGTGTTCCTGCTTTTCGAAATACGAGCTGCTTTTTTTCATTTCTGTGTGCAAGTTAGTAGTCATCCTGTTAGTAGCTAGACTGTGATGGTTTTTTATTGTGGATTTAATTTTACAACATATGGTCTAGAAATGCCATGGGGGATGTTTGCGTGCACGTTTAACTAATTTAATCCCATTACATTTTGTGCCTTAACCAAGTTAGGATATCTGCACCATGTGTTGTTTGTTGTTGTAACTTGGAGGAGTTGGGAGTTGTTGAGATCTGTTGTACTGGGAAATATTATTGTTATTTACAATCATTTCTTTTATGTATTACTACATAGCCTAAGAGTCTTTACAAACTAATATACTAAGTGTGTATCTTTTGTTGTATGTAACTGTTCCAATTCTTTCATCATACTATTGTGCAATATTTGTTTATTTCTAGCAGCATTAATTTAAAGAATACATATTAAATCTTACATCCATTGGATAGTCAGCTGAATCAAAAATTTCAGGTAACAATTCATCAGCATAAGCAAGTCTTTCTTTGTTGGAAGATCTGAAACAGGAAAAAATTGGTAAAAGAACTATTCTAAAAGTGTCATAAGACAAGTGAATCAGCTACTCACATAAATTATCACAAAAGCTATACACACAAAACATCTCCCACTAATATTTACATTAGTATTTTATGTCTGAGTATACAGAAGATTTAGGTAGAACCTATTAGGTATAAAAAGATATATATGTGTTTACTGTTACCCTACTGTTCCAATATTTTATTGCTGAACTGGATTTGGAAGTAAGTAAGTTGTCTTTCTTGGCACCAAATTTCCAAAAGGGAACAAAATATTGAAGTCCAAGTGCCACACACTTCCATAAAAATCCCTCAGCCATGATGAAATCCAAATTTGATCTGTAAATTCTTATAACATGACTACACTCCAAATATCTAATCAATATATTGAAGATTACAGAGAAAAAAGTGCAAAAAACTTAAGGAAGTGACTGACAGATGGACAGAGTGGAAACTTAAAACTAGAGGCTCTAAAGAGCCTGTGTCGCTCACCTTGGTCTATGTGCATATTAAACAATGGACACAGATGGATTCATTACAAAATTGTGTTTTGGTGATGGTGATGTGTTTGTAGATCTTACTTTACTGAACATTCTTGCTCCTTACTATTATCTCTATCTATAATGAACTTGGCCCAGTAGTTACAGTGGAAAATATTTTGTAAAAATTTACAAAAATTTACAAAATTTATGAAAATTGTAAAAAATTGACTATAAAGGGCAATAACTCCTTAAGGGGTCAATTGACAATTTTGGTCATGTTGACTTATTTGTAGATCTAACTTTGCTGTACATTATTGCTGTTTACAGTTTATCTCTATCTATAATAATATTCAAGATAATAACCAAAAGCTGCAAAATTTTCTTAAAATTACCAATTCAGGGGCAGCAACCCAACAACATGTTGCCTGATTGGTCTGAAAATTTCAGGGCAGATAGATCTTGACCTAATGAACAATTTTATACCATCAGATTTGCTCTTAATGCTTTGGTTTCAGAGATATGAGCCAAAAACTGCATTTTACCCTATGTATTATTTTTTTGCCATGTCGGCCATCTTGGTTTGCGGGCAGGGTCATCGGACACATTTTTTAAACTAGATACCCTAATGATGATTGTGGACAATTTTGGTTAAATTTGTCTTAGTAGTTTCAGAGGAGAAGATTTTTGTAAAAGATTACAAAAATTTACGAAAAATGGTTAAAAATTGACTATAAAGGGCAATAACTCCTTAAGGGGTCAACTGACCATTTTGGTCAAGTTGACTTATTTGTAGATCATACTTTGCTGAACATTATTGCTGTTTACAGTTTATCTCTATCTATAATAATATTCAAGATAATAACCAAAAACGGCAAAATTTCCTTAAAATTACCAATTCAGGGGCAGCAACCCAACAACAGGTTGTCCGATTCATCTGAAAATTTCAGGGCAGATAGATCTTGACCTGATAAACAATTTTACCCTTGTCAGATTTGCTCTAAATGCTTTGGTTTCAGAGATATAAGCCAAAATCTACATTTTACCCCTATGTTCTATTTTTAGCCATGGCGGCCATCTTGGTTGGTTGGCGGGGTCATCGGACACATTTTTTAAACTAGATACCCCAATGATGATTGTGGCCAAGTTTGGTCAAATTTGGCCCAGTAGTTTCAGAGGAGAAGATTTTTGTAAAAGTTTACGGACGACGGACGCAGGACGACGGACGACGGACGCAAAGTGATGAGAAAAGCTCACTTGACCTTTCAGGTCAGGTGAGCTAAAAAAGTAAATATTTCAAAATGCCTACTGACTTACCCTATTTTTTTAAACAGATATAACCATAAACTTAATTAAAGAACCTTAGTGAGCGCGCTCACATACCCCACGTCCCCACATTGTCACTGGAGAAATAAAATAACTGTAAGAAAAAAAAATTGAATCATAATTTCCTGTCGATATGCACATCTACGTAGTATGTCCTTATTATCTACAAAGTTTCATGAAATTCTATTGTGTGGTTTCAGAGGAGTTGCGATGACAAACTGTTGCAGAGGTATATTGATGCAAATAAGTTCAAAGGGGCGTAACTCCTAGAAAAAAAATTGAATCATAATTTCCTGTCGATATGCACATCTACGTAGTATGTCCTTATTATCTACAAAGTTTCATGAAATTCTATTGTGTGGTTTCAGAGGAGTTGCGATGACAAACTGTTGCAGAGGTATATTGATGCAAATAAGTTCAAATGGGGCGTAACTCCTAGAAAAAAAATTGAATTGTAATTTCCTGTCGATATGCACATCTGCGTAGTATGTCCTTATTATCTACAAAGTTTCATGAAATTTTGTTGTGTGGTTTCAGAGGAGTTGAGATGACAAACTGTTGCAGTAGTACATTAAAGTAAATAAGTTCAAAGGGGCGTAACTCCTAGAAAAAAAATTGAATCGTAATTTCCTGTCGATATGCACAATTACATAGTATGTCCTTATTATCTAAAAAGGTTTCGTGAAATTCTGTTGTGTGGTTTGAGAGGAGTTGCGATGACAAAAGGTTGCAGTAGTATATTGGGCAAATAAGTTCAAAGGGGCATAACTCCTGAAAAAAAAATTGAATCGTAATTTCCTGTCAATATGCACATCTACGTAGTATGTCCTTATTATCTGAATAGGTTTCATGAAATTCTGTTGTGTGGTTTGAGAGGAGTTGCGATGACAAACTGTTGCAGTAGAATATTGGGCAAATAAGTTCAAAGGGGCGTAACTCCTGGGAAAATCAAAGCACGAAAGCGCTGTAAAGGCAGTTAATTACAGGTTGTGTGTATTTTAAGTCCAGTTATATCATTATCTTGCATAGTACAGTGTACTTATCAGAGGTGGCTTTCAGTATTTAAGATTTAGAGTTCTCTAATGATATTGAATAAGTTTTATGAATGTCATATTCTGAGCACTATATGAAGGCGATTGTTCTCACTTGTTTATGAACTAGTGCATTATGTCCAGTTTGTACCTTTTTTATCTATGTTTATAGTCAAATTAGTTATCAAAGGTACCAGGATTATAATTTAATACGCCAGACGTGTGTTTCGTCTACATAAGACTCATCAGTGACGTTCAGATCAAAATAGTAACAAAGCCAAACAAGTACAAGGTTGAAGAGCATTGAGGACCCAAAATTCCAAAAAGTTGTGCCAAATACGGCTAAGGAAATCTATTCCTTGGATAAGAAAATCCTTAGTTTTTTCATTGGCAATCATAACACATCTCCTTATTTATATAATGATCTATATTCAACGACCTCAGGTACAAAAAAAATGTATTTAACTAAACTATGATGGGAAACCTTTGACTTCTTTCTTTATATAAACTTTTGATTTGGTACCATAGAACTATGTAGAGTAAATGTACATTGCAACATGTCAACTCTTTCAACTCCAAGCAAAATGATATTTCCAAGCATAAAGTAATTTATGAATGAAATAAAATGCTCCGCTGGGGCGCAGCTTGATACGACCGCAGAGGTCGAACCCTGAACAGTTGGGGCAAGTATGAACACAACATTCAAGCTTGATTCAGCACTGAATTTGGATTGTAATTAAATATTTGACACAGCATAGGTTTCTGACACAGAATGAAAGTGGGCTAAGATACTTAAAAAAATTTAATTTACCTACTGTAAATTCAGAAATTATTGCGTGCATTTATTATTGCGAATTTTGTAGAAAGGACTAAAATGCAAGATTAATTATTGCGATTTCAGAAAAATGTACATACAGTTATATGTATCAGATATAAGAATGCGAGTTCTTATTAATGCGATACTCTTTCAGTCGCATTATTCGCATTAATAAAAACCTCGCATTAATTTCTGAATTTACAGTATTCAAACCATATCATTATTATTTGCTTTTATATATAAATCAGAAATAACCAATTCAAAATGGAAAATTTTAAAGAAAACAAAGGAAAAAGAATCCCCCCCCAAATTTTTTGAACCCCCTTATGATTCATCACCCCAAAACTCAATCCCAGCCTTCCCTTTGTGGTATGGTACCTTGCAGTGCAATTTCAGAGAGATCCATACACTTGAACACATGTTATTGTCTGGAAACTAGAAAAATGCTTGTTTTTAGGCCCCTTTTTGGTCCCAAATTCCTAAACATTTAGGGCAATTACCCCCAAACTCAAACCCAGCTTTCCCTTTGTGATATGGAACCTTGTAGTACAATTTCATAAAGATCCATACACTAACACACAAGTTATTACCATGAAACTAGAAAAATGCTTGTTTTTTGCCCCTTTTTGGCCCCTAATTCCTAAAATTTGGAGGCAATTACCCCCAAAATCAATCCCAGCATTCCCTTTGTGATATGGAACCATGTGATACAATGTCAGAGAGATCCATAGACTTACACACAAGTTATTGTCATGAAACTAGAAAAATGCGTTTTTTGCCCCTTTTTGGCCCCTAATTCCTAAAATTTGGAGGCAATTACCCCCAAAATCAATCCCAGCATTCCCTTTGTGGTATGGTACCTTGCAGTACATATTTCAGAGAGATCCATACACTTGAACACAAGTTATTTTCTGGAAACTAGAAAAATGCTTATTTTTGGCCCCTTATTCCTAAACTTTTTGGGCAATTACCCCCAAACTCAATTCCAGCTTTCCCTTTGTGATATGGAACCTTGTAGTACAATTTCATAAAGATCCATACACTTACACACAAGTTATTGCCATGAAACTAGAAAAATGCTTGTTTTTTGCCCCTTTTTGGCCCCTAATTCCTAAAATTTGGAGGCAATTACCCCCCAATTCAATCCCAGCATTCCCTTTGTGATATGGAACCTTGTGATACAATGTCAGAGAGATCCATAGACTTGCACACAAGTTACTGTCATGAAACTAGAAAAGTGCTTGTTTTTTGCCCCTAATTCCTAAAATTTGGAGGCAATTACCCCCAAAAATCAATCCCAGCATTCCCTTTGTGATATGGATCCTTGTGGTACAATGTCAGAGAGATCCATACACTTACACACAAGTTATGTTTGGAAGTTACAAAAATGCTTATTTTTGGCCCCTAATTCCTTAACTGTTGGTACCATAACCCCCAAAATCAATCCCCACTTTCCTTTTGTGGTATTGAACCTTATTTTAAAATTTCATTGAGATCCATTCACTTAAACTAAAGTTAGAGTGCGAAAACTAATGTGTCTTCGGACGACGAACACGACGACGCCAACGTCATACCAATATACGACCACAAAATTTTTTTTGCTGTTGTATAAAAAGGAGTTCTTAATTAAGAATTAAGTATGTTTTGCCAAGTCCAATAATTCGCTCTATGTGACATAGAGACATAGTTGACTAAACCACCAGGTGTCGAACATTCAAGAATTTTCAGTGTTTCTGTTTTTATTTGATGAATAGGTTGCCTGAGCTCTAGGAGCTTTAGGTTTTATCACGGGATATTCTGTGCTGTCAATAATAATCCAAGTCGTAGGAAATTTAATTTGAAGTTGGATGGTGAAAAATACCTGACTAAACCACTAGATGGTCAAGTGTTAGCCTCACACCACTGTTTAGACATAAAAACAATCCATGTATACACAATATTCTTAACACTAGATTCAATCTAGAATCTAGACGGTTCAAAGTTGGTTGTATGATGCCTCAATTTCATCAAAGTCATAAAAATCTGATTTTCAACTGACACCCTATCAATTTGAAAATATATGTATCTCAAACAATGTGCTGCTGGACCAAGTGTGGTCAAAACAAATAAAAATTTAGTATACAACTCTTAACCGGTATAAAAATGCATGGCTGTGTCACGTGTCTTCATTTCAAAATTCTCTGCTGAAAACATAGGCATTGATGGTGTTTGCGTAATTCCATCTGTGAAGCTCAACATTAGCTCGGCAGTTGGTGCTGGACAGTCATAAATCCTTTCTGCAGTATGAATGACTTCTTCAGGAAAACCAACTTTACAATCAAAACTTTCCTCTAGATTTCTACTACAATATACATCAAGTTTAGTTCTTTTGTTTTCACAGGAAACTGCCCTGATTTTTCTTTTTGGGGACGATTCAGTCTCTTGCTTGGTCCAGGAAAATAGGCTGGGAATTGCAGTAGACTTAAGTCTCTGTATGGTGGGTTTGCGCCCTGAAAAAAAGGTTATAAAACATTAGTTTTTTTATAATTAAATGAACTTCCATTAGCAATGTATACTTTGTACTACCTGGCGAAATATTAACTAGATTTATTCATTACAATCTGGATAAAACTATGTTTGCCTGATTCAATGTATGTTATGTAAATCCAAAGGACAAACAATGAGAGACTTATGCAACAAACATACATTGTTTGTACCTAAATAACTATAATATAGATGAGAGCATGTCATTGTTTTGTTCCTGTTAACATTGTCATTGATATTTTTCAAGAAAGTCTATAAGGCATAGCTTATGCATTCCTGTCATTACTACATTAGCATAATTACTGCTAAAATAATTCTCAGTATGATATACCTCTTGTAAGAAATCATTATAATTGTAGCAATCACCAAAAAATCTCAAACAGATCACATTGAATCGTAATCCAATAAATTATGACGTCTTGAATTACCCACCCCCTTTTATTCTAAAACGGTAATTGCGGTTGTAAACAGACTTTGGTTCAATTCGCATGGAGATTACATATATAGCTATATATTTCACAAAGAAAATAGAGTTTTACCAAGAATAGTTTCCTGCACGTAGTCTTTTTCAGTAAAACGTGCCTTGCAAACAACAGCTGATTGAGATGGACTCCACGATATCATCGTGTTCTCGTCCAATCTGCGTATGGGCCATGGCGTTGATCCAACTTTTCCTTCTTTTTAAGTCATTTGGAAATGCATGTCCTCCTCTTAAATGACATCCAGGTACACAACAACAAGTACTTGGCATCGTTAATTAAAAATATAACTGAAATAGTTGCACAGTGCAGAAACCGGAAGAAGAGCAACAGGATCCGCTACCACGGCGCCACCTATTCAAGAACGATAATTTGCTACTTCATATAACTGCGAAAATAACGTTAGACGGGTTCACGTGCATAAACAGAAATGCGCTTTAAATTGTATAATATAATTCATGTTCAGTCGACCTTTAATTATTATATCAACGACTGAAATGATTTATAAACATCTAGATTGCAGATAACACTCGAAATTAACCCGAGCTCTTTCCACACGGAATTCAAATAATTCTAGTTTGTCAATCGGTTGACTGCTTATAATGCAAAATACTAATATATCAAAAGTTTTTAAAACTAACAAAACACAATGATCGTTTCTCTATTTCCCAATGTAAATGAAATGAAACAAAAAACATTTTATATCGCAATAAGAAGAGGAGAGAATTCAACATTTCCGGATCTACTTGGAGTCTAATGACCCCCCACGTAGATAAGTTGGATATCGCGGAAGGAAGGATTAACCCGGCAACTAGAAAGGCATTAAAGCACTGCCTTTAAAAATTGAATCGTAATTTCCTGTCGATATGCACAACTACATAGTATGTCCTTATCATCTAAAAAGGTTTCGTGAAATTCTGTTGTGTGGTTTGAGAGGAGTTGCGATGACAAGAAACAGGACTGACGGACTGACGGACGGACAGACAGACGGACAGACGGACGGACAGACGGACGGACGGATGGGTCAAAAACATTATACCCTCCGCAACTCGTTGCGTGGGGTATAATTATATTTATTGTTGGCCCAAGATGAAAATTAACAAGTGATTAAACTGCTGTGGCCATTTTTACTGCATTCTTGTCATTTAATGGCATAACATACCTCTTTTTCAATCCAGTAAGATTTATCAGATGTATTTTAAGCCAATCAAGTCCTTTCTTCCCTAAAGGTTTACCCTTGGCAAAACATAATATACTTCTCGTAACATCATCTCCTGAAAATATATTCATGTGAAAATACATAAAATTGAAAATACATTCATGTGAAAATACATAAAATTGAAAATACATTCATGTGAAAATACCTTAATATGAAAATAGACAACCTCTTGTATAACCAGCCATTTGTTTTTTACTCACATCAACAAAAATAATGATTATAACAACTGTACCAGAACTGATTGTATTGGTGGGTGTCACAAGGCACTTCTACTAAAAATATGATGGGTTTTGATTATTTCAGAAAGATAGGTTGAACAATTTAAGTTTTATGCATTGCTATAAAATAAAAAGTGCCTTCCCAACCATCGAAACTCCATACATTTATTTCTGCAACAATGCTATCTGTTTTATAATATCCACTGGTTGCCACTTGAAAAAAGTAAGTTTATTACGAGCAATTCAGTATCATCAATATTAGTCAAGATATTTATTCTATGAAAACAGCTATTTGCAATTACCAGTAATATTATGTACGTGTATCATTGTAAATTGTCATGGTATGGTTCTGTCAGTACTGAAGTATGCAATTCTTATTTATTAACTTATTACAAACCTTACCTAGATGATTAAAATGAGGTGGACATGGATAAGTACGTCCTCTAAAATCAAGGTTATGCGGGAACCAGAAAATGTCATCTTTATACTGAAATATACAGAAAAATCAAGGTTATGTGGGAATCAGAAAATATCGTCTTTATACTGAAATAAACAGAACAAGAATGTGTCCATAGTACACGGATGCCCCACTCGCACTTTCATTTTCTATGTTCAGTGGATCATGAAATTGGGGTCAAAACTCTAATTTGACATTAAAATTAGAAAGATCATTTCATAGGGAACATGTGTACTCTTGTTTCAAGTTGATTGGACTTCAACTTCATCAAAAACTACCTTGACCAAAAACTTTAACCTGAAGCAGGACAGATGGATGAATGGACGGACAAACGGACAGACGGATGAACGAAGGGACTCACAGACTGAAAAATATAATTCCCCTCTTCTATCGTAGGTGGGGCATAAAATAAATTTTAGAAGGGAACCAGAAATACTGAATAAATAATAAAATGGAGTTCATGCAGGGAACAGAAAATGTTATATTTATACTAAAATAAACAATAAAATCAAGGTTCACAACTTTAAGTGATTTAAGTCCCATAACTCTAGGATGACTAATTTTTAAAATCTTCAAAATTGGGAAATGGATCATTGTTTGTAACATTGTTGGAAAATAAATGTCATGTGAATCATTGAAAGCAAACTTGAGTTATCACCAGATATATGAAACTATGCATAGTTTTTAACAATTTAAGTCCAATAACTGGAATGACCAATCTGAAAATGGGAAATACATATGTCTTCATGAAATCTTGCAATGTGTAAAAATCTATGACTTGTGAAGATTAATTTTATCTCTCCTGAGGCATATGTAAAAGTAAAAGAATAATTTTGATGGTTAAAGTCCTATAACTCTGAATAAAATACATTTGTAATCTGAAAATCCTCAAAATCAAATGAAAGCTTACAAATATCAAGTGTGATATTGTCAAAAAATTTCAAATAATTGTGTGAAAAAAAATTTGAGTTATCACCAAATATATTTGAAGATTAAATGTCCTATAATTCTTTAACAACAATTGCTTTGACAGAAGGACAGACAGTACCTTATTGGCAATGGAAAGTTTATACAGTGCACTACACCACAGGCTGTTCATCTCTGATTTTTGTTGTTTTAGATGGCCTCTCTTTAACTTTATTTCATTCTTCTGGGCAGGTGTCATGTCACTGCAAAAGAATAAGAAAATTATTGTTTTACATATTTTTCTGAGAAAGGATCAAGGCATTCCAATAAAAAGAAAACAGTTCTGCCCCTTGGAAATATAGATTATATGGAAAATTGCATTGTAAGCACTCTCAAGACTACATTTCTTGTAAAACATTTTAAAATTTATTTACTTTTTTAAATATCAAGGGTTTAAATCAGCAATGTCTCAAACAAATTATAAAATCAGCAGAAATCTATTATTTTTTTACAGTAATTATGTCCCTTGAAAAGATAAATTCTATGGAAAATCACTTAGATTTCAACTCAAAATTATAAAACTAAAGACCAAATATCAATCATGTCTTCATACAGAAGCTGGATTTTATAAAAATGAAAGTTGAAAGTAAACACATTGTCAAAGTAATTGATAGACGAACAGATGACATACAAGGTCATTGCAGTATACAGCTACATGTCTCAGTTTACACTAACATTTCCAATAATTTACATTTAACAGATACTTACGGAGATATTTTTGGTGGTGCAGGACATTCTGATGGAGGTTGGGGTATGTCTAAATTCTTATCTCCCTTTTTGTTGAACAAATCTATCACCACTTCTAACATCTAACAAAAATATATAGTATATACATTATTACTATTGTATCACATTTTCTAACATTTTACAAAAATAAATTAAGTATATAATCATTTGACAATTAACAAGTGAAACTGTGAGCTACTGCTCACTGATGATATCCCCGCCCAAATATTTCAGTAAACAGGAAGTTGTTGAGTGATGAATCTGAAAATGCATCACACTGTATAGCTGACTTATATAAACCCTGAAACTAAATTTCAGAAAAACTTATGATGTAGTTCCTGAGAAAGCTGCGACGAAAAATATTCATGGGATGGATGGACTGACGGATGAACAGATGGATGGTTGGACGGACAGACAGACAGAGGTAAAACAGTATATCCCCACTTTTTTAAAGCGGGGGAATAAAAATACTGACATATAAATGCTTTGTTTTGGTGTTTCCTTCATTGAAATTTCATGTTCAAACAATAGCTCCAAGAATCAGGTAAATACTAATGTAAAGGAGAAGAGTCTATACAAATTTGGAGTTCTAAAGACGTATGCATGTTCTATTAAAACAAAGTTTGTTGGGTTTCCAGCTATCAAATACAAAACTTTCTTTTTTCATTTTGATGATATACATGTGAAATATATTTTGCAAGACATTTTAAATAAAGTTAAAAGGTCTTCTTATTGATCATTAACTTCAACTGAGATAAAATTTGGACAATTATTAGGATGGGAATTAATAAACCGAAATACCAAAATCTTCCATTAAAAACCTTTACATAAAAAATCTGGAAAACAAAAAGAAGAAAAAATAACCAAAGCACTAAAGTCCAAATCAATTTTCAAAATTCATATGTCCAAATTTAGTTCCAAAAATCAGAAAATAATTTAAGAATACCAGGGAGCACTGCAAAAAGCAGAATTTTTTTTCTACTGTATACAACTTATTTACATACTGGTTTGTTGATGATCCATGGACACATGTCAAGAATATTCAAAGCATCAAATACGCCATTTAACTTGTGACTTGGTACAGATTCAATTACAGAGGAATTATTGGACATCGATCTATCCACCATTCTCACGGTCTTTGCTAAAAATGTCAAAGCATTAATTAACATATCATTACTATGTTCAGTATAAAATTTCTCTGTATATTTCTATGCTGTTCACAAATTTCAAATGTAAATTATCTTATATAAAAGTGGGAATATTCAATAAAATATTTAAATAAAAGTTCAAAAAGTCTCAAGAGGACTTTCATTTTCTTAATATCGTCCTGAATATGCATGAAATATTTGCCACTGGATGTTAAGCAACCAACAATCAATCAATCATTTTCTTAATAAACTCCCACTCAAAACAGGTGTGTGTATGACCAGCACACATTATCATGGAAAAAATTGCAGTTTTTATTTGTATCATAATACTTCTAGTGTGTGGGTGTGTTTAACATTGCAGTTTGTTGATATTTTGCTCCAATTAAAGCAACTGGAAATTGTGTATCCCCGAATAATGTTTGTCTATCAATTTAAAAATAGAAATCCATAACTTTCTTAACCAACTGTTTAGAATTTTCATTTATTTATGTAATACATACGTTGATTTAGGAGGTAGCCTCCCCTGTCTGGTGCGTGCCATGGTATAGGTGGCACTAACATTGGAAGCTCTGACGTCTCAAATGGAATATCTTGGATATAATTACCATCATGTAACTTTAGAACAATTGGATGAGGCTGAAAAAGTAATAAGATATTTTCAAGGACCATTGAATATTTCCTTTAGCCAAGGAATCATCAGGTGACAACTTTGAACTTTAGCAAAATCAAATACAATTGTTTTTTTTGGGTTTTTTTTTCAACAGTAAAGGCATTGCAATCTTAATTTATGGTCCATTAAATCTAAACATATAATAGAAAAACAAAATTTGAAAAAAATGCTTCATTAATAAGGATTTTGCCTTAGCTGCCAATATCTCCTCTTTTACAGTTTACACTGCACTGTATACACTTTAGAACTCAAACAAGAAATAGATAAAAATCAAATGGATTTATTTTTTCAAGTAAGGGCTATTCCATTAAAATGTATGTGGGAGGGTAGGAAGGGACTTTCAAAATATCCCTACAACCAAGAACCAATTTTTAAGATTATTTTGCATATAATGGTAATAGACGCATACTGAAAAAAGACCCATGACCAACATTCAATAATAAAACTTCCCTTCCTACCCTCCCACATACATTTTAATGGAATAGCCTTAATGGTTGTCCTACTTAAATAAACATGATGACAGGGATGCCATTATTACAAAACTTAAACCATGCATCTTTATTTATTGCACTGTCACATAGGTGAAATGTAACAACCCTTACCAGATTTAAAACAGATTAGTTGAAGAAATATTTTTGTGATTTTTTATAACAAATAATGAAATAATGATTATACAGTTCAAATGAGATAGAATGAAACAACACAATCAAATAGAATGACATCAAAAGTGTTTTTATTTTTTACCTTAACTTCTGCTTTAGATTTCCCTTTATATGATCTATAAACGTAGTAAAATGCTGGAATCTTGTTCCTATAAAAATACAAGATTACTGTTAGCAAACTAAACAAGAGTGCACACGCTGAAATGTCTCGCCTTCTTTACTAATCATTGATATTATGTTGATAGTCCTAAATATAAAGCTTTATTACAACTGTCACATAAACTTAACATTAACCAAGTAAACTAAACATTGACCAATGAACCATGAAAATAAGGTCAAGGTCAGATGAACCATGCTAGGCAGGCATGTACAGCTAACAATTCTTCCATACAACAAATATAGTTGACCTATTGCTTATAGTTTAAGAAAAACAGACAAAAACACAAAAACTTAACACTGAGCAATGAACCTTGAAAATGAGGTCAAGGTCAAATAAAACCTGCGTGACTGACATATAGATCATAAAATATTTCCATACACCAAATATAGTTGAACTATTGCATATAGTATTAGAAAAAAAGACCAAAACTCAAAAACTTAACTTTGACCACTGAACCATGAAAATGAGGTCAAGGTAAGATGACACCTGCCAGCTAGACATGTACACCTTACAATCATTCCATACACCAAATATAGCTGACCTATTGCATGCAGTATTAGAAAGAAAGACCAAAACTCAAAAACTTAACTTTGACCACTGAACCATGAAAATGAGGTCAAGGTCAGATGACACCTGCCAGCTAGACATGTACACCTTACAATCATTCCATACACCAAATATAGTAGACCTATTGCATACAGTATAAGAAAAACAGACCAAAACACAAAAACTTAACTATAACCACTGAACCATGAAAATGAGGTCAAGGTCAGATGACACCTGCCAGTTGGACATGTACACCTTACAGTCCTTCCATACACCGAATATACTAGACCTATTGCTTATAGTATCTGAGATATGGACTTGACCACCAAAACTTAACCTTGTTCACTGATCCATGAAATGAGGTCGAGGTCAAGTGAAAACTGTCTGACGGGCATGAGGACCTTGCAAGGTACGCACATACCAAATATAGTTATCCTATTACTTATAATAAGAGAGAATTTAACATTACAAAAAATCTGAACTTTTTTTTCAAGTAGTCACTGAACCATGAAAATGAGGTCAAGGACATTGGACATGTGACTGACGGAAACTTCGTAACATGAGGCATCCATATACAAAGTATGAAGCATACAGGTCTTCCATCTTCTAAAATATAAAGCTTTTAAGAAGTTAGCTAACGCCGCCGCCGCCGCCGGATCGCTATCCCTATGTCGAGCTTTCTGCGACAAAAGTCGCAGGCTCGACAATAAAACCATTTACAGCCGATTTCATTGAGTGTGTAGGAATAGGTATTATCTTTGGTTAGCTTGCTTGTTAGCTGAACCATGAAGTCATTATTAGGTTAGGTTAACTACCCTATCTTATGAGTAGACTAGTCCCACAGATAACCAATTCTATCTGTCTGTCGGACTAGTCTACTCATAAAGGAGGGTAGTTTACCTAACCTAATAATGACTTCACGCTTCAGCTAGCAAGCAAGCTAACCAAAGATTTTACCTTTTTCTACACACTCAATGAAATTGGCTGTAATACATATACATTACTGTGTGTTCAAAAAGTTTTTTATTACAAAATGTGTGTCAACAATAAACCAGAGTAATAATAATACTTGAAGCATACAAGGTTTATCAAAAGAGATACAAAAACGTGCAGATTCAGTAAACAAATATTCTTTTTTAATGAAGCAAGACATGCTTTTAAAATATATTCTAAAAGAGCACCTGCTATCAAAACCAGTTTTTTTATGGGAACTCTTTCATTCCAAAGGTTCAATTTTAAGTAATATCCTTGTATACTCCTTCATCCGTTTGTTGGTACCCCTGTTTTGTGCTTTTAGAGGCTCCATTACCTCTAATTTCACTGCACTGGTTCTTTTCAAATTTGTAGGAGGTACTTTACTCTGTATATTATGAAAAAACTTAATAAAAAATCCTTATTTCATGATCATGTTATTCAGTATTTTAGAAGTGAAAAAGTACCATGAGAAGCCTCTTCATGAAAAGCAGTGGCTGTCATATCATACTTTAATGTTTTTGTTATTTAGAGAATTTGTTATTGATAGCAAATCTCTGACTATTTCTGTTTTAATTTATTCACAGCTTTTAGAGATTTGGTACCATTTTACAGCTCAACATATTGTATATTGGTGAAGATTGAATGTTGACCTCTAGATGCATGTCCTTTGGTTATTTTTGTTGTTAGGCTGCTGTCTCATTGATGTATACCCCACATATCCTTTTATGCATTTAGTCTTCTTGATTCTTTTAGTATCCATTCAAGTATAGTTGGTTTAGTATCTACTTTTAATCCATCTACTGGTACTCACTTGGAATGACCATCCTGTTCTGTTCCATTATCTGGATCACTTAATACACTACCGTCTATTGTTAACTTGTACATTATTAACTCATATAAAGTCTTTCCAATCTAAAAATACAAATGCTTTTAAAAGTTGTAACTTTTATGCATTCTGACATACTCAAAAATTTCTTCTATCACTGATAGTGGTCAATACGGTAAGGAGGTATTTGAGTGCAATAACTGGGTCAATATCTTTAATTGTTTTTCCATAGGCGGTAATGGTAACGTTTTTTCCTGAAGCTCAGTCCATATAGTAAACTTGGATATGTATGATAGCTCGTTTCGAAGCTGTGACATTTTCACATATGTGGTTAAATTTTCGGGGTACTAAGTGAGATTACTTTTTCCGTAAATTAGCATACCCCGTACATCCTTTCGTGATGCGGCTCCTCGTGGTAAAAAATCCCTTTTTTAACACAATAAGTTCTTTGAAAATTTAATACTTTGAACACATTTTATAGCCACATAGTTTTTACACATTTATTCTATGTTCCTCTACTTTCCTAATCACCACAAATGGTTAAGCTCAGTCATTTGTAAAAAATAGAAACATGTCCAATATCACTACACAGAGATTTTTTGTTTACACACAACTTTTGAGTTCCTCATTTCGAGGCGCATTAGGGATATTGACCCAACTGTAGGTTTTGTTTCAAAAATTGCCAAACTTACCCTTGATACTAAAAAAAAATATATAAAATAGTTTTTTAACTTATCCATTTCGTATTCATCAAGCTTCATATTGTGTTAAACCACAGATATTTTAAAATATTCATAAGCAAAAACATGACAATCTGTATCATACATGCAAAACAAAATCACATTTGATCCATCTGAATAAACTCACATTAACATTCGTTCAAAACAATACAATGATAACTAGATACTGATTTATATCAAAACTTCATTGGTGTTACCAAAACAAAGAAATGACAACCTCAGAAGAGTTGAGGAATATGATATACACATTATTAAATGAATTTTTGCTACTTACTTTTTTCTTCAAATGGTCAGACCATCTTTTCATAGATAGATCCTGTGAGAAATAAATAAGCCAAGGGAAAATTATATATCTACAAGTTTCTATAAATATCCTTTTTAATATATTTCCTTGAAAATGAAAGTTTTTCACTAGGAATTTTGCAAATTTTCTCAAATAAATACACCTATTTGTAACAAGAACATTGTTTGTCATATATCTCCAAGGTGACTTTGAAACTTGATGTCTTTAAAAGTTATTAAAAAGTTTTGGGCTCCAAAATTCTTCAACTGGCAACGAAAATCAAAATCTTGTGATTTCCTGAAGCCAGCTATTGTATATTAACAAAATGTGACGTGGACAACAGAAGTGATAATTTTTTTGTCACTGCAGCTACTGATCTGATGAGTCAAGCCCTCTTCACCTGTTTTTTTTACCCTTTGTTTTAATGTTGTAATGTTAGGCCAATGTCCTAGGTTAGGGGAGTTTTAAGCACTCACAAAATTAATTAACCCCGCCACATTCTTTAGGTCTTTCCAAAGCCAGGGCTGTTGTTTAGTGGTTGTTGTTGCCTGCTTTTGTACCAAAATTGTTTTTTTTTTTTCATTTATAATCATTCCATTGATTTTTTTTTAATTATTTTACATATTGTTATGCTGGGGCCTTTTAAACCTTACAAGATACGGGTTTTGCTCATTGTTGAAGACAGTTAGTGATATGTAGAGATTTAGTTCTAGTCCTTTGGTCTTACTTATACAGTAGTCTCATTAGCAATTATATCGTATCTCTTTATTTCATATTATTAAAAAAACAAAACACAATTATCATTTTATTGCCCTTACTAACAGGACTTACAGCAGACGGTCCATCTAGATATTTTTGACCTAGTTCTTGCCAACATTCTCTTTGGTTGTTATATGGGAAATCTTCTCTTGTATACAACTCAGCAAAATCATTGTATTGCTTTAATATCTACGAAATAAAAAATAATTATTTTCTTAAAACAAAACCTTTCTATTATAGTCAGATAAAATATAACACAAAAACAAAATATTTTCCCAGATTAACAAACAAAAGCTACAATTAAAAAAAATCATAAATTCTTACCTAACCCAATACTTATTCCCCCTCCCCATCATTTAGTGATTGAGAAAAGAAGGATCTTTAAAATCTGAAAATGTTGCATGTCTTACGTTCAACATTATTCCAAAATCAAAATTTCAAATACACTGCTGTTTGCAAAACTCAATGAAAACATTATGGTATTAGCGTTCTATACAAAAAGAACTGTATTCAGAAATCATTTTTTATATACGTTTTGTTTGTTTGTATGCACAGTGTCACTGCTTTTGTGTTGTGACATTAATCAATCATCTTTGTTTTTGATTAGTCTCTTGTCATGTATTGTACACCTGTTTTCTAGGTGATATATATAAAGAGGAAATATTACCTGGTCTGTAATTCCATGTTTATCTTTGAATCTTATAAGACACATCTGATAAATTCTTTTACCAAACATCAGCCATAAATGGTTTGCAGACGGACTGTATCCACCTGATCCAAGACATAAACGTTCCACTTCCTAAAAATTCAAACCATTTTACAGACTATAAAAAATACTGAAATAGCCCAGATACTAGCTAGAGTGTTAATTCAAAAATTATTGTGTGCATTTATCAATTAAATATATCATTGACAAAAAAGAAAAATCAGATAATGCAATTTCAGGAAATTCTGCATAGAAACAATGAGATTACGTTTACAAAATGCAAGTTTTTGTCATGTATGCAATGAAAGTCATAAAAAGCCGAGCTAATAATTTGTGTGTATTTGACCTTCCTGATTTTTTTCAATGTGCATAATTGCTTACTTCAACTTCATTAAAACTTTAGTGGACAGTTGTCTCATTGGAAATCATACCACATCTCCTTATTTTTATACTTAATGAACCTCTTAATTCCAGACAAAATGTGTATGCATCAAATTTAGAATTGATATATATTTATTACAAACAGTGCATTATTGTTTAGAACATATTTCAACCTCTAGATCCATTGTTTTTTGGGTCAATGGGTAACATCACATTGACCTATACCCCACATTTTCTTTGATTCATACTGACAGTAATATAAAGTCATAATGAATAATACAATAAAATCAGTTAAGACTCTGTGCAAGATATACATAAAATATGGAACTCACTGTCATCATCAGGTCAACATATTCTTCTGGTTTAAACAGTTTCAAAAATGGAGAGATGCAAACGTCACTATTACCTGAAAATACAACCAGAAAATAACACATGGAGATCTATCTTATTAAATAACAGTTGTCAACTGAAACCAAAGTTTTTGACCTTGACCTTTGACCTAGGAAGTCGTACAAACATTATGACACACCCTCTGGTGTTGGTTAATATACATGTCAAGTATAAAGTATGAAATTATTACGGTTCTCTAGATATAGAGAGGACACAATTTGTTACGAATGGATGGACAGATTGATCACTGTAGGGTGACCCGCCACTAGACAGGCCCTAATTAGTTTCATTGCTGAGTGTTAAGATTGCAAAGAGAATTGTTGAGCATAGGCATAAACTGTCCAAGCTGAAAAATCTCTTTCCCGTACCAAAATTCAAGATATGCTGTTGTTAGTATTGCAAGATTAATCAGTGTCTTTTGTCATAAAATGCATTTTGTGTTTCAGAAAATTAAAAACTTTCCTGAAATTTAATGTGCCTTTTTTTCTGATCCTACAGTAGGTGTTAAAATAAACTATGTTGGGTAAAAGCTTCAAGATGTTCCCCTTGGGTAATAATTGTATTGTATTGATTGATATGGACAAATAAAGGATAATAGATATCTACACACCAAAAGTGATTCAAACAGTGTAACTGAATGGAAGGCATCAAACAAAATTCAGGAGTTTATTTTTTCCATCTTCTGCAAGGACGAACAAATTTGGTCATCAAAACGATGAACATTTAAGAATCTTTGCTGTAAGGAGAAGTCTTACCATTAATCATGAGCTATCAATTATATAAATATAAAGTATATTTTGTATTCAAATATTTGTTACAATACATAAACCTAGTTTAACTAATAAATATCTAGACTTACCATTCTCTGTCTTCTCTAATCGCTCTATTTCTTTTTCAAAAGCGCACAGTAAAATATATCTCCAGTTCTTTTTCAATTTTTCCAATTTATTTTTCTGAAATTAGTTTCATATAATGAAAACATTATACTTCACATATATAAGCAATATAAATTGCCATTTTTTTTAAAATTACATCTCTGCTAATACTGATTTTATTAGGTATTTTTAAACGAAATTTAAACAATCATAAAGTAGCTTGATTTGTGGTTAACCATACCATTTCAATGTCTGTCTCCGTCAAAGGTCGTTTCTTCTCTATGGTTTTGACATATATAACATCATTTTTCTCAAGGGCCATCTGTTTCTTGGTCTGCTCGTGGAGATATTCAGGTGTGATAACACCATGATAAGGGTTCATTTCTTGTACCTAAAATTACATGTATATCTTTCCATTTCAAATTGTGACACTTTCATGAATTTATAAATAAACAAGAATTTATGTCCATATAAAGGACAACATGCCTTGTTTATCTATATCAATGTTCAGTAAACCATGAAATCTGGGTCAAACCCCTAATTTGGCATACATCTTAAGAAGTTCACATCATAATGAACATGTGTACAAAGCTTAAAGTTGATGTGATCTCAACTTCATGGTTAATTACCTTAAAAAAAACTTTGACCTGTAAGGGGACGAACTGGACAGATGGATGCAGAGACCAGAAATACATAACGCCCCACTACTATTTAAGTGGGTCATAATAAAATAATAATGCATAAAATAATAAATTCGTAAGGGTTCAGCAAAACTCAGTGTCTTGCCTACTTTTTCTGTTAATTGCAGGCTCAACAAAAATGAGGAAGTAAATCAATGAAAATATTCCTCTTGATACTATCTTTTGATTGTAAGAAGCTTCTGTCCAAGTTTGGTTAAAATCCAGGATAGTTTATGAATCTAATAAATGTTTAAAAACTTTAACTGCAGACTGAATGTAATGTTAACTGGAAGAAAACAAAATTTCCTACTAGATACTAGCATTTGATCATAAACAAGCTTCTGTCCAAGTTTGGTACAAATCCAAAATAGTATAAGAAAGTTATTAAAATTTTAAGTGTTGTTTCCTGGCAGAAAATCTAAGTCGATTTAAAAGTAAAATACGGAAAAAATGGATGTATTTTTTAACAAAATTTCCTTCTAGATACTAGCTTTTGATCATAAACAAGCTTCTGTCCAAGTTTGGTACAAATCCAAAATAGTATAAGAAAGTTATTAACATTTAAAAAACTTTAACCACAGAGTGAATGTGTTGTTTCCTGGCAGAAAATCTAAGTCCATTTAAAATTAAATAATGAAAAAATGGATTTATTTTTTTACAAAATTTACTTCTGGATACTATCTTATGATCATAAACAAGCTTCTGTCCAAGTTTGGTACAAACCCAGGATAGTTTAAGAAAGTTATCAAAATTTTAAAAACTTTAACCACAGAGTGAATGTAATATTTCCCGGCAGAAAAACTAAGTCCATTTATAAGTAAAATACGGAAAAAATGGAATTTTATTTTTACAAAATTTACTTCTGGATACTATCTTATGATCATAAACAAGCCTCTGTCCAAGTTTGGTAGAAATCCAGGATAGTTTAAGAAAGTTATTAAAATTTCAAAAACTTTAACCACAGAGTGAATATTTGTGGACGCCGCCGCCGCCGACGACGTCGACGGAATGTAGGATCGCTATGTCTCGTTTTTTTGACTAAAGTCGAAGGCTCGACAATAAAACATGTAAAAGTTGTCTAAAACAAACTCTTATGGGTTTTGCTCAACGTTAAAGGCCATACAATGACCTACAGTTTTTTACTTCTATGCCATTTGGTCTCATTGGCAATCATACCACATCCTCTTATTTTTATATCTTAAACTAGGATAAGAATTCTTTGGTTTCTTGACCTGTTAGATCTAATACCTGATACGTATCAATAAATGTTCATTTTTAAGGGGTTTTGTTCAGACAGATTTCACTATAATTATAATTCCTTATGTCAACCAGCTATTATATAGAAAACTCAGTGACAACCACTTATCCCTTTTTGCATATCATGGAGCGTTTGTTCATGTGAAAAATTTTGTAGTTATACTACTCCATCATTTTTGGCAAAGTTGTTTAAAAACTACTTATGCTGTCCATCTATTTTCATGGCCTAATTCAAACTTTACTTTTCTAGTTACAATTGTTTTAGAATACTAACAACCCACTAAAAATGGCTTAACATTGCAAACTTTATAACATGCTGTGAAATTTACCTGAGATACATCAATTGGTTCATTAAGAGGTTTGAGAAGAGGTCCAGTATAAGGCCGGGGTCCTTCTGCAGGATGTGGCACAAAATCCTCTATCAACTGATTAAAAGCCTAAAACGATATGGTTTTATAGCATAAAAGGTATAAGTGGCTCAAAATTATCTCTCAAGTAAAATAACATAAATAAAAGCAACAATTTCTAAGGATCTATCAACTGATTTTATGCTTGAAATTAGAGGTTTACATTAACAACTTGCATGGATGAAAAAAATATATTTGTAAACTGAAATTAACCTGAAATAAGTTATGAGATAGTATCAATAAAAGAGGCATACAAAAGTTTTTTAATTAGTACAAATATATGTATTAATGACTTGTATGTATAGTAACAAAAACAAAGAAACCGATAACTGCAAGGGAAGATAAACCACAACTTAATTTTCATTCATCTAAGACTCCTTAGCTCCCCTTTATAGTCATTATCTGAGATCAGTAAAATCACAATAGAAAACATTTGTGTTTCAGTCAAAACTATCATAACTATGAATATTCCTTTCCTTATTTATCTAAATGTTGCAAACAATGAAGCAATATGTATTAAATAAATGTATTACATGTTTGCAGTTAAAGGAAATTTTGTTAAGCCAAAGAGAATCATTCAAAAGGGATATGAAATACGACTGTATTTTCAAGAGTTTTTAAATCAAAGAGGTACAGAGGTAAGTCTCTCTTTGTTCTGATGCTCTTTCAATATATACCAAGGATTGGTATTCAATATCAGATTGAAATCTATATCATATAAAATATACATCATTTTGGGGCCCTTTAAAGCTTGCTGTTTCGGTGTGAGCCAAGGCTCCGTGTTGAAGGCGGTACTTTGACCTATAATTGTTTACTTTTTATACATTGTGACTTGGATGGATAGTTGTCTCATTGGCACTCATACCACATCTTCTTATTTATATTGTTGTTTGTAACTTCAAATAAATATTTTTTTATATAACACCTAGGCTTCAACATTCTTTTTTATACTTTTACTTACTTTTAGAATAATTTGCCTTTCATTTTTCCTCATCACACATTCATTGAAAATATTTTTTACATCATAACCCTGCAAAAAAAACAATATTCAAATACAATATCTATTCTCTCTCCCATTTCATATTTTAATTCACATTTAGATGTGCTGCTACAAAATTCCATGCAATTTAAAAGAAAACAAAGAAAAAAAAAGTAATTGTCTTTCTTCCAATATTTTAAATGACAGAGTATGTTGTCTAATAAATAGAAATATGTGCACATAGATTTCCCATATCTTTAATAAAAAAATAAATCTTAAGGTTTGGGATACACAATAAAATCAAAGGTCAGAATTAAAAATTAGTCCAGAAATTCTAACCCAAAAATGTTGAAAAAATAGACAATTTACATAAAAAATTAAATGCTGTCAAGAAGATGTCCATATTTCAATAAGTTTCTAATGCTTTCTGTACGCACCTGAGAACTGATCTCCTTTAGTATCTCCTGTCCCATTTCTAAATCCATTTGTGTTTGCCTTCCAAGATAGCTCAGAAAAGCTGAATAGCACTGTAATGATGGCTTGATATCATCCTGCTCTTTTAAACAATCCATTATTTCTACCATTTTTGTTACATCGCCCTGAAATAAATAAAACTTATAGTTTGGTTACCTGGTATTCATTTACTTTATCAATTATACTTCATATATATTCAGGCATACAAAGGCAAGGAGAGGTTTAAATCAATATATCCAAATCTTTTCACTACGTCGATTCACGTGTTCTACTTACCGGTATGAAAACAGTGAGAGATTCCAAATAAATGGGGAATGTGTCCATGGGACACAGATGATGCCCCCGCTTGCATATAACATTATAAAAGGACACAACTCAAGAACTGTAAAAGTGACGCTACCCAAATTTGTACTTGATCTGAGTTTTGTAGTAATAAGCATTGTGTATAAGTTTCATAACATTTAGTGGAGGCACTCTTTAAGTTAGAGAACAGAAACGAAAATTCAGCAATTTTTCCATTTGTAAAGGGGCATATCTCTAGAACAGTAAAAGTGACGCCACCAAAATTCAAACTTCATCTGTGTTTTCTTGTAATTAGCATTGTTCATAAGTTTCATAACATTTATTTGAGGCAAAATAAAGTAAGAGAACAGAAACAAATATTTTAGCAATTTTTCAATTTGTAAAGGGACATAACTAGTCAGGGGCGTTACTTAAACAAGTATTTTTTTTTAGTTACTTATATAGGTAATATGTGTTTTTAAAAATTATTAAATTACTCAATAGAGTTATTTTATGTTTCAATAGAAGCATGGACTAAATGTAGTTTTCATGAATTTTTACATCATCTTATTACATAAAATTAAGAATCTATTAAATTTGAGAGGAGTATAGAGATAAGAGGTTACTTTAAAAATAATGACAAAAATATTACTTGAATTCATTATTTTTTACATCTTTGAAAGAATTAGTAATTACAATTATTGAAGGAACATATGTAATTGTTTTGGGTTACAAATTATAAATAACTTTAAGTCTTAATTAAATCACAAGTTTCTATCTATTTATATCTGTCTACCTTCAAGATTTTCAAGGAAAATGATATTTTAATAGTCCCAAGAGACTAATCTTTGACCAAGAAGCCTCGATATGAAAGATAAGTGCGTCGGAGAGGCAATTTGTGTTTCAGGATGATTAACTTTTATATTTCATGGGAAAAATAACCAGATGACTGTGAAAATTTGTTAAAGCTTGTAAAATCTGTATTAATGGACACCTATAAAAATAATATTTAGAAAAGTGACTTATATAAGTAATATTTAATATAGCCTCGTTTTCAACATTACTTGTATAAGTAATTTTAAAAGTTACTTGTTTAAGTAATGCCCCTGACTGATAACTCTAGAACGGTAAAAGTGACGCCACCAAAATTCAATCTTGATCTGTGTTTGTGGTTATAAGCATTGTGTAAAAGTTTCATAACATTTGGTTGAGGCAAACTAAAGTTAGAGAACGGAAACCAATTTTGGGACGTTCATACGTACGGACATACAGACGGACAAGGGTAAAACTTAATGCCCCCTCCGTTACAGCGGCGCATAAAAATTTGTTGTCAGTGCTCATTTGAATGTTTGCTGATTTATTATTAATTGTACCAAAAATTGTGTACTTACAATTACTGCATAATGTTGAAGCAGAGTAGAATATATGGAATTATCTGTGATGGCATATTCTGGCTTCTTAAACTGCTTGTGTCTATTATACCTCAAAGCAAAGTAAGCTTTGTCAGCCTACAATATAAATTAGTGGTAAGAAACATATTAAATGTACTGGTATTCTTTGTGTATCAAAAAAATCCATTAAAACTGACAAAGGGAGGCTAGGTTATCTTGATGTAAGGGTAGCCTATAATATAAATTATTGGTAAAAACACAATTATTCAATGTAGTGTGATTATCACATAATTTAAGATCGTGAACCACTCCAGTACTAATGACGATGGACGGCTGCTTAACGTCCAGCGGGAAATTAATATGCATATTCAGGAAGAGAATATGTTAATGTAATATGAATATTAACCCTGCTTTGTACTAGACTGACACGCTGTGCCGAATTTTTAATGTGCTGTTTCGCAATGTAACAGTGCACAGGAGGACATGTCACCTAAACCGGACACATTATTCTGACTCCGAAGTGACCAGTCTTTGCTCTTTCTCATTAATGATGCGTGCTTAACGGAGAAGCAGCAAATACAAATTTTAAAGTCTTTGGTTTGACTATTAGTATTCCTAAAGCCATTAATTTCTTACCTGATCTGAAAACAGACATGCATCTACGAAGTATCTAAAATCCATATTAAATATTGCATTTTTCCTTTCAATATCTTCTACAGTTTTATTATTATTATCTAAATGCTGACTCCAATCTTTCTTCTTCTTTGACTTTTGTTCAGTATGTTTTTTACTTGTTTTTGTCTTTGTTGCTATTTTGGAAGAGTCTTTTGAACTGTCCATAGCATGTGACCCTAATTCAAAAGGAGCATCTATACTTTCAGTAACATCCACAACTGTACTATTAGTTTGCTTGCTGAAATTTATTCCTGATAAATTTTCTGGCTTCCAATGACTCAACATTTCGGATTTTGGACTACTTGAAAACGTTTCTGATTTTTCACTACTGGAAAATGTTTCGGATTTTGGACTACTAGAAATTGTTTCTGATTTTGGACAACTTGAAAATTTTTCTGATTTCAAATTTCCAGATAAATTTCTTAATTTAGAACTAGAAGTACTTGACTTTTGAACAGCAGTTCTGACCTTTCCATGTGGTTTTCTCTTATTCTGATTTTTAATTTTATCACTAACATTTGCAGTTAAATAGTCCTCAACTGAGCTTATTTCTGTTTCAGATATTCTTCTTGAGTCATTATAATTCACTTGATGATGAAATCTTTGGTCATTCTGACTAATTTTTTCATCTTTTAAAGCATCTTTGACAGACTGTAAAGATTTTGACGTTGATCCTATTATTTGTGTTAGTTGTTCATTAGCACTATTATTAGTATTCACAGTCTTGTTTTCAGTGGAAGGAAATGGTTTCTGCATTCCTTCCAGATTTTGGAGCGTTCCATGTATTTCTTCCACATTCAAATGTTCCATGTCATTTATTTGTTCTGGTTCACTACCAACAGTTTGATGTGAAATCTGTTTCTGAAATTTCTTCAACTGATTTTCCCAGCCATCTGACAATATAATTATATATATAATAGAGAGAGAAATATTAATAATATGGTAATAAACTTTAAAATTCAAGGTTCAGTGTATTGAATTAGTTAGAACTTTTTGCAAAAGGTTTTAAACTTTAAACTATATTTTTCTGACATTCATAACCTCTTTCCATACTCTTTTTGTTATATAAAATACAGATATCTTTGATTAAGCTTACCAATATGAAGATAGGGTTTATCCTTTCCCTCAAACGTTGAAGAGCTTTTTAAGTTCTTGTAATTGATTCCTTTTGACTTTAACTTCTCTATGTTGACTGTGTTTTCATATTCCTTCTCTTTAAACCATGCCTTTCCATAGCTTCGTTTATTTTTATAACGGACACTTGGAAATGAATCATGACGACGAACATGCATGGATACACCTCCATGGATATGCTGTGGTCCTAAAAGAAAAGTTTAACAATAAATCTACAGAATTTTTAAAGTTTGTAATTCATAATTGCTTTTTAGTTTTTAAGATAATAGTTCAAGGTACCCAAGTAGTCTGGGTGTCAGGAACATATTGTTAAAGACTATTTGCTGATCTCAAGATGCCTTTAGGTTATTTTTGTTCCTGTGTTGCTATCTTATTAATGTAAACAACATGTCACCTGCTTGAACCATTTTTTACAATTACAGGAAAAACACTGTCAACTGATGCTCCAAGAACTGCAAATTTTTGATAGAAAACGTTTTAAAAGTCTTCAAAATACAATAGAGATGTCGACTCTGAGAAGAATTACTAATCAATACTTGTTAGTTTTACTAAGTGATACTTGAGTACTCGCTCAGTAAAACATGTACAAATGGGAACATAAATTGTGCAACAATGGCCCAGAAACCTCTCGATGGATTAACCTGTTACATGTTGAAGTGATCATTGACACTTTGGTATGAACTTCGTTCTCTTTCCCAGGTATAACACCTATGTCATATTATTATAGACGACTTTCTTGTACTTGCCCATGTCACAACGCTTATCTTATATGCCAAAAAAAAAATATGTCTGTTTTGGTTACCCAGACCCTAGGTCATTTTAATTCCTTTGTTAAGTGAAAAATTAACTGAACTCATGTCAAAAGCGAAGTTAAAGTTGCAAATAAATTTAATCAATTGTAATGAGGGTACCTTCATGAAGAATAACTGTAAAAAAAATCTTGCCAAATGGCGTTAACAGTAATTTTAGGTGCATGACGTAAAAATGTACATTTTCTTTACGACCAAAAAAAAATCAACTGATTTAAACAATTCACATTAAAATTCTTTCCAAAACTTAAATGGTAACAGATAATTATTTGAGACCTCTGATGAATCATGAAGAGGATATTTTGACAAATCACTATGAAATTTCAACCGATTAGAGGCTAACAGTAGCCAAAAATGAGCGTTTTGACAACTGACGATAAAGGGCGTTCCTACCCTCTTCAATGACATTTATGTCGATTGAATTCATGTCAAATGAGAGGCGAAGGATACGAAACGACTCGAATTAGTTTATATAAATGTGCACCAAAATCGTCAGATGTGAGAGGGAAAACAAGGGCGTGTTTTATTGGTCTCTTCTGCACATCTCCAGAATGTCTTCTGGTGAAGAGTCCAAAAAAATGAATCTGGAGATATCCTGGAGATATTCTACGGAAGATCAATAAAACAAAAATTCAATTTGCCGTCGAATATAGCAGATTTTTGTTATGTTGGGTGATATAAATGAAGTTTACGATGATTTTATAGAAAATTAAGATACGTCCGGTAGACATGACTGTAAAAGTGTGCTCTGTTCGTGACATTTTTCTTTGTTCTTTCTTCTAACTCAATTTTGCTAGACAAATCACTATTTGATTTTTAAGAACAATCTTAAACTGCACAAAAATTCGTCAATGTTTGTCTCGAATATGATAAAAAAGGACATCTTGTCTATCCAATTTTTTTTTAAAGTAACCAAACTGGATTATTTTTGTATAAAGCAAAGATATCGGAAAGTTCTCAAAATCATTTTTCTCTGGTGGTCCTTGAAGAAAATCTTCTGGTCCTAACTATTATTTCTATTGCAAAATTTCGATGGTCAAAACCTTCGGACCACCACTTTTCAAAAATTTTCATTGTATATGGATCTTCATATGCAAGTATACAATGTATACCAGACATTTCTCAGACTCTTTTTATTCTTTTTTTTTTAATAAATCCGTTGGTTGTGTACTGATTGATACTTCAGTCTGGGAGAACAAGATTTATTTCAGTACTAGTTGTAATTAGCTTTAAATAATTTTCCAGTAATTGCAAATACTCTTATTTCGGTGCTTTGTGTCTATTGTCTTAATGTAAGTTTTTTGTGTGTGTCTCGTACTGATTTTTCGAGTTAATCTAATTGCAATTGATTTGTGCAGGTTATTCTTATATTGTACTATTACACCACTGTCCCAGCTTCGGGGAGGGTTGAGCGCTCACAAACATGTTCTTGTACTGTTACACCACTTTCCAAGGTTAGGGGGCGGGTTGGGCCGGATCCCGCTAACATGTTTAACCCCGCCACATTCTGTATGTATGTGCCTGTCCCAAGTCGGGAGCCTATAATTCAGTGGTTGTCGTTTGTTGCTGTGTTACATATTTGTTTTTCGTTCATTTTTTTGTACATTAATTAGACCGTTGGTTTTCTCGTTTGAATTGTTTTACATTTGTGATTTCGGGGCCTTTTATAGCTGACTATGCGGTATGGGCTTTGCTTATTGTTGAAGGCCGTATGGTGACCTATAGCTGTTAATTGCTGTGTCATTTGGTCTCTTGTGGATGGTTGTCTCATTGGCATTCTTCGTTTTTATATCAACCCTGCCATATTCTTTGTGTGCCTGTCCCAAGTCAGGAGTCTGTAGTTTAGTGGTTGTCGTTGGTTCATTTCTCGACTCATATTTGATATTTTGTAAATTATTTTGTTATGTATAATTAGGCCGTTAATTTTTTCGTTTGAATTGTTTCTCACACTTTTCACGTCGGGCCTTTTATAGACGACTTTTAATACAGTATCGAGTTTTGTTATTGTTGAAGGCCTTACTTTTTACTGTTGCCTATAATTGCTTACATCCACTTCATATTTAAACTCCGGTGGATAGTTGCCTCATTAGCAATCATACATCTCTTCGTTTTTTTATTATATACCTGACTTTTAAACTCGTGTTTTCCTGAACCGAGTCCTGAACATGCATGACATATTTGTCACTGGGGGTTAAAAATTAGCAACAAACAATCAATGAATTTAAACTTGTGTTAAATAAGAAGAAAAACCATATGATATTTATTCATTTATTGGGGTGGGGGACAGGAGGATTTCATATATGAATATGGTTGCCTGGTAAGAGCTGAAAAATAGGCATAATTAGCGACAGATTAAAAAAGTTAATAATGCCCTCTTCCCTTCCCCATCCTTCATCTATAATTTAAACTTACCACCACGGAATAGCCCAACTTAGTGTTGAAAGTAGCGTTAAACACCAATCAATCAAAATCCTTTCCCTAGAATATCAAATTGTCGTCCCTTAACTGTTATTGTCCGTGTAGTTCTTATATTTATCCAGCTTATCGTCCTACAGGGATGTCCTACTAAGACTGTCATACCATAAAAACGTTTATAACACAGCTCACATTCTAATATATCTGCATTCATAAATTTATCAATGTCATTTAGACTAAACGACGCCATGTTTGTTATGTGCCTCTGCCGTCTAAACTACCTATCAAAAAAGAAGAGGTGGAAGAGAGCCAGAAGATCTTCCCTATGCAAAAAAAAACAGAAATGGACCTCTTCTGGCTCACTACCGAAGAACAAAAAAACACGCCCCAAGTGATCTCCTTACCCTGTCCTCTGTTACTGTTAGATCTAAAGGCCCTGCAGCCATTGCAACCCTGGAGTCTGATGACTTCTACTTCTATTTTGAGGGGAAGACATGTCAAATGAAAAGTAATTGGTTTGCTGTATAAGCTAGAACAACACAGTCTAAGGATCTGAGACATTTGTGGCTAAAATTACGTAAATCGTGTAGGACATGTGCTTCGTCCTTTACCCTGACCAATCAATATGGTTTTTAAAATTTCATTACTATCTTTCATTTGAATAAACGCTTCAACGACAATGTAATATTATTTTGGGAGTAATCATTTCCTTTCGTAAATTAAAATTAAATATATTTAGAATTAGAATGCAGTAGAGTTTAAACGTTGATGAATATATTTTTTCTACAGAATTTAGATTAAATCTAATAAAATTCGACTTTGAACCTCGACAGTTCACAAATTGCATTAATATTTTGCCACATTTTATAATTATTACTCCTGCCGGAAACCAGACTATTTATCATCTAACAACAGCGCGAACTTTGAACAACATAACTTTACATTACAGATTATGCTGTGCTCTGTATGTTTTGGTTTACATTAACTTCACAACATATTTATGTCCTCGTTATTCACCATGATTTTCCATAAAGATGTCCAGATCTTTGGTGCTCCTTGTAGGGATTTTCCAGAGACCGAACTGTGTTCTGATTTTGCTTTCGAGACGTTGCGGACACACAACCAGATCGGCCATAGGTCGTTATAACCACAGTACCATTTCGGCCAAAGTCGATTCGGTCAGCCTATTTCATATTGTTCTTTAGGTTCATCATACCCTTTGAATAATCTGGACGTATTTACACAACAGAACACGCATCATCTTCTACAAAAATTCAAAATCATACACTACTAGTTACTAGCCTGGCATCCTGACCCAATCTAATACTTCGTTGATAGGGCCATTCGTAATACAATCCACGTGACCAACTATCAGCGCTGAATAGGACTGAATTACTGCCCAGCCTATATGTGCATGTTCTATAAATAAGGAATATATCGATCGGATCGTTAATTAACAGTTCATTCACAATTTTAGTCAATAACGTTTGAGTTGTATATGCTAAATTTTTTCGAAATTTGCATTTAATATGAAATGACAAATAATTTTCAATAAATTCGTGACAATATAAATATTTTCCGCCATGTGTCAAGAAATGACGCTATCCCACGATGCATCATGTCGTTGTATTCCGCCCGGCTTTACTGTCGAGCAGTATCCCATGCTAAATCATACACCATCTTGTAGCCATTATACCCGGCAGGTCTACTTACCCAATCTGACACAAGAAACAAGGCAACATTCACCTTTCAGGCCTATACGGACCACTAAAGATTCATACAAATATTCATTTTACCAATGAAGTTCTTGGCAAGAACAATATTACAATCAGTCAGGGGTACTACTTGTACAAGTTATTTTTATTTACTTGAAGAAGTAAATGATAATATATAAGTAAATTTGTTATATTCATATTTTCTTATAAGGTTTGAATAATCTTCCCTTAATCATGTTAATTTTCTCAAAAAATTTACTTGTATAAGTAATTTTTTTTTGCAATCCCTAAAATTCTCAAGTTTTGGGATGTAAAAACATGCTTTAAACAATTTTTCTCATAATTTTTTATTAGAGTTCAATGAAAATGGGGGTTTTTAACGACCTTGACTGGCTATAAAACCCTCGCATTTGAATGTCTAAGGGACATAACTAAGCCATTAAAATAATTTACCTATACAAGAAAAGAAAATACACTTGTATAAGTATCGTACAAATTTACTTATAAATATATTAATATTTACTTCTTGAAGTTAATAAAAATAACTTGTTCAAGTAGTACCCCTGACAGACAATGGAACCCTCTATCTGTAGCTGCAGTAAAAGTACTACTCTTGACTGTTTCCGAGAACAGATTCCAATATCTGTTCTCAACAAACATCTAAACATCTAAATAAAATCTACACTGTATATAGTTGTAACCAAAATGTATAGTACAAAAACAGAGGAAGAAGGAATTACGTTGGAATTTTTATTTTATTAATATTTTGTATATATACATGATATATAACTGTAAATAGAAATTAGATCCCACGCACGTGCAGCATAGTAAAATCAGTGCCTGGCACGCTATCATCTGTATATTGATGGAGTACTGAATTATAAAGAAGACAAATTTTACTCTTTGAGTACAGACAAACATGTGCACCTGGAAAAGTTTTAAGGCATGGCAGGAACTACATGTGTAGATACTTAAAAATTTTAAATGCATTTTGTGTTTCAGAAAATATAAACTTTTCTGGATTTTGAGATTCCTTTTTAGCTCACCTGACCCATCACTTGGCGTCCATTGTCATCTGTTAACTTTTTAAAAAATCTTCTCCTCTGAAACCACTGGGCCAAATTAAACCAAACTTGGCTTTAATCATTCTTAGGGTAACTAGTTTAAAAAAATGTATTCGATGACCCCGCCCACCAATCAAGATGGCCGCCATGGCTAAAAAAGGAACATAGGGGTAAAATTCTGTTTTTGGCTTATATCTATGAAACTAAAGCATTTAGAGCAAATCTGATGGGGTAAAAATGATCATCAGGTCAAGATCTATCTGCCCTGAAATTTTCAGACAAATCAGACAACTTGTTGTTGGGTTGCTGCCCCTGAATTGGTAATTTTAAGGAAATTTTGCAGTTTTTGGTTATTATCTTGAATATTATAATAGATGGAGATAAACTGTAAACAGCAAAACTGTTCAGCAAAGTAAGATCTACAAATAAGTCAATATGACCAAAGTTATCAATTGAGCCCTTAAGGAGTTATTGCCCTTTAAAGGGTGCAAGACGACCTCGGACCGTCTACAAAAAAGACAACTCATACCGTCAATGAAGACAACTCTGACCATCAATAAGTCAATTTGGACCGTCTATAATGCCAACTCAGACTAAGTATAAAAGGAGAGTTTTGACTATATAAATGATTCAATGAGTTTTCAATGAAAAAGACTGTGTCTAAAGAGAAGTCAGAATGCCTTTAATGCAAAAAAAATAGGGAGTCAGTATTGACACCCGTTTTGACTATAAAAATGACGAAAAAGACAACTCGGATTGTTGATTTAATGCAATTGAATTATATGGCTGTAGGTAAAATGAAATGAGATTATAAGAAACAAATATATGATAAATAACAATTTCAATTAATGGATAAATCAAGTTTGTTTAATGAATTAACAAAGATTTTATTCAAAATATAAAATCAATGTAATGAAGTAAAAATTAAAATTTGGATTAAATCAATTATTGCATGGGTTGTCATTTGCAAATGCAGCAATGTAAAGAGGATATTTTTATGTTAAATATAACATTTTATCATATAAATAGCCTAAACTCTATGTCTATACTTTGTTAGATTTGGCATTATAGATGGCCTGAGCTCACTTTAAAACATCAATCCGAGATGACTTATTGACAGACTTTAGTTTAAACAAATGATAAATAACAAAATCATCAAATAAATATAACAAATTCAACCTAGACTTTTTTTTACTTAAACATGTTAAAGTAAGTTTTATAATAAATTGATAGAGACAAGTAGAAATTTGAATTCACATTAATCAATTATTTTGATTATTTTTTGCAAATTTGGCAACACGTAAATGATACTGTCATGTAAAATATAATATTTAATCATTCATAATGATTTAAATAGTTCAAATCCAATTTAAATATTTTGTCTGAGTTATCATTATAAACATTCCGAGTTGACTTTATAGACGGTCAGAGTTGACTTATTAGTGGGGCTGAGTTGTCCCGCATTCTCTAAAAATAACAACAATCAACATTCAATCTATCAAGATGTGGATCAGTTTGAAAATAAACTGATGCCGTTACTAAATTAAATTATATAAATGTCTAAGAATGCAACATTAACACACTAATGAGTGTTATAAAAATAGTTATATTTTATATATTCATGCAATATTTCCCTAAACAAATTAGCTTCATCAGGCACATGCAGCTATCGAGTTAAAATCAGATGCTGTTAAGAAATTATTGCGGCTTATCAGTCATGTCCTGAAAATATATTTTTGCAGCTTATTGTACATTGCGTTTAATAGGTCAAAACAAATAATTGTGTGTGTTAAATAGTATAAAGTTCAAGATTTATTCCTTTGGTTTTTAAAACCGAGTACTATTTAATAATTAAGAACATGTATTTATATTAATATAACAACAGCATTCTAATGTCCCCTTGTCAATGCACGTAAAAATGTAGTTTATCTGTCCAAGAGCAATAACTCCAAAATAGTTTTTAGGGAGATTCTTTCAAACATTTTCTTTCAATGTTTATGCATATCCATGTCTTTGGAACTCTGGTGGATACATGTAGTTGTCTCATTGGCAATCATACCACAAGTACCTGTCCTAGATTTCTGATAACTTACTTAAGTAGGGAATATCTTGTAGGTGCAGAAATGCTGGAAAAGTCAAGATCAACTATTAGCCCATCGAAATTATCAGATGCTTCCTTAGGCCTAATAAAAAAAATAATTGTGTATAGGATTTCCCAACCTATCATATTTTTTATGACTAAAAATGCCTACCTTAAAGTTCTTACAGAACCTTTTGGTAGTTAATTGGGACATATAACATGTATAATTGCAGGTTTCTCATATTGTCAAGGTAAAAAAAAAATTGAGCAGAATAAAATACAATTAATCTTCCTGACCTATTTTTATTAAGGGGGAATAGTTAAATACATATTTTTTTGTTTGGCTGTATAAGAGTTATTGCCTTTAATGATGACCGTTAATGAATTTAAGCTTTTTGGGCATTATCTTGATATCAATTATCATGATGATGATGGGTAATAGAAAATGTAGACATTGAAATTGATAAACCATCAAATTGGTTATTGATATTTTGATGATTGGGGAAGGCAATTTGAATTTAAGGGATGGAATTTTATTTTATGGGAGGGGGGACATATGGCATATTTTTCCCAGATGACAATTCAGGCAACTTAATAAAATTGAGAATGGAAATTGGGAATGTGTCAAAGAGACAACAACCTGACCATAGAACAGACAACAGCAGAAGGTCACCAACAGGTCTTCAATGCAGCAAGAAATTCCCGCTCCCGGAGGCATCCTTCAGCTGGCCCCTAAACAAATATATATACTAGTTCAGTGATAATGAACGCCATACTAAACTCCAAATTGTACACAAGAAACTAAAATTAAAAATAATACAAGACTGACAAAGGCTAGAGGCTCCTGACTTGGGACAGGCGCAAAAATGCGGCGGGGTTAAACATGTTTATGAGATCTCAACCCTCCCCCTATACCTCTAGCCAATGTAGAAAAGTAAACGCATAACAATACGCACATTAAAATTCAGTTCAAGAGAAGTCCGAGTCTGATGTCAGAAGATGTAACCAAAGAAAATAAACAAAATGACAATAATACATAAATAACAACAGACTACTAGCAGTTAACTGACATGCCAGCTCCAGACTTCAATTAAACTTAAAGCCTCTTGTTGGACTGGTGACACAGGATGTCTGACATGCAAGCCTCTCTTTCATTTCATGTTCATTTGTTTTTTCAGAAGAATGAAGGCACAGTGTTCCATTTGTACTGATTTGTTTGAAGATGATAATGCTATATCAGCTTTACCATGTGGACATACCTTCCACGAAAACTGCATAAATCAATGGTTAAAAAATGCCAATACTTGTCCAAGTTGTCGAGTTCCTGTAGAGCGAGGAAAGGCCATTAAAAAACTATTCTTTGATAAAGGAGATGACGAAGGAATAGATGAAAGCAAATTATCCAATGAAAATAATAATCTCAAAGCTAAGCTACGAGAAAAAGATCGTGAACGTGAAAAATTTGACGATGAAAAACAAACATTGCAGAGCAAGATTAAAAATCTGGAGATAGAGATTAAGAACCAAGATGTCAAAATCAAAGAGAAACAAACTACAGTGTCCTCTATGAAGAAAGAGTTACAATACTTCCAGGCTCAGCAGAAATCACTAGAAGTAGAAAGAGATGAATGTAGGAAGGCCAAACGCAAAATGATTGAACTGCAAAATGTTCAAATACTCTTAACAGGTAATATTGAGGTTTAAGAACATGAAGTAACAGCATGAATAGTAAAACAATTTCTAGGTTAATCAAAATTTGGTGTAATCAACTACTGTCATGACTGTTACAAACCAATTTATTTTTGCTGATATTTTTTTTGTTTAGTCGTTTCTATCTAACTTTGTTATAATTAACATGATTAATATATCTTCTTCCTATTTTTGTTGACAAAGTTAATGTTATGTATTCATAAAAGAGAATACCTAAATTTGACATATTCACAACAATTTATATTCATGGTTTTAATGTTTCCTACAGGAGGTTTTGGCAGGGTTTTTCTCAACTCCCTGCCCTTTTAAGGTCACCTGGCCAAAAAGGTCATGTGAGCATTGGTCATCATCAACGTCCATTGTTGTCCATTATTCTTTGTCCATCGTCTGTTGTAACTTTTCCAAAGAACTTCTATGAAACTCTTGAAACAATAACAACCGAACATAAGGTGACTGTTTCTTGGGTATTTGGTATAAAGTTAATGGTTTTTTTTTATTCTGGTTATGGTAGGTTAACTAACATAGCCATCATGGCTTAACAAAGAACATAAGTGTGAAATGAATTGTTTGTTTTGTATCTTGAACATGTTGAAAATCATTAAAGATAATCTTACACTGCAAAATGCTCAAAATGTCATGATCTACCTTCATTTGTATTTTCAATAAAATTATCAGATGACTTCTAATGGAGTAATTGCCCTTCCATCAGGATTTTTGGCTAATTTTCATGTTTTTGCCTATTATCTCAAAAATTATAATAGATACATGTATGGGTAGGTAGAAACAGTGAATGGTAAAAATTATCATCAATACATGATCTACAAAAATGCTCCTGATAACTGCTTATGAATAAGGATTTATTGTCCTTAATTACACTATCAAGATTTTATGAGCTGAATCTAGAAGTGAGTCATTTTATTACAAAAAGAAATAAAATTTAGTTTTAAGGAAAAAGAAACATTTATTAACAAATATCATGAGTATATTTGCATATTTTTCAGGTTGTGAGACCGATGTACAGGAACTATTAGAAACAAGAACTAACAGTGATGGCTCTGTTAAAGAACTTGCCAAATATTGTGCAATATTAAAAAGTGAATTTGAACAACTTAAATCTAGTCGAAAAGCTATCAAATCTGAATATGAAAAATTTAAAAGAGACTTTATTTCCAAAGATACCAAGCTAAAAGACACATCAAAAGAATTATCATATTTAAGAGAGGTGTCTAAGAAATCAGAAGAAGACTTACAAAAAGCAGAAAAACATAATGATCATTTACAGAAAAAGGTGTCTAAGTTACAGAACTTGTTAAAGAGTCCAAGAGTAAATGGTAATGACAGCTTTATAGAGACGGTTACTCAGGCTAGTCCTATGATATCTACACCAGTACTGACAAATTTCTCTCACAACATTATATCAGATACACCAGAAATAGTCAAGCCTAGTCCAAATACTCAGTTACGACACCATTGTCAAGAAAATAATATCAAGGTTATGAAGATTACTTCAGCCTCAAGTCAACCACCAGCGAAAAAACAAAAATGTGATGATGTTAACACATTAGGCAACTTAAATATTTTCAAGAAGAAATCAGGACTTGGTGATATGAAAAGTGCAATACGTAAAGGATATGATGGACTTGGAGGTCACATGACATTTACAGAACGTCAGATGAAGCCAAAACTGGCAATGAAGAAGTCTGTTAGTAGAACAGTTGATATAAGAAAAGGGAAGATGGCACGTGTTCCTAAGCTTCCATCGCTTGATAATTTTATCACCATCGAATAACATGCTAACATATTTGTGCTAGTTGTATATGGATTGTTAATTAAAAAGTCATGTGATTAACGCATTTGATATATTTAGTTATATATATTATAATATGTCAATAAAGAAAAAAACTTATTTCTTTAAGAGTACTAAACAAATTTTAATGTGCTAGTCTGTTTGAGTTATACATATCTTTGAAAATCATGAAAATATCTTTTGTAAATTCAGAAATTATTGCAATGTTTTTATTAATGTGAAGTATGTGACAGTATCAGGTTTTGCAATAATAAAAACTTGCATTTATAATTTCAGTAATGATTTTCCGTCATTGAATGTTTGCAATCCCATTTATTAGATTTTGCATTTTTGCCAGTAGTCAAGGATTCCCAATAATAAACGCATGTATTAATTTCTGAATTTACAGTAATTAAAAATCAGAATTTTTAATAATGTTGCTTATTTAGCAGTGCATATTTATCTATGATGTTGTATACAAACTTTGCAAGTTAACTTCAAAACTCTGCATAAGTCATTAAGAATTTTATTAACAAGATAAGGTAATGGAGTGAATACATTGACCATGACAGCAACTGGTCATGTGTTCAATGCTTAATTCTAAACAACTTATCTTAAATATGAATGAAGATCTTTTTTGTCTCGGGTCTTTGATTTGTTAGTGAGTAAATGATACTTCCAAGGACAATTGAATGGATGTTGAAGTTGTATTCTGTAACTCAGGCTTCCTCTGTATGGCTGCTTGATTGATGATACAGACAGAGCAATTTTTGTAGTTTTAAAGTTAATGGTAAAAAGGGGATAAGGTGTTGTATACTGGTATAATTATACATTATTTACATTTGTATTATCATGGTTTAATTTGAATTTTGATGTTTCCATCATTCTGGACACTTTTAGTTGTGCATCATTTGTATTTTTGTAAGGCATCTTTGGGTAGTAAAAATGTGGATCAAATTAAAATTAATTGTGAACAGATTTGCTAAAAATCCATTAAAAAAAAGTCTCAACTTATGAATTCTTAAATATTTCTGTTGTTAAAATGCATTACCTCATTGCCAAAACTTCAGGAAATTTTTAATTTTACAATAAATCATCTTACTGAAAGTTTGAACAGAAATGTTTATATGGTGTATATGAAAATATGAATTATTTGTATGATTGATTGTGTGTACATAATGGTGTGATTTATACCTCAAATATGTAAATGTTTGCATGGGATGATTTTGTGATATGTTTTTGTGTATAAGATCAAGATTTTTATCATAAAACATAAAAAAAACAAGCACCTTTGATTTTGTTGTTTTTGTCTCGCCTGCGACGAAAGTTGCAGTATGCGAGACATAGGTATTACTACATGTATCTGGCGTCAGCGACGTAAACTATTTGTATAAAGCTTTATATTTCAGAAGGTATAAGACCTGGATGCTTCATATCTTGTATGCAGATACCTTATGTTACGAAGTTTCCGTCTGTCATATGTCCAATGTCCTTGACCTCATTTTCATGGTTCAACGACTGCTTGAAAAAAAAAGTGGTTTTTTTTGTCATGTAAATTTCTCAATTATTATGAGTAATAGGATAACCATATTTGGTATATGGGTTCCTTGCAACATCTACATGTCGGTCATACAGGGTTTCCCTGACCTCGACCTCATTTCAAGGATCAGTGATCAAGGTTAAAGTTACGTGATTAGGTCTGTTTCTCAAATACTATAAACCACAGGTCAACTATATGTGGTGTATGGAAAGACTGTAATGGGTACATGTCAGTCTGGCAGGTTTCATATGACCTTGACCTCATTTTCATGGTTCATTGGTCAATGTTAAGTTATTGTGTTTTGGTCTGTTTTTCAAGTACTATAGGCAACAGGTCAAATGTATTTGGTGAATGGAATGATTGTAAGGTGTACATGTCTGTCTTGCAGGTATCATATGACTTTGACCTCATTCTCATGGTTCATTGGTCAATGTTAAGTTTTTTTTGTTTTCGTCTGTTTTTCAATTATCATATAAAATAGGTCAAATATATCTTGTGCATAAAAAAATTGTAAGGTGTATATGTCTATCTGACAGCATTTATCTGACCTGAGTTTCTGTGATGCTTTTAGGTAAACCTTCATCTTTGAGACTTTCAACATAAAATCAATGGTCAGTAAAGCAGGCGAGACATTTCAGCGTGTGCACTCTTGTTGGGTACATGTATTTAACATGCAGGTTCATAGACTACACAACAATGCATCACAAGATAAAGAAGATGCAAACACAACTTTAGTTGTCAAAACATTTGCATTTTGACCTGGAGGTCAATATTCAAGTTATATGTGAACTTGCTGGTCATGATGGTATGCAACACATAGTCTATGACTGTTTTGCATATGTTTTCACCAACGTGCCTTATATGAAGAATCTATGTTAAAAGATACAGTATATTCTGGCCTTTACAAGCTATTAAACATGCATACAAAAAAATAATAATTTGACCTGAACAAATCTTTAGCAGCAGTATTTTTACAAGAACATTTCCTAGTACTTAACATCTACAAGAGCCATATTTCTAATAAAGACTTTCATGGAGCACTAATTTTCAAAAAAAAGTTAAATATTGGAAATATAAATCTTTCATAGAAATTTTAGCGAAACCCATTAAGAAATTTTAAGAAAAAGCCTTTTAAATAATACTTATACTAAAGGGCAACACAGACATACATATTCCATAACTCGCTCTGTACTGATGCAAAGATCATGCGCTCATGCTGGAGAGTGACAAAAATGATACTGTGGATTCATTATTGTCTTGCCAGAATGCAAGACATGGATTACTTTTCGGCTGCAGCTACAGGTAAACATAGGTATAAAGCTTTATTTTTCAAAAGGTAGAAGACCTGGATACTTTGTCTTGAATGCAGATGCTTTATGTTACAAAGTTTCCTTCTGTCATATGTACATTGTCCTTGACCTCATTTTCATGGTTTAGTGACTGCTGTTTTTTTTTGGTTTTTTTTATTAATATGTGAAATACTCACTTGTTTTAAGCATGATGAATAATAGGATAACTATATTTGGTCTGCATTGCCATATATATGGGTTCCTTGCAATGTCTACATGTCAGTCATACAGGGTTTCCCTGACCTCGACCTCATTTCATGGATCAGTGATCAAGGTTAAAGTTACGTGATTAGGTCTGTTTCTCAAATACTATAAACCACAGGTCAACTATATGTGGTGTATGGAAAGACTGTAATGGGTACATGTCAGTCTGGCAGGTTTCATCTGACCTTGACCTCATTTTCATGGTTCATTGGTCAATGTTAAGTTTTTGTGGTTTGGTCTGTTTTTCAAGTTTTATAAGCAATAGGTCAACTATATTCAATGTATGGAAGGATTGTAAGGTGTACATGTCTGTCTTGCAGGTATCATCTGACCTTGTCCTCATTTTGATGGTTCATTGGTCAATGTAAGTTTTTTTTTTTTTCAATTATCATATACAATAGGTCAAATATATCTTGAGCATAAAAAAATTGTAAGGTGTATATGTCTATCTGACAGCATTTATCTGACCAGAGTTTCTGTGATGCTTTTAGGTAAACCTTCATCTTTAAGACTTTCAGCATAAAATCAATGGTCAGTAAAGCAGGTGAGACATTTCAGCATGTGCACTCTTGTTGGATACATGTATTTAACATGCAGGTTCATAGACTACACAACAATGCATCACAAGATAAAGAAGATGCAAACACAACTTTAGTTGTCAAAACATTTGCATTTTGACCTGGAGGTCAATATTCAAGTTATATGTGAACTTGCTGGTCATGATGGTATGCAACACATAGTCTATGACTGTTTTGCATATGTTTTCACCAACATGCCTTATATGAAGAATCTATGTTAAAAGATACAGTATATTCTGGCTTTTACAAGCTTACATGCATACAAAAAAATAATAATTTGACCTGAACAAATCTTTAGCAGCAGTATTTTTACAAGAATATTTCCTAGTACTTAACATCTACAAGAGCCATATTTCTAATAAAGATTTTCATGGAGCACTAATTTTCAAAAAAAAGTTAAATATTGGAAATATAAATCTTTCATAGAAATTTTAGCGAAACCCATTAAGAAATTTTAAGAAAAAGCCTTTTAAATAATACTTATACTAAAGGGCAACACAGACATACATATTCCATAACTCGCTCTGTACTGATGCAAAGATCATGCGCTCATGCTGGAGAGTGACAAAAATGATACTGTGGATTCATTATTGTCTTGCCAGAATGCAAGACATGGATTACTTTTCGACTGCAGCTACAGGTAAACATAGGTATAAAGCTTTATATTTCAAAAGGTAGAAGACCTGGATACTTTGTCTTGAATGCAGATGCTTTATGTTACATAGTTTCCTTCTGTCATATGTACATTGTCCTTGACCTCATTTTCATGGTTCAGTGACTGCTGATTTTTTTTTTTTTTTTTATTAATATGTGAAATACTCACTTGTTATAAGCATGATGAATAATAGGATAACTATATTTGGTCTGCATTGCCATATATATGGGTTCCTTGCAATGTCTACATGTCAGTCATACAGGGTTCACCTGACCTCGGCCTCATTTCATGGATCAGTGATCAAGTCTGTACCTCAGATACTGTAAGCAATAGATCAACTATATTTGGTGTATGGAATGATTATTAAGCCTACATTTCCAACGGGCTGGGTTTATTTGACCTTGACCTCATTTTCATGTTTCATTAGTCAATGCTGAGTTTTCATGGTTTTGTCTGTTTATCAGTTACTATAAGTAATGGGTCAACTATATTTGGTGTATTGAATGATTGTACACATGTATGTCTGGCAGTTTTAATTTTACCTTGACCTCATTTACATGGTTCATTCAACAATGTTAAGTTTTTGTGGTTTGGTCTATTTCTCATGGTTCTTGGTTATGTTTGTTTCTCAGAAACTATAAGTAAAGGTCAACTATATCTGGTACTGGTACATGGAATGATTGCATGGTGTGCATGTTGTCTGGCAGGATTCATCTGACCTTTACCTTATTTTAATCGTCCATTGGTCAATGTTCAATTTTTGTAATTAATACTATAAGCAATAAACTGTTATCACAAAGATATGTCTCGCCTTTTTGTAATTTTGATAATGCAAATGTTGAAATTAAAATAGCAATACTTTAACATGTAAGTTATGCAAATTTCAAAGTCGATGAACCATGACTGAAGGTACATGGCTAAACAATCTCCATGGAATGAGATGTGCCAATGCTAATACAACTGCATACCAATTACCATTGACTTATTATAAGTCGTTCCCTTTAAACAAACCCAAACACAAACATTAACTTGTAAACTATGTAAAAGTTTCAAAGTCAATGAACCATGATCAGGGGTGGGGCTATATGATCTCCATGGAAACGATACTTGCAAATGCCAATAAATTTGTATACCAAATATCATTGACTTAACATTAGCAGTTCATCTTAAACTGATCTAATCACAAACTAATACATGTAAACTAAGCAAAAGTTTCAAAGTAAATAGACCATGACTGAGGGGGCGGGGCCAAATATTCTCCATGGAAATGAGATGTGCTAATGCTTATACAACTGAACACCAATTAACATTGGCCTACCACTAATGGTTCCCCTTGAACTGACCTAATCACAAACTAATACATGTTAACTTAGCAAAATTTTCAAAGTCTATAGACCATGACTAAGGGGTGAAGCCAAATAATCTCCATGGAAATGAGATATGCCAATGCTTATACAACTGCATACCAAATATCATTGACCTACCACTAGTGGTTCCCCATAAATTGACCTAATCACAAATACAATTAAACTATGAAAAGTTTCAAAGTCAATAGACCTTGACTGAGGGGGCGGGGCCAAATAATCTCCATGGTAATGAGATGTGCCAGTGATAATACAACTGCATACCAAATATCATTGACCTACCACTAACGGTTCACCATGAACTAGAACTAATCACAAACTAATACAAACTAATACATTGTTGACGCCAATCAATGATAGCGGGTCCTTTAATTGGCACAACAATTTTGTTTAAATTGCAATTTCATATCTTAACCAAATAATGTTCCCTATTACATGTTTCACCTTTAACGTTTTATGTTTAGAAACAAGAAATTTCCAAATAAAGATTAATTTCTTCTAATAAAGTTTATCAATTATCCTTATAGAACATGGGACCAACAGATAGACTTGAAACTAAGATCTTTATTGTCTCCAAAAATTAATCTAAAAAGCTGTTTTGGGGGTGTTTTGGTAAGTTGAAACATAGGTGTACTATTTATCTCCTCTAAGAATTGCTCATTGATTTTGAAAACAATTATCATTATATGACACTGAAAATTAAAAGTGGTAAAGTGCATTTTAATTCAATTTATAATTTTATATTTTCCAATAAAGGGCATTGAAAATGTACTTTTTCAACATAAACAAATTAAACTAGAGGCTCTAAAGAGCCTGTGTCACTCACCTTGGTCTATGTGCATATTAAACAAAGGACACAGATGGATTCATGACAAAATTATGTTTTGGTGATGGTGATGTGTTTGTAGATCTTACTTTACTGAACATTCTTGCTCCTTACTATTATCTCTATCTATAATGGACTTGGCCCAGTAGTTACAGTGGAAAATATTTTGTAAAAATTTACAAAAATTTACAAAATTTATGAAAATTGTAAACTAGAGGCTCTCAAGAGCCTGTGTCGCTCACCTGTATTTACTGATGCTTTGGAAATCATGTAAAATAAGGTTAAAATCATAATTAATAGTATTAGATATTAGATATTATAATGATATCTAAGATAATAACAAAAAACTGTAAAATTTTTGTAAAATTACTAACTCAGGGGTAGCAACCCAACAACGGGCTGACGGATTGGTCTGAAAATTTCAGGGCAGATAACTCTAAATCTGATGAAAATTTTTGCCACCTGTCAGATTTGCTCTAAATGCTTTAGTTTCAGAGATATAAACCAAAAACTGCATTTTACCCTTATGTTCTATTTTTAACCAAGTCGGCCATGATGGTTGGAAGGCGGGGTCATCGGACAAATTTTTTAAACAATATACCCTAAAAATGATTATGGCCAAGTATGGTTAAATTTGTCTCAGTTGTTTCAGAGAAGAAGATTTTTGAAAAGGTTTCAAAAATTTACGAAAAATTGTTAAAAATTGACTATAAAGGGCAATAACTCCTAAAGGGATCAACTGACAATTTTGGTCATGACGACTTATTTGTAGATCTTACTTTGCTGAACATTAATGCTGTTTACAGTTTATCTCTATCTATAATAATATTCAAGATAATAACCAATAAAATGCTCCGCAGGGTGCAGCTTGATACGACCGCAGAGGTCGAACCCTGAACAGTTGGGGCAAGTATGGACACAACATTCAAGCTTGATACAGCTTTGCATTTGGATTGTGATTAAATATTTGACACAGCATAGGTTTCTGACACAGAATGAATGTGGTCTAAGAACTTAAAAATTTTAAATTGGACATTCACCTATTATGGTCCAATATCCAAAATCTAAATACATGGTTAGATTCAGCATATCAAAGAACCCCAAGAATTCAATTTTTGATGAAATCAAACAAAGTTTAATTTTGGACCCTTTTGACCTCAATGTGGACAAAGTTGATAACGGGGCCCAAAAATCAAAATCTAAATACATGGTTAGATTCAGCATATCAAAGAACCCCATATATTCAATTTTTGTTGAAATCAAACAAAGTTTAATTTTGGACCCCGATTTGGACCAACTTGAAAATTGGGCCCATAATCAAAAATCTAAATACATGTTTAGATTCAGCATATCAAAGAACCCTAAGAATTCAATTTTTGTTAAAATCAAACTAAGTTTAATTTTGGACCCTTTGGACCTTAATGTAGACCAATTTGAAAACGGAACCAAAAATTAAGAATCTAAATACACAGTTAGATTCGGCATATCAAAGAACCCCAATAATTCAATTTTTGATGAAATCAAACAAAGTTTAATTTTGGACCCTTTGGACCTCAATGTGGACCAATTTAAAAATGGGGCCCAAAATCCAAAAACTAAATACACGGTTTGATTCAGCATATTAAAGAACCCCAAGAATTCAAGAATAAAACCCCATTGAAATTGGTCAAGAAATAAGCAATTTATACGAAGTATCTTCTTTTGCACAATACTGTGCAATTAAATATTTCTTGCTATTGCGCAATACTGTACAATTGACAATTTCTTGCTATTGCGCAATATTGTGCTATTAGAAAATACATGTATTGCGCAATACTGTGCAATTGAAGATTTCTTGCTATTGCGCAATACTGTGCAATTGAAGATTTCTTGCTATTGTGCAATACTGTGCAATTGAAAATTTCTTGCATTTGCACAATACTTATTATATAATAATTTACACATCCTGTTTGGTGTGTATCTCCTATCATATCATTATTATTTGCTTTTAAATATAAATCAGAAATAACCAACTGAAAATGGAAAATTTTAAAAGAAAAAAAAAAGGAAAAAAAAAAAAATCCCCCCCCCCCCAATATTTGAACCCCCTTATGATTCATCACCCCCAAACTCAATCCCAGCCTTCCCTTTGTGGTATGGTACCTTGCACTACAATTTCAGAGATCCATACACTTGAACACAAGTTATTGTCTGGAAACTAGAAAAATGCTTATTTTTGGCCCCTTTTTGGCCCCAAATTCCTAAACATTTCGGCAATTACCCCCAAACTCAAACCCAGCTTTCCCTTTGTGATATGGAACCTTGTAGTACAATTTCAGAAAGATCCATACACTTACACACAAGTTATTGTCATGAAACTAGAAAAATGCTTGTTTTTTGCCCCTTTTTTGGCCCCTAATTCCTAAAATTTTGAGGCAATTACCCCCAAAATCAATCCCAGCATTCCTTTTGTGATATGGAACCTTGTGGTACAATGTCAGAGAGATCCATAAACTAACACACAAGTTATGTCTGGAAGTTACAAAAATGCTTATTTTTGGCCCCTTTTTGGCCCCTAATTCCTTTACTGTTGGTACCATAAACCCCAAAATCAATCCCAACCTTCCTTTTGTGGTATTGAACCTTGTGGTAAAATTTCATAGAGATCCATTCACTTAAACTAAAGTTAGAGTGCGAAAACCAATGTGTCTTCGGACGACGCCGGACGACGACGCCAACGTCATACCAATATACGACCACATAAATTTTTTTGCGGTCGTATAAAAACTGCAAAATTTCCTTAAAATTACCAATTCAGGGGCAGCAACCCAACAACAGATTGTCAGATTTGTCTGAAAATTTCAGGGCAGATAGATCTTGACCTGATAATCAGTTTTATCCTATGTCAGATCTACTCTAAATGCTTTGGTTTCAGAGATATAAGCCAAAATCTACATTTTATCCCTATGTTCTATTTTTAGCCATGGCGGCCATCTTGGTTGGTTGGCGGGGTCATCGGACACATTTTTGAAACTAGATACCCTAATGATGATTGTGGCCAAGTTTGGTTAAATTTGGCCCAGTGGTTTCAGAGGAGAAGATTTTTGTAAAAGTTAACGACGACGGACGACGACGACAGACGACGACCACGGACGACGGACGACAAGTGATGAGAAAAGCTCACTTGGCCCTGTGGGCCAGGTGAGCTAAAAACTTATTTCATTGAAATGGGGATTCATTCTTACTTGCGAAAATACACTTCCTGTATTCAACATACCTTTTTTATATGTAGATTTCATAGTTTGTCTTCTTTTGAAAAAAGAGATCATGTTAATCCTTTTAAAGTCATTTATCTTTCAGACATAATTTAGAGAATCACTTTTATATTTAGTGTAGATCAAAAGTAATAGGCAATGAATAAATCTATTATTTCTGTATATCTAACATCTAATATATACATTTGTGTAATCAATAATGAGGTCAAGTATTTGTGTATTGAGATGTATAATGAAGGGTCTGTTTAATTATGCAAGACTGAGGTTGATTATTAATTTGGTCAATATGATTGTCATATGTGTTTTTCATTGATTGCTTTGTCATAAAATCAGGTTGTTTTTCATTTTTTGTCGTTTGAATTGCTTTCACATTTTGTCATGTCTGGTTTTTTATAGCCTGCTCCAAAGCAAGGCCATGGCTATGTTTGAAATTTGTGTTGCCTTTTTTTTTAAACTGCAAATCAGAGCTTCATAAAATTCTTTATCAGGATTGTGTCAGCATGCTATACTGTTCATGTGAACAGGCTTTATCGTACAATATGTTTTAAATTTTTTTCTCTTCAATTTCCTGATTACCAAAAACTTAAAGCAGGGGTATCATTAGGGAGTAATAGCTCACAGTTCTACTTATTTATTGTTCATTTGGACAAGGACGTATATTAGATAGTTATACGTCCTTGTTCCACACTGGGAACAGTATATCTAATATATAAAAGGAATGTGATTACAACAAATTTGAAGTGACAGAATACAAGTTTGATACACTGGCATCACTATAAAACTAGTTTGAATGACATTTTATTGATATTATCAGAAATTATTAGGATAATAGCGAGTACGTTTTTAACACATGTCCGTTTCCGTATCGTATCTTTATTACCTATGACCCGACGATAAAATCGGCTACAATTAGGTAGTGTCAAGTCCCGTCAATATATATGTTCCTGTTCCACATCACCATATTTTTATATCAACATACCTTTCAATACCTTTGATAAAACCATATAAAACAGAAAATAAGACATGAATCAGGTAAAGAATTTTTATATCTTAATTCAGCATAGTCAACAAAACATGTATAGTAAAATTCAAATATACAAGGTAATGTACAAGAAAAATTATATTAATATACATTTGTATAAGGAAATGTACAAAATTTGAATAATATTTATATGCAAATATACAATAAGTCGTCAACAAAAAGGAAAAATATAACAAACAAGAATTATTTTAATATCTTGACAGGAACACATAAATCTACTGTTATTTTATATATCATCTACATAATCTAAGGAACAAAATAGCAATATATAATTGGTCAAAAACAAACTATTTTGCCAATGTTTGTTTGTCTATAATTAACTCCACCCTTAAGCAAATGAAAATACCGCTTTTCTGGATCAGGAACGCTCAAAACCCAAAAATTTTAAAGCAAGTGATGTTTAGGTTACCTATCCTGATTTTGCCTGCTCTACATGTTGAACCAATAAACAAATAGATATGGTTAAAAAAAAAATTCAATATGTCCTTGTATAATAAAACTAGACAATTATTGAAATTTTAGGGTATCACCACTCTTTTTCATATATTTTGAATCTTTTTTAAATTTTCACAAAAATTATGGTTTTAATGGAACAATGTCCAATTGAAATTTCAAGTTACATGCAGGTTTTATATGTAAATAAACAGACATCAAAAACATGAACGCAAAGGTTGGATTTGAAATATACACCACAGGCTGCCCATTTTACGTGCTTTCTATTAAAACATCAATTTACTATATTAAAAGTGGTTGCATAGTATGTAACAGGCATTATCTACATGGTAAGCTGAATGAGTTTTCATATTATATGGTATACATTAATATATCTATATTCATGGGATTGAATCATCATAGATAATCTAAAGTGTTGTTATCAGACAAAGATTTCATCACATTAAAGGTGTTAACTCTATTAAGAATAAAGAAAAGATTACATTTTTTCTATAAATTTTGAAAGACTGACATTTTGAAGGGGAGCTTAAATATAACTTTTCTTATAAAAAACTTTAAAGAATGCCCTATCTTAATTATCATTATATGATTATGAGCAGTTATTCTATGGTAAAGAGTTGACACATTGCCAGAAAAAGGTATAAAACACTGTTTATACAACAAATGAAAAAAACATTTTCTCAGGTTGAAATCTCCACTTCCGGAGGTTTTAAATTGTTGTCAATATTGAAATCAAAGGTCAACACTCCATTGAGCATTATTTTCTTTATACATTAAAACACATTTATTAAATATAATAAGGAAAGCCTATCCTATTTCTAAAACTTTGACCAAAGTCGTAATGCTAGATTTTCTGATATAATAAGACATCTGTAAATAAAATGCTTCGCTGGGCGCAGCTTTATACGACCGCAGAGGTCGAACCCTGAACAGTTGGGGCAAGTATGGACACAACATTTAAGCTTGATACAGCTCTGAATTTGGATTGTGATTAAATATTTGACACAGCATAGGTTTCTGACACAGAAAGAATGTGGTCTAAGAACTTCAATTTTTTTAATTTACCTATTATTGTCCAATGTCCAAAATCAAAATACATGGTTAGATTCAGCATATCAAAGAACCCCATATATTCAATTTTTGTTGAAATCAAACAAAGTTTAATTTTGGACCCAAACTTGGACAAACTTGAAAACTGGTCCCATAATCAAAAATCTAAACACATGTTTAGATTCAGCATATCAAAGTACCCCAAGAATTCAATTTTTGTTAAAATCAAACTAAGTTTAATTTTGGACCCTTTGGACCTTAATGTAGACCAATTTAAAAAACGGGACCCAAAATTAAAAATCTAAAAACACGGTTAGATTTGGCATATCAAAGAACCCCAATAATTCAATTTTTGATGAAATCAAACAAAGTTTAATTTTGGACCCTTTTGACCTCAATATGAACCAAATGATAGCGGGCCCACAAAATAAAAAATCTAAATACATGGTAAGATTCAGCATATCAAAGAACCCCATATATTCAATTTTTGTTGAAATCAAACAAAGTTTAATTTTGGACCCCAATTTGGACCAACTTGAAAACTGGGCCAAAAATCTAAAATCTAAATACATGTTTAGATTCAGCATATCAAAGAACCCCATATATTCAATTTTTGTTGAAATCAAACAAAGTTTAATTTTGGACCCCAACTTGGACCAACTTGAAAACTGGTGCCATAATCAAAAATCTAAACACATGTTTAGATTCAGCATATCAACGAACCCCAAAAATTCAATTTTTGTTAAAATCAAACTAAGTTTAATTTTGGACCCTTTGGACCTTAATGTAGACCAATTTAAAAAACGGGACCCAAAATTAAAAATCTAAATACACGGTTAGATTTGGCATATCAAAGAACCCCAATAATTCAATTTTTGATGAAATCAAACAAAGTTTAATTTTGGACCCTTTTGACCTCAATATGAACCAATTTGATAGCGGGCCCACAAATAAAAAATCTAAATACATGGTAAGATTCAGCATATCAAAGAACCCCACATATTCAATTTTTGTTGAAATCAAACAAAGTTTAATTTTGGATCCCAATTTGGACCAACTTGAAAACTGGGCCAAAAATCTAAAATCTAAATACATGTTTAGATTCAGCATATCAAAGAACCCCATATATTCAATTTTTGTTGAAATCAAACAAAGTTTAATTTTGGACCCCAACTTGGACCAACTTGAAAACTGGGCCCATAATCAAAAATCTAAACACATGTTTAGATTCAGCATATCAAAGAACCCCAAGAATTCAATTTTTGTTAAAATCAAACTAAGTTTAATTTTGGACCCTTTGGACCTAAATGTAGACCAATTTAAAAACGGGACCCAAAATTAAAAATCTAAATACACGGTTAGATTTGGCATATCAAAGAACCCCAATAATTAAATTTTTGATGAAATCAAACAAAGTTTAATTTTGGACCCTTTTGACCTCAATATGAACCAATTTGATAGCGGGTCCACAAATAAAAAATCTAAATACATGGTTAGATTCAGCATATCAAAGAACCCCAAGAATTCAATTTTTGATGAAATCAAACAAAGTTTAATTTTGGACCCTTTTGACCTCAATGTGGACAAAGTTGATAACGGGGCCCAAAAATCAAAAATCTAAATACATGGTTAGATTCAGCATACCAAAGAACCCCATATATTCAATTTTTGTTGAAATCAAACAAAGTTTAATTTTGGACCCCGATTTGGACCAACTTGAAAACTGGGCCCATAATCAAAAATCTAAATACATGTTTAGATTCAGCATATCAAAGAACCCTAAAAATTCAATTTTTGTTAAAATTAAACTAAGTTTAATTTTGTACCCTTTTGACCTTAATGTAGACCAATTTGAAAACGGAACCAAAAATTAAGAATCTAAATACACGGTTAGATTCGGCATATCAAAGAACCCCAATAATTCAATTTTTGATGAAATCAAACAAAGTTAAATTTTGGACCCTTTGGACCTCAATGTGGACCAATTTAAAAACGGGGCCCAAAATCCAAAAACTTAATACACGGTTAGATTCAGCATATTAAAGAACCCCAAGAATTCAAGAATAAAACCCCATTGAAATTGATCAAGAAATAAGCAATTTATACGAAGTATCTTCTTTTGCACAATACTGTGCAATTGAATATTTCTTGCTATTGTGCAATACTGTACAATTGACAATTTCTTGCTATTGCGCAATATTGTGCTATTGGATATTTCTTGCTATTGCGCAATACTGTGCAATTGAAGATTTCTTGCTATTGCGCAATACTGTGCAATTGAAGATTTCTTGCAATTGTGCAATTTTTTCTGTGCAATTGAAAATTTCTTGCTATTGCACAATACTTATTATATAATAATTTACACATCCTGTTTGGTGTGTATCTCCTACTATATCATTATTATTTGCTTTTAAATATTAATCAGAAATAACCAACTTAAAATGGAAAATTTTAAAAGAAAAAAAAAAAGGAAAAAAAGAAAAAAAAAGAAAAAAAAAAAATCCCCCCCCCAAATTTTTTGAACCCCCTTATGATTCATCACCTCCAAACTCAATCCCAGCCTTCCCTTTGTGGTATGGTACCTTGCAGTACAATTTCAGAGAGATCCATACACTTGAACACAAGTTATTGTCTGGAAACTAGAAAAATGCTTATTTTTGGCCCCTTTTTGGCCCCCTATTCCTAAACGTTTCGGGCAATTACCCACAAACTCAATTCCAGCTTTCCCTTTGTGATATGGAACCTTGTAGTACAATTTCAGAAATATCCAAACACTTACACACAAGTTATTGTCATGAAACTAGAAAAATGCTTGTTTTTTGCCCCTTTTTTGGCCCCTAATTCCTAAAATTTTGAGGCAATTACCCCCAAAATCAATTACAGCCTCCCTTTGTGATATGGAACCTTGTGGTACAATGTCAGAGAGATCCATACACTTACACACAAGTTATTGTCTGGAAGTTACAAAAATGCTTATTTTTGGCCCCTTTTTGGCCCCTAATTCCTTAACTGTTGGTACCATAACCCCCAAAATCAATCCCAACCTTCCTCTCGTGGTATTGAACCTTATGGTAAAATTTCATGGAGATCCATTCACTTAAACTAAAGTTAGAGTGCGAAAACCAATGTGTCTTCGGACGACGCCGGACGACGACGACGCCAACGTCATACCAATATACGACCAAAAAATTTTCAATTTTTGCGGTCGTATAAAAATACTTGGGAAAATGTACCAGTCAACATCATAATATATAACTTATCACTTTCTTTCGGCAAATTCATTCTACATTGGCTAGAGGTATAGGGGAGGGTTGAGATCTCACAAAACATATTTAACCCTGCCGCATTTTTGCGTCTGTCCCAAGTCAGGAGCCTCTGGCCTTTGTTAGTCTTGTATGTTTTTTTATTTTAGTTCATTTATATGTTATGGAGTTTAGTGTGATGTCCATTTTCACTGAACTAGTACACATTTTTATATAAGGGCCAGCTGAGGCCCGCCTCCTGGTGCAAGGTTTTCTCGCTGTGTTGAAGACCCATTGGTGGCCTTCGGCTGTTTTTATGCTCTTTGGTCGGGTTGTTGTCTCTTTGACACATTCCCCATTTCCATTCTCAATTTTATTGGTCTACATTTGGAATCCCCCTCCCTTCCTCCCTCCCTCAGTGAGACTTTATTTTCACATTTTCTTGTTCATATCTCTAGTCCTTCTTATACCTTTAATTTATAAGATGGACATATTTTCATGATTATATCTTTATTTAAGAATTTAGAAGAAAAAACCTTTGTGAAATGTACCACTTTACAATATTTGGATGTTAATATTCTGAGTCTATGATTTGGAGAATATACATAACAGAATTATCAATGATGAAAATTAATAAAAAAAATGAATAACAAAACTATGATGATAAAATAAGTACTGTTTTTTATATTAATTCCACATAATGAAGTAACTACTTACAAACATGATAAATGACATATTTTACTGTCAGAAAAATACAATTTCAACAAAAAAATTCTTTCTTAAAAAAAAAAAAGAGTATGGAATGTCAAAATTAATATCTGGAATTTATTGCAATGAAATTCAATATACCATGGGGTCAAACTGTTGGAAAATATATTAGTTTATAAGCAAAAAAAAAATTAGGGAAAACTTATGAAATTAATTTGACTTATTGAAAATAACTTACACAGTGGCTTTGAACAACTTACATAGTTTTTTCATTAAGTTAAATGTCAGATATCTTATTCTTATTTTTTGTCAACTTTAAAGCTAATTAGGCATACAGCTCACATAGTCTTGTAAAGGTATGCTTCCAAAAATTATTTTTAATTTCATACATGTAGAAAACTTTTTTATGTAGTAGTGGTAACAAACTAGCTGATTTGATTATTTATATTTGAGTATTCAACCCCTTTAAACCATGGAAGCTCTTTAGCCTATCATGAATGATCGTACAGACATTGCACAGATGAAGAACAATAATTAAAATCATGCTCCATTAATATATAGTTATTTCTCATCATATTGTCATGTGGACAGCCACTAAAGGTTACACAATATACTCTAGTTTTGCTTGTTGTTGACTTCCTCGGTATAAAGGATAGTCATTTATTTTTAACCACAATCATAAAGTCCTATTTTGATATATTTCAAACCTTTGACATTCATATATGTATATTATTTCTATACTGCTGCAAAAACTAAAGTTGAAAATAATAAAAGATGACAAAGGAGTAGGTCCGGTAAGGGCCGATTTTGGCCTCAAATTCAGGTTCTTCTGATGAAAGATTTTGGACACTTTTTAAACACTTAAGTGTCTACTTCAGTCTATTCAATTAGTTTATGTGAAAGATTTGAACTGATTTAGTCATTAAATACGCTCAAATACAAGCTTAAATATGACAAATCTATCAAATATGCCATAATTTGTCACTTTTCAGATGGTTTTTGTCAAAAATGAAAGTGGCCGCATCCGTGTTCACTCTCAATCTTTATATATGTTATGTATTATCATCAAATACAACTTACATTTAAATATTAAGAATGAACACAAATGCGGCCACTTCCATTAAAGACAAAAACAGTATAAAATTTAACTCAAATGCTAAAATTGTGAAGATTTCATGATTTAGCATGACTTAATGATGCTAGTACCCGATATATGTGCATTGTTTTGTCAAAACAAGCCCATATTTATGCAGCAGAAGTATTCTACTTTCCAATAAATAGCTAAAAGTTTACATTTTAACAATTTTGTAAAACTGCTATATTTTGGGGCCAAAAAGGGGTCTTACTGGACCTACTCCTTTAAGAATGTCACATTTTAACAGCCAAACAATTTGCACCATATATGCCTACTCTGTATGGACAACTATGATTTTCCTGTTTTATATAAGTTAGGTTAAAGTTCCTACTGTGAAAATATCACCGAGACAGAAATAGTTACCGCAATCTTATTATCACTGCATGTGTCATTTTTGTGTGAGGTATATGCAAAAATTGAGTTATGCACCTTTAATAAATAAGTCAAGTGAACTAACACCTTCTATTGGTACAAGTTGGTAATCATCAATTGGAGTTGGACAACGAAGTATGCTGCAGTTGTCTTATGCACCTTTAATATGAATTATTATACATATGTACCAGTATATCCTTTTTTGTTATGACTTTTCCACAATATAAATGCTTCAGGTCCTTCAAACATTATCTTTATACCCAAATTATTCATATAAATTTTACTTTACATTTATAACATTGTCTATTTTCACTATCAAATAATAAAATCATGTTCATGTATAAATCTTCTGTGTCAATAATCTTATAAACATAACAAATCATTTATTATTACAAAACAATTCAAATGCAAAAGTGGTATTGATAACTTTAAGCTTTACAATATAACAACCTTCATAAGTACACATTTTGAGAGAGAAAATATACATTTCCCAAAATTTCACAACAATACAGCACAAATCAGCTGAAATTCTCGAGTTTTTTTGTTATTTATCCAATGTGTAAAACATTTTTCTGAAAAAAAAAACAACTTCCTTAAAAACCCAGAAACTGTCAATTTAAAAAAAAATGCAAACATTTCTTATATACATAAAAGAGAATAAAGATATATATAAGTCAATGAGACAGCAACCTATCAAAATCATTAATCAAAAAAGAGACACCTACATCAATTTTACTTGATATTTTACAACCCTTTCCCTTAACTGTAAACACTGGAATTCAACTATAACATTGTGGTATGAAACCAAAATGTGGTAATTTTATAAAATATTCAACAAGGCTAGACCTTTAGGCCAAGGTGATCTACCAAAATGGTAACTTTTATATCCTTGCTGAACCCCAATTTGATGCACTAGTGATTTCAACATTTCTCGAAAATAAAGTTCCATATTATTCTCTTAAACAATGTTACAGAGCACATATACCGGTACACATGAACAATATACGAATAAGTGATGCATGTATGAAATAAATACAAATAAACAAGTTTCTAAACATGTGGAACAACCTTCTCTTGGATGATCTTAATAAAATTATAGAGTTCTTGTAATAGAACTGCTTTGTTTAAAGAAACAATTGTTCAAATTTTAAAATGTTTTCATTTTTGTGACAAAATTGGGGGAGCAGATTTTTTCAAACATTATAAAGTAGCTACGTGACATAGCATATTGGTGTTGAATGAGGTATAGAATAACTAATATATGACAATAGTAACTTCTAAGTATAGTTATCAGATATTTGAACGTTGAATGACTTGTGATTTCAAATTTCCTGTTTTATTTTGTTCAAACTGAACATTTCTTTTAAATCATAACATAATTTTAGGGGTCTGTAAAATAGAATATTTAAGGATGAAGGATTTTTTAAAGATACTTACCTAAAATATACCAAATTTTGATAGAAAACTTAACTTGACAACCAAAAAATTAAAAGATAATTAACAACCAACAAATAACATATCTATAGTCCTAAAATTATATTGTGTTTAAATTATTTACCAATATGCAAATATATTATTTCTAACCAGTAATTGAATAAAATGAATATTCATTTTGTTTGAATACAGTAAAAATGGTTCAACAGTTCTGAAATTCAAAACTTCATTTTTTGTGTAGGTCATTTTAGTATAATCAATACATTTCATATCTCGAAACAATAGAGCAAATTTTATCCAGAAATTCTATATTAAATATCACAGAAACTACTTTTGTATAGTAAAAGACAAATTGAAAAAATAAAATATGGAATAACTTCTGAAGAAAATGAGATTACCCTGAAATTCATTACAATGAGTAATAGTCACAAAGAAAAAATAACATTATTTGCAAGTATTATTTTACAGTAGTTTAAAAAGTATTTAACATTACAAATTGAAATATTACCACAGCTAAAGAGGCTGCTCTCATTTTTGACAGGGTGAAGCAAGTTTTCCTCTTTGATTGGCATATAAAATATAGACCCTGTCAAATTTGAAAGAATACAGAAAAATTTTAATTTCCCTTGAAAACTGTGGCATATGCCAGGTATACCTCAAGAAAATTCTTTTTGAGCAAGCTCTCATTAAATTGGGAGCCAATATATTGCAAGCAACAACACAGCTTAGACATAAGCTCTACAACCTTTGTATAAAATACTGAAGATTCATTTAGATTGATTTTCATAGGTAAAAAATTTCATTGGATACCAAATTTCTTGGTCTTGATAAAATCTACACAAGACGCTTTAGTATATTTGTATTTTGTTTGACACTTTAATTTGGGGTTCATGTTAACCCATGAAATCATAGAAAATTGATGCCCAATGAATAACAATGAATCCAATAAAAATAAATTATCATTTGATTACAATTTCTACTGCTGTTTGCAGTTTCCTTGTTTGTCCTTCTTTGAATTCCCAATTGAAGATTTTCTTGTCTTCTGTTTATCTGATGCTGACCTTCTTTGACCTTGAACTGGTTGGAATTGACTTATAACTGGTCCCTCTTCAGAAAAACTATCATTTGCTCCTCCCATTCGGTCTGCAATTCAAGAAATGCCTTCAGTTCAATTACATTAACATGAATCTATCTTTTGAACTATGCCATTTGACATCTATTTGTTAGACATCATAGAAATTATCTACTCATGCAATTTCTCTCGAAGTAATAGTTCATTAAATGCAGGACATATAAAAATAATAGGTTATTTTCAGTAAAATATCGACTTTTTAGTATGAGGCTTAGAAACTAAAAAGTGAAAGCCACAACAAGCCATTCAAAAATTTTATGCTGAATACAAAAAAAGTTGATATTTTCTGACATATATCTAAGATTGTTTATAAATTGCAGCTAAAAGTTGCTACAATTATAGCCATATAAAAGTTAACACAAAAATATGACTTATTTTCCATCCCTAAATGAGCCCCTCATTGTGAAGAAAAGTGATGTGACATGTGATTGACCTTGTACGTATAATTACACATTTGAAGTGTTCCAGCAGCAGTATAAAAATCCTTCCTAATTAGTTTGGTTGAAAAATATTGTTTGCAATCATCTATATAACACATATTGGAGGTTCTAAAGTAAAAGTTAAAAAGCTCTCAGTGCTAAAAATACAGAAATTTCTGTATGCATTTATCATTGAGATTGGTGAAAAATGGTCCAGAATTGAAGATTTATAGCGATCTTAGGAAATGCTGCATACACATAATGCTTTCAAAATTTAAAATAAAGTTCTAAATTTTGCAAAACATACATGAAATTTTTGCAATAAGAAATACATCGCAACTATGTTCTGAATTTACAGCATTAAACTATATTTTTAACAGTAAATGTATTAGAACAAACAGACACTACTCTCTGCATTAATTGAAATCCGTAAAGTAGTATCCATGATCTCTGAAAAGTTGTCATAAAATTTTCTATACAGATGTCAAATAGAAATAAAATTGGCACTGTACCTTTAACTTTTCATCAAGTCATTTTTTGAGGATACAAAAGGCATCAATCAGCACTAAGGTAGATGGCTAGACCATGATGTTACGAGTGCATGTTTCTCTATGAAAATTTATATAGGTGGAGTTCCTTTTGATTTTATACATATAAATATTTTTGTTAATTTATTGCAACCTCATCTTTAATAATGTTTTTCTTTTCATAAAAGTATTACCTTTTGAGTAAGTTGAGGACACACAATTACGCAAATGTAATGATTGAAACAGATTTCCACATAAAAAAGTGGACCATGCTGTTCTAGTTTGACTCGATCTCTCTGATTAACCCTACTGTAAGGTGACAGTGCCCATATGTTGATGTTTTCAAAGAGGATGCTGTATTGACCCAAACATTGCATAGATTTTTTATGTTATCTGTGACTTTTCTGTGTTGGAAATTGGACACAGTAATACGGATTATCTTGGAACTAGAGTATTGAAGTAAATAAGCATTCTGTTTGGTTAAATTACAAATAACCATATACTGTAGCTCAAAGCAATTAAAATGTATATTGTAACTAATAATTTCAGAACACAAATATACAGAAACAACATAAAGAAAAATTTAAGCAGAATTAAAGCAAGCTTGTAGTAGGTAAAAACAGCATTCTTGTTTCAAGAGCATGCACACTTTGGTTCAGCTAAGAATACCAAAAACAACAACATGAACTATGAAGGACAATATTATTCACCTCAGAACATATGTGTCCAACCAAATTACGGTACTTTGACTTAGTATAATTTGTTAGAGTTAACTTATCTACCCCTAGAAAGATTGACTTTTAAAGGCATTATTAAATTATTAACTAAACAAAAACAAATTTAAATAAAAGCAACAGTAGAAGTGCATGCTTTAAATATGAGGAATTTAAATTGCAAATAAAAATTCCCAACATAATCTGAGGCAAATTCAGGTTTACTTATATAATCAATATTAGTACATTATCTTCAATTCTTTATTTTCAATGAATGTCTCTTGTAATGAGCTTGTTGTTCTAAGACTGAGAAGAATTTCAAGCAAAACAATTGATAACATAGTTTATATGCCAGATATACATTCTAGATTAAAAAGAATCAATTGTTGAATCTTCTTTATATTTTAATTTTTTACCATCTTAAGGCCACACCAATTTCCTTTTAAGGTTTTAGATTTTAGGCATGCAAAAAATTGTTTAAGCTGGTAAATTTTGTTTATTTTTTTTTTTATTACAAAATGATGGAATGGTACAAATAAGATTTATTTTCTTTTTCTTCTTAAATATTTTCCTTTAAAATTGAACCAGGAAAATTTAAAAAAAACATCTTCAAACTGAATTGGTATGGCTTTAAAACTGGTTGTCTTTTTAAGCTTTACAAATATGACAACCGAATTGAAGACAATATTTCCCACCCAATCCTCATTTCAAAATTTAAAGGTCAATCGAGAATGTATTTCATTTAGAAATTTGTAAGTAATAGATGTCTATATGTTGTGTATATATGTTTATATGAATATTAAAAGTTTCAGAAAGTTAGTAAAACTAATACTACCATGATAGTTGTTGGCAGCTAAAGGGTTCCAACTTCCTTTTGGTCTGCGAAGACTTCCACGTAAACTGGGGTCCCATTCCAGGTCGAATTCTAGTGCAACACAGAAATGAACTCAAGAGAAAGTGCTTTGTAAAATATGTGTGATAATGAAATAATATGAAATGAAGTATGAATGATATGATTTGATTTTTATAAGTTAGTATGATTTTGTTTGATAGCAATGTGCAATTTTCATATCGAACGGTGAACTAATTACTTTTTTATATTTGTTTCAGAATCATCAATAGTCCATATCAAGTCATTCAGTACAGTGGATTCCTTTATTTTTGTGGATACCAATTTTAGTGGATTGAAGAATTATATTTTTTTTTTAGATATTGGATCTTGTGGTATTGACAAATTCTGCATTCTGGCCTAAGGAAATTTTGACTTCGTTAAACACTAAAATTCATGGTTCACCAACAAATACCCATGAAATCCAAGAATAAAATAAATATGAAAAAATTTGAAAACTTAAAACATCATACATTGCGAAAAAAAAAAATATCAGATTGCTTGACACGAAACAAAAAGCACTTGAAATGCTAGGGAATACTGTGGATTCATTTATCTTAGTGGATACTAATTTTTGTGGATTGAGAAAATATAGTATTTTAATGTATACTAGATTTTATGGCTGCAACACAGTCTGGTATACAAGCTAAGGCTACAGTAAATTTTTACTATGTTGAGTACTTAAATTAGTGGTTCATCTATGACCAAAATCATAGAAAATTGGTAACTAATGAACAATTATGAATCCAAAGGAAACTTTAAAGAAAAAGAACTTTTAACGCTGTTCTTTATCTTGAATGTTGATGGGGAGGTCTTTCAGAAATGCACACTTAAAATGATGATCAAGGCAGATCTATAAGTCAACATGAAATTGGTCCAAAATGTCCAATTTTATGTTTACTAAGATAACTGAAAGCACAGGTTTCCTCTAAAAAATTATTCGGGACATTTAATAAATTCTAAAGTAATATTTAGACCTACAGGCAAATTTAAACTTTTTATCAATCAAAATCTGTACAAACAATTAAACTGACATAATAAATAGTGCTTTCAAATAAAATCATTAATTTCATCCAATAATAATTTCATGTATTTTACATCATCAGTATTCCTGATGTTCATTTGCCTGATTAGAGAATTACTCTACTACAACAAAGCGTAATTTGTATTAAAAATCTAATAATCCATGCATTGTTTACTCAAGTGTTAACTTTAAACAAATAACAAATAAACAAAACAGAAAAACATTTGAAGCAGAAAATCCTCAACATTTATTGATATTTTAAAAATGTTTGTCTACATACATAATGCATCTCTCGCTCAATTCTAGTATTGCAGACATAAGAGATATATGTTTATTTATGTTGTGAAGTTAAAGTAATAAGTTTGCAAAGGAGTACAAAACTGACTGACTAATAGACAGACGGACCAGGAATTTTAACCCCCCTCCTAATATCCAAGGGGAAGACATAAAATGACCTGTTAAAATTTTTTAATTCATATCAAAGGTTAAAATAAACATAGAACTTTCATAGAAATTAGAATGCAAGGGCGTCTTTTATAAATTTTTTGTAAAACTGAACATGAAAAAAACTTAGCAAACACAAAAACAGGTAACATCAATATTAAATAATAATGCAACTAAATATACTTACATAGACACAGCTTTAAACCATGCAAATATTGGATAGATGAAAACCACAATAAACATGAATGTAATGTGTCTGTTGGTATGTTAATTGAACTGAATAATTTGTGTATAAGTTTCAATGTGTACAAAAATCAGGAAGAATTAATAGATGTGGGGTTAGTTTCAATGTGACGGCAAACCTGTGACACAAATAATCACAACATATAGAGGGCAGATCAGAATGATGTGCTATAAACCAGAATTTAAGAAGGAATTGTGACTATTTTGCAAGATTGATAATGATGTGGATGATACATGAATGACATATGTACATGTATGATGTGTGTGTAAATCTTAAAATACATTAAGGGGTTTTCCATTAAAATGGACGTAAGAGTGTAGAAAGGGGTTTAAAAAATCCCCCCACAACCAACACACCAACTTCTTGGAGTAATTTAGCATACATCAAATGAACATTTAATCATAAATCTATGACTAATGTCCATAGATGTCCAAAATCAAAACATCTCTTCCTACCAATCCTCAAGTATTTTAATGGAATATCCCTCAGTATGGTTAGTACCCCTTTCCCTGTATATTATAGATGCAGTAACAAGATACTCTTGAAGAGGAATTATAACCTGATTTATTTTTTTCATGGATACTAATTATTATTGTATGAGGAAATTAGTATTTTTGTGGATGTTTGATTTCTTAAATTATACAAAATTTGAATACGAGCCTAAAAGAAATTTGAATGTTGTCAAACATTTAAATTTTGGTAAAAATTTACTTACAAAATCAAAGAAAATCAGTACCCCATAAATTATTATGAATCTATATAGCATTTAAAAAAAAAATACAATATGACACGGTAAAAAATCAATATAAAAGTTTTCTTAATTATTTTTTTTAATACAGGGATCTTCAAGAGTATCCTGGAATGCAATGCATTGCTTTTGTAAATTGACAATTTTGTATCACAGTTTTTAATTGTTAAATAAATAAGTTGCATTAGAAAATTTCATGAACCTTTACCATCACAACATATAAATTGAAAGTTAAACACATCACATTTAAAAAACACAAAATCATAGTTTGTATGTTTTTTGGCATGTTATTTTGAACCAATGCAGACACCATGCTTAGAAATAAGGGTAATTTATAGTGTTAGATAACATCACAATCATGTAACATAGAAAAGAAAACATATTACCAAATGTGGTGGTCCAAGCATTTCAGTATTACAAAATAAGTTATCTTTCATAATTTTTGAAAAACATGAAAGATGCTTATTTCAAATTCATTAAAACTAATAATTTTCTTGGACTTGTTTTTGCCAATCTTACCTTCGGGTAAAGGCATAGATGATGATAACACTGGCATTTTCATGTTAGTTTCGTCATGTGATCCATTTCTAGGTTGTCTTTTGTAAGTAGGATCTATTGCAGCTGCTATATTAAAACCAAGGGGATTACTAACTGCATAATGGTTACCATTTTGTTGGCTATTTACTCTGGGATTTGAGGGAGGTGGTGGTGCTCTGTAATTAGATATATATTTATCGAAATTATTTTGAACATAAATTACACAGTAATGAAATCCTGACATGTCATGAGATAGAAAACAAATATATATATTATGACTACTGTATTTTCAGAAATCAATTCGTGCTTTTATAATGGCAAAATCTAATTAATCATTTTCAAAAATGTTATGAAGGAAAATTTCTTCTCAAATTATGAATGCAAGTTTTTATTATTGCAAACATGATACTGTCTCATTTTTTGTATTCATAAAAATATCATAAAAATTTTTGAGTTAAGAGTACTTAATATATAGTGTTCTGTTGCAGGCCTACATTACAATAAATATCATTCTGAATATGCATGAAATATTTCCCAGTAGACAATAAGCAAGCACCAATCAATCAATTAATGAATCATACATTACAATATATGAAAGGCAACTGGATTTTTTTTTTAGAAAAATTAATCTCTATGACGAAAACAAACAAAACAACTGTTGACAAGACAGCAATCCAACAGAAAGTCATTGAAATCATGTGAAAACTGTGTATTACTGAAAATGGTTGACAAAAATGTTTAGTGAAATAATTGTGGATGATTAAATCATATATTAATGATTTTTAACTTCACTGGGCATGATGAATTATAAACAACACTTAAATATATGAATTATGAATATATCGAAATACTATACAGTGAAAAACGGAAACAAAACATTATCTCCCTTCCCAACAGAACTCTTCAATATTAGGAAAGTTCTCTGTGAGGAACAAATAATTATTAGATCAAAAGATAACATTTGGTTAATAAAATAGTAAAAAACAAATAACAATAAAAACGAGTAATCATATAATTTTATCATTTCCGTCTAAATATATATATGTATATGTATGAAAAAATAAGGATATGTGGAACAATTGCCAACAAAACCTTGAATGGCTGAAATAAAAATTTAAAGCTTTTTTTCATTTTTCAAAGCAGCATGGGATTTCTACGTTTTGTAAATCAAAACAAAATTCCCTAGACACTTTTAGTGGTGTTAATGATACAAATAAATGGTCACCAATTACTTCCAATATCATATATAGCAACACAGTCTGATTAAGTACAGAACCTGTGTCCAAGCTTGGCTTTCAACGATCTGACAATACTCCTATCTATTTTCTGTTCTGGTGATTGTTACATCAGCCAATGATTTTTCAGCCTTTAAATTTTTGAAGGTGTGCATCTATATGACAAAAACAAAGGATTCTGAAAGATCTCTAAAACAGAAAGTAAACGAAGCATTGTCAGATTCTTGTAAGCGAAGCTTGGACACGGGATCTGAATTTTTATCAGATTGATAGCAACAATAATTTAACTAATATTTAATAGATTAACCGAACAATAATACATTATGCTAGGCTAATTATTTAAAGATCTGGTTGATAATCATTTGAGATTTTTTGTAAATTGATATGTTAGTACGTACTTATAAAATAGCTTTAAAGAATCTGATAAATAAAAAGTATATATATATCTATATTGTATAAGATATAGAAATATGATGAAATCTGTTAATAACTACAAGTGTCAGTAGGACACTATATCCATCTCATACAGCAAAGTTTACGCGAACAAGGGCTGTAAGGTACAGTTTGGGGCTTTATTTGACCCTTTAAATTTACCAAAAAATCAAAATAGCATGCTTGGTAATTTTTTATCATCTTGAATTTTGAAAATGAATAAAAAGAGAGGTGAGGTTTACATCATAAGACAGCAATCCTACAACAAATATTACCAAGGACATCTAGAGGACAACATGTGGTACCAACAATACCATAGGTCTAGCTCTAAAATTTCCAAAGCATAAAAAAGTTTCAGTCAGGTTTTTGACCTTTATTACAATGAGTTAAACAATTGTCTTGTGATAAAGTTACACTTTACAGTGAGCATTCATTTAAGGTTAACATTGTCCAATCAACAAAATTCATAAGAAAGCAGACTTTTCACTCATAATTTGGATAAATTAAAATAGTACTCAGCTGTTCTGTAAGGTTTTTTTAGGTGATAAACCATAATAAGATACAACTACGTTCCAAAATTCAGATCTATATCTGGAGAAATAGTTAAAGAAAAGTGCTAAAAAGTATTTTTTAAACTTTATAATTTCTTCAAAAATAATTTTAAAAGTTTATATTGATGGAAGGACAGACAAGGGTAAAACTATATGACACTTGTTAACAGTAGTATAATAAAAATATCTGATATTTCTTCCATGCAAAAAAGAAAAGAGATACAGTATCTTAATTTATTTGGCAGTGAAGATTCATAGATGTAATTCATTTGATTTTCAACTCTTTGAGACTGTATTTATGCATACATCTATCTTTTTTAATAAAAAAATTCCTTATGATAAAGAGATGCAGGTACTGTAAATTCAGAAATTTGTGTGTACATTTATCATTGAAGGTGAAGATTAATTGTTGCTTTTTCAGGAAAATCTACATAGAAATAAAGCTATTAAAATCTGCTAGTATCATATTTGCTAAACTTTACCCATCAAAATTTAAAACATTAAAAAATTTCAGATTTTACAGTAGCTCTCTTATGTGGAATTATTTCAATAAGAAATCCCCCTTAATCTTTAAATTTAACATATCTGAATCTGGTTTATTCCAAGGATGAATTACAGGAATGAACTGTATCCCTTCTTACTAGCTGTTTATGTCCTATACTCTTAAGAAATACTGCTTATACTGGAATATTTACCTGACTAGATCATTTCTTATTACGCTTTAAAATAATCGTTTTCAATAAGAAATATTGAAGTAAGTGAAATAAACTTTTACAACATTCTATTTAAAATAATAGCGTGTGCGTCAACAAAACTGAAAGTTTGTATAACAATATTCCTACGAACAAAACAATAAAAAAATATTTTCAAATTTCAATAGACCCAAAAAATGAAGACATGAACAAGTTACAATCTATTGCTCAGAAAAACTTTTTTTTAAGTATTTATTGATTGACAAACAATATGATATAGTATCACACAGAATTCTGATATGAAAACTCCCATCATTCAAGTATGATTTTTTCTTTTAACAATTAAAACAAAAATTAAACTGAACCCTGGAAAACATGACATCTATTTGGTAGTATTGAATGTACCATCTGATTCTCAAGAATCAAATCTTATTTACCTGTAAGGAAGTTCATCTTCACTGTGGTAACTTCCTGGAGGTGAAGGTGATGGGATCATTTCATCTGAACGATTTGATGGAAGTCTTCGTCTTTCATGTTGATAATTTTGTGTCTCTCGGGCAGAATTAAGTACCCATTGTTCAACACTATGCACTGAATGTGATGGAACTTCATTAGGTGTAGGAAGTCGAGGTCGGTTTAATGGATCTAATGACTGTTGCCTTGACGGTTGTCGTTGGGAATTCCTTGACGATGTTGTGCTCTGCTCTGATTCAGGAGTTCGAGGTTGTTGGGAAGACCTATTTTCTATTGACTGTATAAAACTGTCTCTGCGTAATCTATGATGGTCATGTGACCTATTGACAGGTGGATCTGAGGAGATTCGTTTTCCAGGTAAATCAGGAAGTGGTCTTGTTGCAGGATTGGTCATTTGCATCTGAATAAGTATAGTTAACAATAATTCATTGAAAGAATTTGTAACACCTTTATATAAAGGTCCCCATTGGTACTAGAGGAAACTGACCTGATAAGAGAGACGACCTTTGAATCAAGGTTCAAAATGCATAAATGTCACTACAGCAGGACAAGAAGAGAAGTACCTAACAAGACAGGTTTTTCTTTCCCTTACAGTACTAGTGGATTCATTATTATTCATGGGATATCAACTTTCATGGATTCTGTGGGAAAGGTGAACCACCAATTCAAATGTTCAATGAAGTACACATTTTCTATAGGCATGTATGCAGACTAAGGTAAAACCATGAAAGGAGAAGGTCCGGTAAGGGCTTGTTTTGGCCTAATATTAGAAGTACATCTAATGAAAGATTTTTGACATTTTTCAAACACGTAAGTGTCTACTTCAGTCGATTCAATTAGTGTTTGTAAAAGATTTGGACTGATTTGGTTATTAAAGACGCTCAAATAGAGGCTTCAATATGAAAAATCTATCAAATATGCCATAAAACGTCACTTTTCAGATGATTTTTGTCTAAAATGAAAGTGGCAGCATTCGTGTTCAGTCTCAACCTTTATATATGTTATGTATTATAATCAAATACAACATATATTTAAATATTAAGACTGAACACAAATGCGGCTACTTCTTTATTTTAACAACTTCGATTTTAGACAAAAACCGCCTTAAAATTAGCACAAATGCTAAAATTGTGATGATTTCAGTAATATTGCATCAATTTATGATGCTATTACCTGATGCATGTGCATTGTATTGTCAAAATCAGCCCATATTTATGGAACAGAAGTATTCTTCTTTCCAATAAAAAGCTAAAAGGTTACATTTTAACAAATTTGTAAAAATGCTATATTTTGGGGCCAAAAAGGGGCCTACTCCTTTTAAAATATCCACAAACTTTTTTTTTTTTTTTTTACTCAATCCATGAAGATTCATGCATTTACATTCCTTTCCCAAGAAAGGATAATTTAGAGTTTTTTTGTGCGAATGTGCAGCTTACCCCTTCAGAAAATTACCCTGTACCTTATTCAAACAACTGCAACAACTCTATAGGAGCGGGATCACTTACAACATTAATCATGTAATGAAGACATTATTTTAACAACTTCGATTTTTAAACCATTCTGATTCAGTCCTAGTAAAGATTAAAATTTGAGACGTAAATCATGAATAACAAATGTCAAGATACCTTTAAATGAAAGCAAATCAATTGATGACCTTGATGATAGTATTCTATATTTTTTCCGCCTTTAAATTCTAGCTCATGTCTTTCAACAATTTATAGATTTTTTTTTTTTTAACAATTCACAGAATTTTTCTTTTTATCTTTTAAAAGAGTTTTCATTTTTCATAGATCTAGTAATACCTGTTGTTGTTGTCTTTTCACATCATCTTGCTGTTTTTTCTTTTCTTTTGCTCGTTTTGCCCTGAGTTTTTCTTGTTCCTGTATAATTTTTGCTAGTCGTTCATCTTGCTCCTCTATTTCCCGTAATTTGACACGATCAACTTCTGCTTTTGTTCTCTAATTAAACAATAAAAAATGTATATGTAGAGATGGCCATCACTTTTCAATTAATTCATATTTACATATAAAAAACTATGACACATAATTTTCTGCATCCTAATAAAGTATTATTTCTCCTAAGACAATGTTTTACCATGGCATTCATTACACAGAGAAATGGTGGAGGTATATCCAATTCTGATTTCCATATCCAATACAAAAAAAAATTAAATTTAACCTGATATCAGACAGACAAACACAAAAACAGACAAATTTCCCCACCAGGAAACAAAGTGCATCTATCCTAGGCAAGGCAAAAAAATGCAATTTTGAAACACATTCTTAACATTTATTTCACAAAATTTTTATTCATTCAATCTCTGGTAGTTCAAATATTTCACTTCTCTTTTTTTTTCATATTCATTATACAGTTAGACTTGTTCTTGTAAATGTATAAAATTTTTTATAAAAATCTGTATACTGTAAATTCAGAAATTATTGTGAGGATTTTCTTATCTCGAATGATGCATCTGTGTGACTATCCCAATAGTGTGAACTTGCATTCTAAAATCTGACACATATATTTGTATTCAGCTTTTCCTGTAATCGTAATAATTATTCTCACATTATGGTCTGTCATGTGGAAATTGCAATAATTTCTGAATTTACAGTACTTGGCCATGATATGTCATTGTCAAAATAAAGAATTTCCAACTTAAGGATGTATTCTTCTGACGTTTCAGTCTCGTTGAAATCTCGTTCTGGAATTATTTCCAAAACATGTGATACAAGTGGAAAATATCAATGAATTTAAAAAATATTGTAATCAAACTTAACTCTGTGAAAAAATTGTGTATTTACAATAAGTAGTTTTGAGTAATAAAATTTTCAAATTTTATAACCAATCAAGTCAGTCTCATCAGCCAAAATGTTGAGAAAATGGGTGAGGGTACAAGAAATGATTTTACCAGATACATGTACATACCATATCTTTTTTTCTTTTCAAATTTCTAAGATATGTATTTTTTCAATCATTTATGACAAAGAAGTTGAAATAATATGCTTTTTCTTCTAAAAAAAGAGAAAAATCCCAAATTTACAAAATTGACAACATGGTAAATTTGACACGAAAAAGCAACAAAATTTTATAAAACTTTCTTATATTAACACCTACCCATAGTTTTTTTAAGTCAAATTTATTCAGATTAGTCCACTTCATCTTTAGTGAAAGTATGAAAAAAAGTTCGTGAAACTGTGATTTTTTTTTTGCAAGACATGCACAATAAAGAAAAAGACATACTTAGGTGTTCTAAAAAAGTGTCTAAATTAGGTACATTGTATATCTAAATGGAACCATTCAAAAGATGAACTTAAGTAATAATTGTTTACCTTATGTTCTTGTTCTTGTAGGAGTCTTGCAAGTTCCTGAAGTAAACAAATACAATGTCTGATCACTTATAAAAACATTTAGCATTTTCATGATTATGAACCCATAAAAAATATGAAGAAAATCCTTACCAGAAAATAAATGACACATTTTTCATCAAATAAGAGCTTGCTTTACGTTTGTAAGTAACCTACATTTTTCTTCTTTGTGTTTCATTCATTTTTTTTTACTTTATAATGTTACTGCTATTTTTCTATTTAGCGAGACTTCATTATTCATTTTAGTGTAGACTTCATTATTTTACTAAGTGTATCTTTCATTTTCTAAATTTTTTCCTTTATCATCAATGACATCATGTTAGTTTTCCCTTCAATGCTAATTTTGATGATTCCTTTAATTTTTATTTAAATCTTTTTGTAAACTTTTGATAATCTTTTTCATGATAAAGGAGTAGGGCCACGAAGGGTTAAAAACGGCCCTGTCTCAGAAATTGACGTAATTACTGCAGAAGGATCACTAACTAGTGTAGTTCATAAAACGATAACCATTAGACTTGTAACTGTGTTTGTATAATTTTCCAGGGCGTCAGAAAAGACTAAGGTACAATGGTATTTTAGCCATTTGCGCGTAACGTTAAAATTGTTTTCATTAACGTTCTAGTAATATTATAATCATTTTACCACAAGAACTTTTTTCCAAAATATTTCTTGAATCTCGTCCATATATCTTGTTTGTTTTTTAAACTCTATTAACAGAAATTTACTAATATTAAGGTTTAAGCTGCACATAAGCGCTTCAATTAAATTTTGTATAAGTGGCCAGAATACTCGTTTTCTGTATTGATATTCTCGAAATAGAAATTGCAGAGACTACGTAAACAAACATAATTCTATAGCATAGATTAAATCAAAAGTCATAAAGGTTATTAAAACATACGCAATGAATGTCTTCTATTGGGCAGAAGGAATTTAGATTGACAACTATAAAATATCTTGGTACCTTTATCTCTAGTAAAGAAGTAAAAGATGAAAACACAGATAAAGATAAACATTGTGTATAGACAGTACATAGCATTACATGTACTTCAATAATCATAGAACACATTATAATTGTACAGACGTCATCAGACACCAGAACCACACGTGCACTCATAAACATCATCCTCATTCCGGAGGATTACATGCTTACTCTCAAAGCAACATTCAGAATTAAACACACAAATGAACAATATTTTCATATAATACCGCCATTCATACGTCACTGACCACATTACATAGTACTGCTATCTCTAATTCTACCTAAAGTGCATGAAATATGTAGTCATCTGTAAAAATTGAAATATAATTCTTTCAAATGGTTCAATGAATCCTTTTTATATTTTCCCAGAACTTTTTACTAGACAAAGTAATAGATTAAAGGCAGTGGCTATTTTGCCGGCGCCGCCAAAATTGAAAATATGCTATTTTGCAAACTCTCGGTAAGCGGAAGCCAGCCGTGAAGCCAGCATGCCAGTAAAAAAAATTTTGTTTACAGCTATGCAATTCAAAACTGACTATTATTTCAAAACTAAATTTAATTTAAACATTTTTGATTTTGAAGCTATGTGATTGATTTTTTTAAGACTGTATAATGTTTTTATCAAATCGATATGCTATGAGATTTTGTCTTTCATTTTTTTACAGCATAGTTTAAAAATCTGAGATTTTATTCTTATGCATACATGTAGCATTAGACTGATATTAGAAGTAATTTCAACTACATTTTTTTATATGATTTCATTGCTTCAAATGGATAGTTTTTGTTTTTATTCCTTTTTACAAATTCTTATTTTCACTTGGACTCATGCATGTTTTTAAACGATTATATGTATCTCAAATATTGTGACACTTATTTTATTCAGCTATATGTCGAATAATAATTTGATTCTTTTATGTTGACAATGCACATTTTCGTAGTATTTTTCACAAGTAAATACTAAAATTCACTCTTTACAAAGAACCGGCAAAATAACAAATTCACTATATTGCCGGCGGCGGCAAAATAGTCATTGCTATCGAAATATGCTATTTTGCTTGTTTTAATTAAGATATTTTAATCAAAGACGACAAAATAGCATATTTTCTATCTTGCCGGCGGCGGCAAAATAGCCACTGCTTAGTTTAAAAAACTCAAAAATTTGACAGAATACTCATTCTCAGTTGTCCATTGTGGACGATTTCATTTAGCGATTTAGCTAAATTCAATTAAATCTATCCGACTTTTGCATGTTTCTATCAATTACGTTTTAAAAGAACAAATACTTTTATTATTTTATGATTCGTGTTCTCGTTAAAGACAGACAGTTTGGTTCAGTTTTGTCAAAATAAGCAAGGAAACATCGCTAATGAATTATTCACTTGCAAGTGGATAATTTGACCTCATTAAATCCGTATTCATGTGAAGTTCAATTGAACCTCTTAGCTAGAGATGAGTTACGCATGAACTAGTCTTGTTCAGGTATTAAAAGAATAAATGTGGATAGTGTCCACATGTGGACACAGATGACGCCCCGCTTGCATATCATATAGTTATAAAGGGACATAACTGAAGAACAGTAAAAGTGACGCTACCCAAATTTGAACTTGATCCGAGTTTTGTGTGTAAGTCTCATAACATTTGGTTGAGGCTAACTTAAGTAGAGAACAGAAACTAAAAATTCAGCACTTTTTCTATTTATAAAGGGGCATAACTCAATAATGGTTAAAGTGACACTACCCAAATTCAACTTGATCTGTGTTTTATCAGTGAAAGTCAAAATTACACATTGCATTGTATAAAGCATTGATTGTAGTTGATTCAACTATAATCATGGACAAAGGACGATAACTCCAATTTTAAAAATAACTTGATATTTAGAAGAAAATAAAAATTTTGCAATTTTTTCCATTTATAAAGGGGCATAACTCTAGAACGGTTAAAGTGACGCCATCAAAATTCAAACATGATCTGTGTTTTGTGGTAATAAGCATTGTGAATAGGTTTCATAACATTTGGTTGAGGCAAATTTAAGTTAGAGAACAGAAACTAAAAATTTTGCAATTTTTCCATTTATAAAGGGGCATAACTCTAGAACGGTTAAAGTGACGCCACCATAATTCAAACTTGATCTGTGTTTTGTGGTAACAAGCATTGTGTATAAGTTTCATAACATTTTGTTGAGGCAAACTCAAGTTAGAAAACGGAAACCAATTTTGGGACGTACAGACGGACGTTCGTACGTACGTACGTACGTACGTACAGACGGACAAGGGTAAAACTTAATGCCCCCACCGCTACGGCGGGGGCATAAAAAGAATGTCAACATAAAATACACACGAAATGCTGATACATATTATCGAGTCTATTTTATACTTTTTTCAATTTGGATATACGTTTTAGTATGTTATAAGTCGAATATGAGAATTTGAGTCAAATCAGTGAACATGAATTTGACAGCTAATGCCCCTTTAAGTTTTAAACTGAAATTCTTTTTTAAGGTTTTCACAATTGTCAATTTATTCTTAATTAGCTTTTATCTTGTAATCTTAACTAGTCTTGCTCGTGGTTAAAGTGTTCCGGTATTCCACATACAACTATCATTCTTATCTCAAAAAAAGTTCGAGTGTACTTTGTTATCATCTTTATTATCATTTGGTCAAATTAAACAGATTCATGCCTCAATCCGTATGAAAAAAAGAAGATGGAATATTATTGCAAAGAAGACAACTTTCAACCTCAGATACCGAATGACATGCATGGATTCATTTGAAAACTAATAGAAATCCTTGAATTCAGGGTTTTTTTTATTTGGCGTTGATTGTAACGATATAAGTGTATGTAAGCTGCGTCCATTCAAGAAATGTATTATCTATAACTATAATGATATACAAGATCAATTATTTTCGTCTATATATAACAAGGAGATGTGGTATGATTGCCTATGAGACAACTCCCCACTATGTTTGTTTCCTTTAAAGTGAAATGAAATGTGAATTATTTCTCATGGATATGTTATATTAACCTGTAAAAATGTTTTAAGAGTTTTCAAAAAGTTTGCTTAGTTGCAAAAAGTACGATATAAACAAATAGGTTTCAAAAAGATGAGCAAGAGGAATACTGAGATAAACGTCAATGCAATGTGACAGCTACCTAACAGTGATAAAATTAATATTCTATTCTTCAACTACACTCTGCTCACTGCCACTTTCGTCCATGGCATGTGGGTTAAATTCTGCATCTTCAAGAGAAGCTCATCAATTCTGGACTCCATGTGTTATGTCCAGGTTATGTCTTGTATACCCTAGATACCAGAGTATAGAGGCAATGTGCGCAAATTACATGTTCTCGTCCAGAATATGCATCTAACTTGCCACAAGACGTTAAACAGTCATCCATCATCATGAGACAAACAACTCATGTAGTAAAATGGTGTGTTTCTTTGATATTAAATATTCTTTTTTTTTCTTTTTTCCCAAAAAGTGAAATAATAGATGCGTAAATATCTTCTAAAAAGATTTTAAAATCTTTAATCATTTATTTAATTATGTTAAAAGTCATTATTATACTGTAATTTTAGAGGAGATATGATTGATAGATGTTTAACGAACGTCCAGTGGCAAATACTTCATGCATATTTATGACGGAAAGCAATTTAGAGAATCTATTTCAAACAGGAAACAAGAAATTGCATGTGTTGTCATTAAACATAAGAGAAAATTCTCCAAAAGGAAGGGGGGGGGAATAAAGAATCATAAGACCAATAAAATCATACAACACCATGAACATATAGAGGCGACAAAAAAAAACCAGCAATAATAAAATATAAAAACAGGTAACTACAGATTAAACACGAACCTCGGGCCATCACAAGAAACGAAAAATCAGAAATATAAAGTTATCTGATAAATAATTCATTCATAGTAAGCAGCCATTTTTGTTGGTCGCTTGTAAAAAAGGGACGAAAGATACCAGAGGGACAGTCAAACTCTTAGATCGAAAACAAACTGACAACGCCATGGCCAAAAATAAAAAGACAGACAGACAAATAATAGTATAGATGACACAACATAGAAAACTAAAGACTAAGCAACACGAACCCCATCAAAAACTAGGGGTGATCTCACGTGCTCCGGAAGGGTAAGCAGATCCTGCTCCACATGTGGCACCCGTCGTGTTGCTTATGTTATTACAAATCCGGTAAATAGTCTTATTCGGTAGGTCACATTCGTAAAAGGGAAGGGTATTGTAGTTACGACATAAGGAACATATCTGATATCATCTGTGAAACGGTTATTCCATAACGGTCAACCAACTCGTGATGGCGTCCGAAAAATTTACGAAGGGATGATTTCAACTTCACCATTTGGAACTCTTGGTTTAATAGCTTCCTTGTGAGCAGCAATCCTCTATCAAGGAAATCATGATAGGAAATACAAGCCCGGGAATATCGTATCAAATGGGAGATATATACTCCGTATGCAGGCGCTGCTGGAATGTTGCTACATAGAAATGGAAATTTCACAATTGGGAAGCTGAAATCATCTCTTTTGTCGTAAAGTTTTGTTTTCAACCGACCCTCATTGTCAATTTCTAGATGTAAGTCAAGATATGAGGCAGACTTAATAGTTACTTATATGTTATATAAGTTATGTTTATACATAGTTTGATTTCCATTACACTCAGTAGTCATTATTTTAGGATTTTCCCAGGATTTTTTGTTTTCTTTACTATTGAGAAGAAGCAGATTTATCATATCTTAATCAGCTACATGTGAGTTTATCAGGTGTTTCTTAGCAGGGTGGTTTAATTACATCAGTTCCATTACAAATATACATGTTTTGTTAATTAGTGACCACTTGTGGCATCTGGCTTTCCTTTATCCTTTGTTTGTTTGTTTGCACATAAACTTTGGTATAGTTTAGCTCCTCCCATTTAGGAATATCCCATTAAGTAGTTGTATATTGAAAACCAGTACATGCTGCCTTTAGTGTCCAGTTTTTTCAATGCAGATTAAGCAGTTAAAAGAATAATTTTTGCTCAAAAAGTGGCTTAACTAAAAACTTGCCTCCCACCAACCCCAACCTTACACCTTCAATATTGCCATGACAGGGGAATCAATCTCAGCACAGTTTATATAAGATTCTTATTGATTTTTCTGTATATGTATATGTTACAAAAGTGCTTAAAAATTTCATTCCAACATCAGTTCATATCAGTAGATCTCAGCAACCAGTAGTGAAAAAAGTACTTTTAGGAGCTATGTTGGATTGGTGTGATGTCAAGCCAGGGGTCTATACTTTGCTACTTTTCAGTACGCACATGTACATAGGCTGCTGGTTTAGGCATGGATCAGATAAATAACCTCAGCATCTGAAACACGTCCATCATGTTTGGACATTTATGAAATTTTATCACTGGTTGTTTCAAAAATTTCACTCATCCCCCAAGAATTTCTGGGGATAAACTGTCAAATTTCATACAAATTCATTCTAACACCAATTCAACATCAACACTACTTGGCTTCCTCATAGCCACATACTAGGCTTCCTCATAGCATCATTATAGGCTTCCTCATAGCCTCATAGGCTTCCTCAGACATAGCCTCATAGGCTTTCTGATAGCCTCATAGGTTTCCTGATAGCCTCATATGCTTCCTGATAGCCTCACGCATTTATTTGGAACCATAGATCCAATTGGATTGGTGTGATGTCAAGCCAGGGGTCTTTACTTTGCTACTTTTCAGTACGCACATAGGCTCTTGGCTTAGGCATGGAGCAAAAATTTTAATTTTAGCTGAGTAGATTCCCAAGGGCCAAAATTAAGTGATGAATATAAAATAATAAAAGTTATAGTTCATTTATGATTTATGTTTCATTCAAACCTGGATACAACTGGCACTGCTACGCTATACATGTATTTACACAGAAGTTTATTTATAATGGGATAGAGCAGGATTTTGAATTATGTTGATTTTTTTGTTGATATGAGTACTAAATGCTTAATTTTACATATCATGAGTTCAAATGGAGAGTTCTGAAGCAAATCAGGATAATTAAAATGTTGCTTAAATTAATTGTCTTAAGAACTCATTATGTGTGACTTTGAGGATTTTGTTCATTGGGCACACATTTCAGCAAGTTAGACTTATACTCAGACAGGTTTTTAATGTCAGGTCAAAAGATTTTTGCAAGGAGGTAACTGTTTTTCTGGATGTTTACTCAGGCGTTATATACTTTTCATTATTACAAAACACACATCCACTAACCAAAGGAGAAATATGCACAGTATAAACAACAGACACTTTAATATTAAGTACAACATTACAACAAATTATGAATGGACCTTTAGTATATCTACAATCCAGAATCGGTACTCTAGTCAAACATGGAACAAATTACAGTTAAAAATATTCAGGAACATGGAACAAATTACAGTTAAAAATATTCAGGAACATATCTGAGGACTTTGTATAAACTGTATCTGTAGTATCCTTTGTCTCTAGATCGATGGGATAGATTCGTTCAACATAGTCACCAAATTTTGTATTATTTAGTGAGAGAACATCATCTATATAGCGGAACGTAAAGTTGAAGGATATAGTCTCACTCAAATTTAAACGAGACCACCAAAAAGGGACCAAATAAACAATTGCTCCTTTTATGCATTCTGACCAATTATGCACGCTATCCCGCGTGAATATCAGATATTTATTTGAAGTTACCCAAGCTATATGATTGTGTAGGATAGCTTTGTTTCATCTTTATTTCAGTTTTCATTGAAAACAAATATTAGTTCTGGTTGAATGTCACGGACAGAATACACCATGCCCTCTCATTGCGTCGTAATTTTTATTCTAATTAAAGAAATATTGAAAAGCTTATTTAACCACTGTGCAATATGATATCAAAATTCTCACGTGGTTTCTTCTTATGTCCTACGATTTTCTATGTATGTTATTGTTCATAGTTTTGTAATTTATTTACACCATCCGTAGTAATTATGTAAAATGTTAACTTGGCAAGCCAAACATGATAGAAAATGCGGACGTGAAAGAAAGCACTTCATCAAAGCGTCAACATGAGATTACATTCCGCGGAGGTTACATCTCGACGATTTCGTCTTTAAAAAACAAAATACGTGTATCTAAAAGGAAATTGGTATTAAATTGTTATGTTGACACCCATATCGATCTGCTGGATGCAGAATTTTACGAAAAAAAACTACAGCTCTAATTCAAAACTGTCATATTTGTGTTTGCATAGCACAGACCGGGCTAATACACCTTATCGCTAATCCCGCTTGACCCGAGAATCAGTCCCGCTCGAACTTTTGACGTCATACAACAATCACTTTTCCATTGTGGCGTCAGATATTTTCTATTATGACGTCAAAATTTTACGGGAACTTGTGTGATGTCCAGTAATGTCGGAAAAATAGCGATAAGGTGTATTATAACAAAATATCGTGGAAATGAACTTTAAAATAATTTGCAAATTCATAATTTTTATTTCCACCAATTGGTCTTGTTTTCTAATAAAAACAGTTATGAGGACGTATCTATCCATGTTTTTAAAAAACCTCACCAGATCGGCGGTTAACAAAGCTTCACTAAAACAAAGACTTGTTATTCCATTTTCTTCTTTTTTGTTTGTTATAAATAAGAAAATAATAAATTATAGAATTTATTCTATTTGTAGCTATTGTACAAGTTCTTGGTACAGTTATTTCGTCACAGAATATATCGTACCTCGGAAATGGCGGCGTTGAATCAGGATTTGCTTGTTAGCAAAAGTTAAATTTTTGATGTGGCCACAGGCCTCGACCACGCTAAATATTGTTGCAAACTGAGTCAAAGTGTCAAACAATCAAAATAAGAGTAAAATTACTTTGGTCGAGGCCTGTGGCCAATGCGAAATTTAACCAGGAAGTGTGAAATTCTTTAAGAATTTGGACACTTTGAGCGTTCCGGTTTGATTCCGGGTATTACGTCACATTAATGACGTCACAAAAATATGATTTTATACTATAATAACAAATAACGATATACGTAGATATGTTTTAGCTATAAAGGATCCACCTTATTTCTCTTTTATTTTTTGTCGCCTCACAGGGCCAATATCGGCACTTCGTGGCCATACTCCTTTAGTTTTATGTTAATATTACTGTTCAGCTTTTGTTTTTGTTTTTCCTTTATATATGTTGTTTCTCTCATTTTTTTTTTTTTAACTTTTTTTAGAGTTTACACTCTCATTATTTTAGTGTCCCCTTTGATCCATGCATACACAAATTTCTTTCAAAAATGTGTAGCAACTGGCTTTAATGTTAATCAAATTGTAATAAAACAATATTAGTATATTGTTCTCAAAAAGTGGTATCTATCTTATGTGCCCAAGTTACAAAATGAAAAAAAAAACCATAAAATAATTAGATTTTATATATAAGAGTGCAAGCATCTTAATTGTCGGAAACAGCATACCTAATTCTCATTTTTTGACTCCGTCAAGGCGAGACAAAAAAGCACTTAAAGCTTTGACTTTCATAAACCTTAAGTGGGCATATCAGAAGTTCAATTGTACACACATTTTCTTCTATTGTTTATTCAAGCCTTTGTTGCTTTAACTGTTAACGAAATATTTATCTTGCCAAATGACCAATTACTGATACCTCATCTTGAAGCTGCTGTAGACGTGACCTATGTTCTTCAGGAATGTTGTCAGGTACAGCAAAGAAATCTGTGAAGTCTCCTTCATCTTCTATTCTCCCTGATGGTGTTACTCTGTAAATGTAAATGAAGGTCAAAGTTAATCACAAATTGGTTGACCAATACTTTGTGTCTGTGTCTCAACTCACAAGTGACGTTTTTCTCAGTTTTACATCTTTAGATACCAGAATAGTCGTCCAATCTGTAAATTTATAATTTGTGTCCTATTCCCAATTGTGACATTTTGACTAAGTGTGTATTCGCAAGGCATGACTTACCCTGTATATTAGATTCCTTCAGGTTTTTTTTACTTTGGTTTCTATCTTCTGAATGGATTCATAAGATTTGAACATCAAGTAACTAAAATTGTCTTTTATCTTGGATTGAGTTTCTATTGAAGGAACTGAAAACTGCTATCTTAACACTTTTTACTCGATTCTTGAGAAAAAAGGCCCCCCTTTGGTAATTCAAAGCACTTGATGGCAAAATATCTGACTAATGTGAGTGTATCTTATTCTATATTTATTGGATGGGTCATTTATAGAAATTAGACCATAATTTCAAATCTTTTCACTGAAATGAAATGACTCTTTCATAAATATGAAAATTCCTACTTTAATTCATTAAGTCAAACTGCAAAACATTCAGTTTTTTGTGACTGAGCCAAGAAGGCAAATAATAATATGTGTCCACAAGACACTATACCCACTAACAATACTGTTCACAGCATAAGGAACATGTGTACAAAATTCAAGGTTTATGTAACCACAACATTATAGTTAATTGTATGCGCCTTAAACCAAAACTATACCCTACCTTACACAAAATAATAAACCTGATTCGGAAAGGATGGCTGGACAGACACACTGGATGATGCAGACACACCTTAACTGTTTATCAAACATCTTTAACTTTACACCTAAACAGTTAAATGTCCATATGAATGGATTAACAATATTTTGTATGGATTTTTGTTAATATAAATCTTTAATATGTTCCCAAAAGTATGAAGGAGGAGTGTGATAAGAGCCATTATTTGGCTCTTGAAATTGCCAAAAAATGTAAATTTATTCTAGCTTTCAAAATTACTGTAAATTCAGAAATTATTGCGATGTTTTTATTATTGCGAAAGATGCGACAGGGTTATAATCGCAATGACAAAATCGCAATAATAAATGCACGCAATAATTTCTGAATTTACAGTATGTTTATTTTATTGATAAATGAACAGGTTAATATAATCTGGACACTTTAGTGCAGAGAGGTCACCTGTGATGTCATTATTACATAGTAAACATGTCAAAATTTACACATATTTGCCCTGAAATAGCCATTTGATGCATAGTTTTTAATCAAAATTTATATGAGCAAAACTTGACTCAAAGAGATATTTTTCACATATTAACATCTCTGTAAAATACATTTCTAGCAAAATGTCTTTGTCGGTAAGGCTGTTGCTCATATCTAAGTATTAGTGACAAGATTTAAAATGACGCTATTTTGGTAGTTATTGCTTTTTTGCACTAAATGTAAAAAAGTTGAAGCCCTAATGTCAATATGTAAAACAAAATTATAAATACTGATCTCCTCCAACAAACTAATGTCTGATGAATATCTGAAGGATGTTATTTGGTAGGTTTATAATACTTTTTGGTCTTTGAATTCAAGCGGCCAAAAAAGTGGCCTTATCATACTTCCTCCTTTATGAGTCCTTTATGACTGATGCTGGGAAATATTCAAATGCAAACATGTATCTTATAACTTACAGGCTGAAAGGTCAAGAATTAAATATTAGGCGAGGCTACTAAACTTGGTATTGATTTCTAATGCTACAAGATTTTCTAATGCACTGGGAAATGCAAGGCAACTGAACTATAATATAATTTATAAACTATTGGGAAATGCTACTGTAAATTCAGAAATTTCAGCATTGATTAATTTTTCGTGAAAAATTGCGTTTTAAATTTCTATATCATTATTTGTGTGCAGCAATTTCTAAAATTGCAATAATTAATCTCCCATTTTTGTCCTTTGTTCAATGATCACAATAATAAGTGCACACAAAAATTTCTGAAATGACAGAATTTACTGATAATGCTAGGTATATAACAAAGTGCAGTGTGCAGATTTAGTTAAGGTTAGTAGTAAAGAACATCTCATGGATTCCAAGGTCAAAGTATGAGTAAAATAAAATCTAGAGGTCAAGATACAGTGTACAGAGATTGGACAGGTACCTTTACAATATGTCAAGCTTTAATTATTCCAGAGTCTAAAATAAATTTCAGGGGTTAAAAATTGTACAAATTACTTATACTAACAGAAATTGATTAGACAAAAATATTTATAAGTTTACAATCAGGCTTAACTGACAGGGTCTTCCAAATGTTTAAAAGAAATTAAATATAGACCCCTTATAACCTATTCCAACAATTTCAATGATTTTTTCAATTTTTTGTTTCAACAGTAATACACATTTCACTTTTTAATTTACAGTCCATCTTAATCTCAACTATGGGCAACTGTACTAATACTTCTCTGACAAGTCAGGAATATGACAGTTGTTATCCATTCGTTTGATGTGTTTGAGCTTTTGATTTTGTCATTTGATTAGGGACTTTCCTTTTTGAATTTTCATCGGAGTTCAGTATTTTTGTGATTTTACTTTTTTCTGTAATATATTTTCACACAATTCCCGTCATGTCTTAAATTATATTTAAATTTCAAACAGGATCTGAAAATCTGTGATTAAAATTTTTACTCTCTATGTTGCATAGTTTAAACTTGGGCTAATATATTTGACAATCTTCCTCCAAAAAAGATGCTTAAATTCATGGCTATCCCCAATGTTTGTTTAAAAGCAATTTTACTTGCTGATTGCTTTTGAATGAACATTTTAAATTCTTATCTTGCTGATAGTTTTCCTATTTCTAACAATAAATATCAAAGATGACCAATTGCATGAACTGAGATGAGCCGGGAAAAATCCTAAAACTGAAGAAAAAAATCCTTGTAGCATAAAACAGTTCACAGAATCTATGAAACCCTAAAGAACCCCTATAGTTAGTTTAGTATTAGTAAAGTGATGACTACCTGTACATATACCTAGTGTAACCATTACGTTCTGACCTGCTGTTTCTGCCTGATACCGCCATATCACCCATGGAATGCTGCACATCTCCGACATCTATAAATAGACAGAAAACAAAAGTCATCAGTATTATTATTTTGTTCATTGTGTATGTCATAATATACAAGAATGCACACATTGTCATGATACACATACCCCCATGTGGAATATTCATAGTATCTGAAAACTTGAATTTAGTGTCTGATAGATCTGAAAAGCACACACACGTTAAAATTCATCAATATAGACTTCCTGACCAAATATAAAGTTATTCTGTTAAGTAGTTTTTGAAAAGTTTGAATGGTGAACAGACAGATTGACGGACAAGAAAATTACAATATAGTCCCTACTTCTAGAGCGGGGGTATAATATTATTCACCAACCTCTTTATGTATTTGTGTGTGCTATATATAATCTATTGATGACACAATGAATTTCTTCAGTTGTGCAAGATATGGTCAGACAGGAGCAGCTGTGTAAGATTCATTTGCACAAAAAAAACCAACAATGTGTACTCAATCTGCCAGTCACTATGTGGTGAAGTTTGTCATTTTTTTCACTTAGCATTTTTAAGAACAGATTCATATGTCATGCACAACTTATGTAATACTTAATAAAAAAGTTTTCTTGATAAGTATGGTTATGCACATATAAATCATTTTATAACTTGAATATATGAGTATGTATTATCAATCAATTACTAGTCATGGGAATGTTAATGATCTAAAGAATGTTCACCCCATTGCCCAATGTTGTCTGAACTCTCAAAGGCAGAGATGAGGCTTGGAAGATATAGCTATTGAGCCTTTGACATAAAGTTTTTGAAGGCATTTCATGCATTCATTACCCCCAAAACATGCCATGGTTTTTAATTATGAAAATCATACAAATTAAGACCACTCAAATGCTGTATATCTTTATTATATTCCACTGTGGCATACTTGGCAAATTTTAGAACATGATATTTATTTGAAAATTACATGACTAATGGTTAAATTATGTTCTGGTGTTAAAATTCCTTGTATACAGTGTGGCTTGTCTAAATAATAACAAACTATGGCAAGAAGATACTAATTTGTTAACACTAAAATGTAAATACTATTGTGTGAAATAATATGGCAAAAAATATTATGTGTATGTCATGTTACATTAGGGTTAAACTTGAAGGGTTGTAGATTGTCATTTTTATAATTTTCCCAAATAAAGAAACTTGAAAAAAAATTTAAAAAAACAAAGAATCTTGTATTCCTTTTTTCTTTCAAGGGAAAAAAAGACAAAAATGTTCACTTAAAAGTTTGTACCTGAAATATGTAGGATTGAATTTAAAATTCAGAAAAAGGACATGACACATACATATTTGTTTTGTTGGCCTAATATTTGAAAGCAGTGCATAGTGCGTTGACCATATTATATTCATGGACATTTTTATTCAATCTTTTTATCATTTGAAATTAACAACCATTGAAAAGAAAACTTATCTTTTAAAAGTTCATAAATTCAGGACCTCACAAGGTAAAAATCTTTTTTTCTTCATCTTGTGGATTCTTAATTATTTGTGGATTTCATACATAAAGGTTAACACCAAATTTTAGCATTCAACAGAATTCAAATTTTGTATAGGTTTGTATGTAAATTTGTTACTACCACGAAATAATAAACCAAACATTAAGACTGTATGACTGCCTGGTGGATAATTTAAATGAAGTCACATTAAAAGCCAAAATGTTGGTTAGATATTTACCTAATTTATCAAATTTACAAATCAAGTATCCATGAATATAGATTTTTTTTCTCAATCCACAATAAAATGCTCCGCTGGGGCGCAGCTTGATACGACCGCAGAGGTCGAACCCTGAACAGTTGGGGCAAGTATGGACACAACATTCAAGCTTGATACAGCACTGAATTTGGATTGTAATTAAATATTTGACACAGCATAGGTTTCTGACACAGAATAAATGTGGTCTAAGAACTTAAAAATTTTTAATTTATCTATTCAAACCATATCATTATTATTTGCTTTTATATATAAATCAGAAATAACCAATTTAAAATGGAAAATTTTAAAGAAAAAAAGGAAAAAAAAATCCCCCCCCCAAAATTTTTTTAACCCCCTTATGATTCATCACCCCCAAACTCAATCCCAGCCTTCCCTTTGTGGTATGCTATGGTACCTTGCAGTACACATACATGTGATGGACTGTGAAACTAAGATCAGGAGTTTTGGAGATTAGGACTCAGATCAGGATGTTTTTAAGTGACATAAATTCTGTCGTAAATGTAACCGTGTGCTGTAGAAATTGTCTGTTAAAGTGTGTTTTCTTCAACTTTCCATCCGAATGTATTATGTTTATAGTACCTTTGTACTTATAAATTATATCTATCTATTTAAACTTTCAACTTGTTCAATCTAACATTCTTCTTTTTCAGTATGTTCTTTAAATTTTCTAGGTCATATCTTTTTTACAATTATTCATTGCAATCAGAACATTTGCTTATCTATCTGCAATAGATCTTTAATTTTTATCTTTATGCAAGTAGATTTTTAATGCATGATAAGTAACACATTCAAACTGAAATATGGGTCATAGTAATTATATAAATTTCAATTTAAGCCTTGAAAGGAAGTATAGAACCCTCAAATAATTTTCAAATTATTATTTTTTTATTTGTCCTAAAACATTTAAAATCATTTAATTACCATCCTTTTATGATTATTTGTTCAATTTATATTTTATTTATATTCTTTTAAAAATTTACATTATTTAAAGGAAAGTAACTTAAAACAAGATAAATCAAGGGAAGTAACCCAACATTCATTTTAAATAAATAAAGTTTTATTGCACAACGGCAGTTAGCCTGAGGTAAAAATCGTTTATTACCAGTATGTTTGACACCCAAGGTGACAAGTGAGGCCATGTAACTATGCATGTTAATTGATTTACAGGTAAAATATAACTTCAGTAATGTCAGTTACACCAGATATGTTGGGCTGAAATTTTTCATTCATGAAATATTTCATACACGGGATTTGTTTGTATTCAATGGGAGGTCGGGAGGAGACCCCTGAAAACGGGATTATTGTACTCCCGTCGGGAGGTTCACATGTATGAACTGTACAATTTCAGAGAGATCCATACACTTGAACACAAGTTATTGTCTGGAAACAAGAAAAATGCTTGTTTTTTGGCCCCAAATTCCTAAACATTTAGGGCAATTACCCCCAAACTCAAACCCAGCTTTCCCTTTGTGATATGGAACCTTGCAGTACAATTTCATAAAGATCCATACACTTACACACAAGTTATTGTCCTGAAACTAGAAAAATGCTTGTTTTTTTGCCCCTTTATGGCCCCTAATTCCTCAAATTTCTAGGGAATTACCCCCAAAATCAATCCCAGCCTTCTCTTTGTGGTTTGGTACCTTGCAGTACAATTTCAGAGAGATCCATACACTTGAACATAAGTTATTGTCTGGAAACTAGAAAAATGCTTATTTTTGGCCCCTTTTTGGCCCCTTCTTCCTAAACGTTGTGGGCAATTACCCCCAAAATCAATTCTTGCTTTCCCTCTGTGATATGGAACCTTGTAGTACAATTTCATAAAGATCCATACACTTACACACAAGTTATTGTCAGGAAACTAGAAAAATGCTTGTTTTTTGCCCCTTTATGGCCCCTAATTCCTAAAATTTGGAGGCAATTACCCCCAAAATCAATCCCATCATTCCCTTTGTGATATGGAACCTTATGGTACAATGTCAGAGAGATCCATACACTTACATACAAGTTATTGTCATGAAACTAGAAAAATGCTTGTTTTTTTCCCCTTTTTGGCCCCTAATTCCTAAAATTTGGAAGCAATTACCCCCAAAATCAATCCCAGCATTCCCTTTGTGATATGGAACTTGTGGTACAATGTCAGAGAGATCCATACACTAACACACAAGTTATGTCCGGAAGTTACAAAAATGCTTATTTTTGGCCCCTTTTTGGCCCCTAATTCCTTAACTGTTGGTACCATAACCCCCAAAATCAATCCCCAACTTCCTTTTGTGGTATTGAACCTTAAGGTAAAATTTCATTGAGATCCATTCACTTTAACTAAAGTTAGAGTGCGAAAAACAATGTGTCTTCGGACAACGACGCCGGACGACAACGACGACGACAACGCCAACGTCATACCAATATACGACCACAAAATTTGTTTGCGGTCGTATAGAAATTAGTACTCACTGAAATAAATTAATCCACATTCTACTACTTGTTTGTCTTTATTTATCATATATAATATGTAGAGACAACAACATCTGGGTTACCGCAAGGTGATAGTTTTATTGAGTCTACATGTTTCGCCACTTACGGTGGCGTCTTCAGGACAATTTAAACATAGAAAACAAATACTGAAGTACATGAAATGCGGTGCATATGGGGTTACAAAGGTTAACAAGACGTAACGTCACAATAATTGATTTGACAACTTTAAAATGAAAGTGAAAGTAAAAGTTAATAATGCATTGTCAGTGTCTTTTCCAAAATGGACAACACCTCACAGGACATTCCGTACCATTCCAAAAGGCTTCACTCGGAAAGAGGTACTACTTCCAATTGCGTCGGGAATGTTGTAAGATGTATGGTAGTCGCACATGTAGGGCATGGTGGAAGTTGTGGTGAATTGGTTACATTTTGCGGTTGTGGTACACTATCCATGTTGCAAGTTTATTTCAACAATAATCGTGCGGTTCTGCGGTTCAGTACGTTTTGCGGTGGTCTTCTTTTTCGCGGGTTTTCCTTTTCTTCGAGGTATGGGCGGTTTCTTCAGTGAGGTTGGTGGTAGAATGGAACTGGTCGGTAGACATGAGGCTAACGGTTGTAACTACAACGCAGGACGGCTAAGGTGGATCGTGTGCGGATGCAGGGGTTCACAGAAAAATAAATAATTTGTGACGAGTGAACCAACACCTTCTAACGGAAAAGCTGAAGAAACCGCCCATACCTCGAAGAAAAGGAAAACCCGCGAAAAAGAAGACCACCGCAAAACGTACTGAACCGCAGAACCGCACGATTATTGTTGAAATAAACTTGCAACATGGATAGTGTACCACAACCGCAAAATGTAACCAATTCACCACAACTTCCACCATGCCCTACATGTGCGACTACCATACATCTTACAACATTCCCGACGCAATTGGAAGTAGTACCTCTTTCCGAGTGAAGCCTTTTGGAATGGTACGGAATGTCCTGTGAGGTGTTGTCCATTTTGGAAAAGACACTGACAATGCATTATTAACTTTTACTTTCACTTTCATTTTAAAGTTGTCAAATCAATTATTGTGACGTTACGTCTTGTTAACCTTTGTAACCCCATATGCACCGCATTTCATGTACTTCAGTATTTGTTTTCTATGTTTAAATTGTCCTGAAGACGCCACCGTAAGTGGCGAAACATGTAGACTCAATAAAACTATCACCTTGCGGTAACCCAGATGTTGTTGTTTATTTATCATAATATAATTTTGAATGACTTCTCCATTTTTTTATAATTTTTGTAAATGAGTGATTTAGTATCTATCTAAAAGCAAAGACAATATAACAAGCTCCATGTTAAATCTGGTCAATGGTATTAATTGACCATTCATGTGTTTAACAGTTTTCTTATAAGTAGTCAATGTCATTCTGATTGCTACAGAGGCTTTTAAGAGTTAAAGTATTTACTACCTAGTGGTTGAAAATAAGCTTGTCAAAGTGAAAAATTAACTCTGGTAATTTTACTATAGACTTATCAAAATTCTATCTAAGCAGTTTTGACTTCAACAGCTGACAATTGGTTTTAAAGTTGTTGTAATAGTTTGCATCATAGACGTAATCCATTGTAAGAACATTGAAGCAGTCTTGATTTTAACAGCTTACAATTGTTTTAAAAAGCTCTTGTCATGTCTACATTATAGAATTAATCACTTGCAAGAAAACTGATGAACAAATGAATCCTTCACACTGTAAGAAATAGAGATACTTAACATGTAGTCAGGAATATGAGTGTAGTAAACTGCTCCTCTATACAAGAGCACTATGAGAAGAAAAGCCAATATTTTCTATGTGCCTCTGTGTCTAGAGGTCTAACACTCACTCATTACCTTCATCTGATGTACCTTCATCTTGACTAGATCGGAGAGTCAACCGAGCATCCTGGGTATGTTGTTCTAACTGCTTCTCTAATATTTTACGCTCTGTTTTAAGTTCTTTGAGTCTCTGTTTCTCTATGTATTTCTCATATTTTTTCTTTTCTTTTTCCTGAACCGTTCTTGCAACTTCCTGAAAGCAGTAGATACATAAAACATTTAAAACTGTATGTAAAAGGCAATTGTATGTTATTTATTATCAAGACAATGTCCAGTTTATCTGTATTTACATTATCTAGCATGTAACTATTTTTATTTTTTTTTAAATACACTGAATTTTGTGGTATATCATATTTGTCATAAATAAACTTCAAATATGATTCCTATTGCCTCCACTTATCATTGGACATTATACTTTGATTGATTTTTTTTTCTACACAGTGAATGCATGGATTCCCTCTTAAAATATTTCACCATTTGACTCAGTTTAATTTCACCACAAATCTCACTGAATGTTGATTACTTAACATGAAGTAAGTAATAAAGAAATTATATCCAAATGCAGAATTATATAACTTTTACATGACACATATGTTTTGTCATGTGATAGTCATGTTACCTCATCCTCTAATTCTCTTTGTCTCTTGTGAGCTTCTTCCTCACTCATCAATTCTTCTGTAACTCTCCTAGCAACCTCCTCATCTTCTTCAGCTCTGTGAAAAAAATTATCAAATATTTTTTCAAGGGAGGTTACTGCTAGCTTAATAATTAACTTTCAATGTCCAGTAAAAACAAGTTTTGTTTGTGATGTCATCATAATCGCATGACTAAAATTTTTAAATAAAAAAATTACAAAGTTTTAAAAGAACTAATTTGTTGTTTTTTAAAAGAAATGAAATTCTTAAACTTGTATTTTGCCATAGTTGCAATTTGCAGGGTATATAGATAAACATCTAAGTGGTGAAGGTTAATTTCCCTTTGAGACTTACTGGGAAGGGTGAGTGATCACAAAACATGCTACACCCCACCACATTCTTTTATTTTCCTGTCTCAAGCCAGGAGCCTGTAATCCAGTGGTTGTTGCTGGTTCCAATATTTGAAATTCGTTCATTGCTGTATGATAAATCAGGCCAATTTTTTCTCTTTTGAATTGTTTAATATTTTATCATACCAGAGTATTTTTTATTATACAGTATGGGTTTAGCTCATTGGTGAAGGCTGTTCAGTGACCTGCAATTGTTCACACTTTTGTTTGTTTAGCCATTACCATGTATATGGCTGGTTGTCTAATTGGCAATCATAATACATCTATTTTTTTTATTTTAGTCCCTTTTGTTTTCTTTCTACAAGCTATCTCTTTACAAAAATTGTTTACTGAATAACTGCCATAATACAGATTACCTCAGGTTACAGGTTGCCTTCCTATGGAAGTGTTAGCATAATGGAAAACTCTTATATATAGTTGATATTTTATTTTTCAATTTTAAAGTTGACAAAAAAAATCAAAATTGTGAGTGTTATTTTCTCTCAAATAAACACAGTATCCTATGTTATATTTTTTTTTTTTTGCTTTTCAAAGAGCTGACCTTGCCCTACAACATACATAGAAATCAAAATACAATGTAAAACAGACTCCCCTTTAGTACACAATGACTGAATGGCATTTTACTTTTTCTTTTTCACCAAAATCAATTTTAGCACGCTTCCAAGAACAAAATATAGTCTTTGAAATTTTTTAATTAGTACATAAGTATGTGACCTCTCATCAGCCTACCTAATGGTAAACGCATAACTTATAGGCTGCAGGTTTTTTGCAATGTTTTTTTTTTTTATTTTATATAACAGATTTACAACATGTAAATTTTAATTCATACCAAAAATTTTCAAAGCAGCTCTTAAACTTTGATGCACTAGGTTAATCTCCGGTACATGTATACTTAACATATTACATAACAGCAAGGGGAGGTTTCAATAATTACTCATTTGTTTACATAAATTTTTTGATCAGTCATTTTTTGCCATCAGAAAAATGTTTGGCCAAGACCCAAACACCTGACTGTAGGCTACAGGTGTATCCGTATTCACAATATGATAAAACTAATCAACAAGATAGTCATATCAAATCATACTACATTCTATTATGTAAATTACAACTTTAAGAGATACCTTTGGACTAGATTAAATTAAAGGATAAAAAAAATTAACAGTAGAGGGACAAATTTTTCCCGCTTGGACCATCTGTTTGATGTGAAAGTTGTCATTACAACAAGTACTACTTTCACAAAGTAAAATTCCTAAGGTTATAAGAGAACATGACTGATTATTTGTAACGTCAATGAAATTTTTGTACTTACTGAGCTTTGAGGGCCTCTAGTTCCTGGAATCTCTCTTGTTGTTGAATGACCTCTTCATCATCCTGTACCACACGAGCCACTGGAATGTCATCTCTTATAGTCCTTCTGTTATATCTGTTCAATCCATAATGGAAATCAACTGGGGAAATAATATGGAAAGGTTATACTTTGCTAAGTGTTTATAAACAGGTGTTCTTTTGAGGTTTTAAAAAGGGAGTCTTGTTTTTAGGGGTTTCTTTTAGAGGAGGGAGAACTATCAGATTTCGTGCAGATCTAGTTAAACTAACCATACTGAAAGACGTAAAATTACCAGTAATGTTACTTTTTAAAATCGACAATTGTCTGCAGAACTAACTCATTTTTGCTTCTTGCAGTAATTTTCATTATAACTTTCGTCACCATGAAATGAAGAACAAAACATTTTTTTATCAAAAAGAAGAATGACTTACTCTCTTTGTTCTGTAATTGGTAGGCTAAAGCACCATCTTCATGGACTAACCATTGCTGGCACACTGAAATAAAAAGTAACAATTATTTACTTGTATATTCATGACTACCTAATGATGTTCTTGGTTTCACTATATCTGTTTAATATATTTCTGTGGATTGGCTTTTTTTCAGGGATATCAACTTATTTAGGATCGTGAACAAATTTTGTTGTTTCATGAATACTTGCTTTTATTGTTTTGATAAATTTTGCATACAAGCCTACTGAAAATTGGGAAATTAAAATTAATGTTTTCATCTATACCCATGAAATCCATGAAAATTAGTACCCAATGTAAGATGATGAATCCATGGCAGTGTTTTGACAAAGTAAAGATGTATTTACTATGATAGAATTAAGGAATAACAGTACTGTAGTTGAAGAGATGCCACCGTCAATTGGCGATTTGACGGTCGCAAATGCAGTTTTACTGGCGACACGTAGCGGAGACAGTAAAACGTCAATTTGCGACCGTCAAATCAAAATTGACGGTGGCAACTCTTCAACTATATTATTGTTATTCCGATTCTAATGCATAATATGTTAGAGCTTGAAAAAATGTATAAATTTGAAATAAAAAAAAAATCTGCAAACCTTTATGAATGATTTTTGCACAAAGACGTTATGGCTAAACGTGACGTCATACAAATGAAAACTTACAAACTGGAGGTTATGACGTTACCTCTACGATTCAAATTTGAATGAAATCACATTAATACGGCGATTTTGAGGTTGGTGATATTTAATTTGCGATTTTATTGAGAAATCTAACAGTTTTTGATTCAATCAATTCAAAATGGAGGGTCCCTCCTTAGTTATGACTGGTCAACTGTGAATTTGACGGCAACTAATAGCCAATGAAAAAAGTGGTTACATAAAAATTGCATTAGAATTGTATATCTATGGAGAACAATTTGAGAATTTTTTATACCGCTGGAACCATTACCTATTTTTCTTCAAACAAAAACAGGCAAAAGTCAGGATTATTTGCTTAAATAACATACGTTTTGAAGGATTAACTTAAATAACATACGTTTTGAAGGATTAACTTAAAAAATATACGTTTTGAAGGATTAACTCAAATAACATACGTTTTGAAGGATTAACTTAAATAACATACCTTTTGAAGGATTAACTTAAATAACATACATTTTGAAGGATTAACTTATTTTTAAGGATTAACTTAAATAACATACGTTTTGAAGGATTAACTTAAATAACATAATTTTTGAAGGATTACCTTAACTAACATACGTTTTGAAGGATTACCTCAAATACTATCTTAATTTAAATCTAGCTGTAGCTTTAAATCATTATCATTCAAATTTATATTTAAATTTTGCAGGTAACAAATACATGATTGATGAACAGGTAGTGGAAAAAACCTGCTGATAATTGTTATAATCTCAAAATATATATTATATCACTATTTTCACAAGTAAATAAAGAAATGACATAAGAAATTTTCACATTGCATCAAATAACTAAAAACACCCAAACAGTCATAAGTCAGGAACTTTGTGAGTTGTTGTCTTAATGGGAGGGATTGTGCTTGATTTTCATATGATGAAGACATAATCTTTCGATCAGTTTAACTGAGGTCTGGAGCTGGCATGTCAGTAACTGCTAGCAGTCCTTTGTTAATTTATGTTGATCATTTTCATTTTGCTTAGTTTCTTCTGTTACCTATTGAGGCTATTCTAACATTGGACTCAAGACTTCTTTTAACTTTAGTTTTACTGTGCGTATTGCTGTGTGTTTATTTATTTTAATTTATTCAGAAAAAAATTATTTGAATTCTGGAATAACGTATGTAAAATAAAATAAACTGATACATTATATGTACCCTGGGTCATGAAAACATTGTCTTGTATTCATGTCAAATATATTTATTAATTAGATCACATTTTTTTCATTACTTAGGAATATCATTATAAAATAATCCAAAACGTGTAAGAATGCCAATTTACTGTAATATTCAGATATCCTTGACACAAATGAGAACTGTAAAGAAGCTGTAAAATAGTTAACTAACTAAAGAGCTACAATCTAGCTTCTATATAACATTAACTACTATAGAGATTCACTTATTAAACAAATTGTTTGATGTAATGCAAACAGATTCCATATGACACTTAATTATACAATAATTCTTGTATGAAAACCTGTTACTTTTAATTAACTCATCATTTATAAGTATCAAATCTCAGTTAATAATATTGAGCTCCCTGTGTTTTTTATAAAGCCTTTAGCATTCTTAACTGTTATTCATGCTAGTTTATAATGTAGGGTAATCATGACTAGAGGTTTCCTGAGCTTTAATTGATCACCTTGCAAAAAAAGCTTACATTGGTTAAATACATGTGGATAGTGTCCACATGTGTCCACAGATGATGCCCCCGCTTGCATATCATATAGTTATAAAGGGACATAACTGAAGAACGGTAAAAGTGACGCAGCCCAAATTTGAACTTGATCTGAGTTTTGTAGTAATAAGCATTGTGTGTAAGTCTCATAACATTTGGTTGAGGCTAACTTAAGTAGAGAACAGAAACATAAAATTCAGCAATTTTTCTATTTGTAAACACGCATAACTCTAGAACGGTTGTGTATAAGTTTTATAACATTTGGTTGAGACAAACTAAAAAATTCAGCAGATTTTTATGTTTATAAGCACACTGAAATTCTGAAAATCCATGTATTAAATGTTGCTGGTCTTTCAGCAAATATCAATCAAAATATGTGTTTCAGTGTACCTAAAAAAAGGTGTATTACATTCTACATAGACTACCTTGAAAATAGATTTCAGGTTTTATGTGTATAACTTTCTTCTTAATTTAATGATACATGTATGCACAAATCTGCACTTACTTTATGAGTAATTTCATCCCTGATTTTGCAGTTTATATGTTATATTGTTTCTAGTTCAAAAATTGCTACATAAATATGTTTTTACTGTGATATAGATAATAGAGATGCAGTCATTGCAATATATCACGGAAAATTAAGTCAAACCTATTCAAATAAATAACTTGAGCCATGGGAAAAAGATTTTAATGTCTTCTTTCACACCATGTTTTTATTATTACCAACAAGTGCACAGAAGTATGAAAATTTCTCAAAACTCCCAAAATTACATTAAAACAGCAACTATTTCAGTGTATGGTCACGACTTCAAGTAAGAAGATCTAGTCACCACTTACTATAAGTGTGCTAGGGGAAATAGTCACTTTAGTTTTAATTGTTTAAAGAGGGCGGTTTCAATTGTGAGTCAATCTAAGCAGGATTTTCTCATATAAATGATAAGATGAATATACCTGTCTGTCTGCCCATCTCAGGTCAGAAACTCTACAAAAGACTATAGCTACATAAGATATTTATAGAAGTATTAACAAGTCTTAACTAACAATGTGCCTGCGACTATAAATGGGCAAAATAAATGTAAAAATTGAAAGTGAGGACCAATCCTTTGGGGCGGGAGTTAATGTTTCTTAGTACATTTTCCTGATTTTTTACACCAGTCATATAATTTTTATTAAATCCTGGATCTGCCACTGGACATAAACTGCTGTACATATACTAGTAGTATATAACATTTAATTCTTAAAAAAAATATTTAAGAATGAATTGTCCAGGTTAACTTGATATTATTCATGGAAACATCAAATGCAACACTCCCCTCTATTGCCTTTTGCAATGAGGTGGCGTAAAGCAATTATCAATCAATCAAATGTAGTAATAATGTAGTTACTGTATAATAAATTGTAAGAAGTACAGATTTATAAATGTAAAATACATGTATGTCAACACTTCACATTACTTCTGTTCAATGGTTTCTCAAATATAACCAAATTTCAAATAATTTGGAGAAAGCTAAATTAAGATTTTGAATATAAACCTGAAATCTGATTACATACTTTCACAAAACCGAGGACCATTCCTCAGAAATAACAAAGATGAAATACACAACTGTATGCCAAAGTGTGACAAAGTCTACTTCAATATTTTGTAAATCAAAAATGATTCTGTCAGGGCTAACATTCAGTTTTTTACCAACAACATAAAATTGGACTATGGAAACCATCAAGGATTACATAGGACTAATCAATTTAACAACTAATGTTTGCATTAAAACAGAGAAATGAAAAAAAAATCCTACATGTCAAGGGAGATAACTTAATATTTACTTTCTAATCTGTACTGCCTCATTAATGATATATTATGTAGTCTCATCCTACGATGCATGTACACAGGATCAGACAGATGTTCCTTCCTTTCAAGTACTAATTCCTTATTCATTGTTTCCACTATATAGTTCTTAAAGATGCAAGTAACTTATTGCTTTAATTTTAATTTTCATTTATCACATATATATCCATTAGGTAAACCACATTACAAGTTATCCTATTCGACATATGATCTTTGCAGCATATTAATTCCATTTCATAAACTCTAAAATTGCAGTATATATTGTTATCATGTTACAGAAGTCTTTTGATTTGTAATTCAATTAACAGGGTGTTTCAACCTTGACAGAGAAAAAGCAATGCACTAATCTATTAAATAGGAAAAGCTTTCAGACTGTCACACTCAATGTTGAGTCCATTATCCTTTTAAAGAATTAAGACACTTAAAGTTTTCTACTGTTTGCAACATAAAAAAACATCATATTTCAGAAACAGATGTGATTTCAGAGCACAAAACTGGTATCATTTCTTTCAACTAAAAACAGGAAATAGCACTATTTTAAAACATAATTTTTACATCCTTATAAATATGACGATAAAATTTTACTTCACCAGCTCCAGAATTCAGACTTTTTCTACTGTTTCAAAAAATATTCCACATTTTTGCATCCAAGCTACATGTACATACTGTACTTTAAAATGCACTGTCAAGTATATATACCTTCCAATTATATTCTACACAGAATTCAACATAACGGATCACATTTCTTTAATATGTACTTCAAACAAAAATGTGACATGCATGTTCTTTTTGAATCTATATCAATTTCAAGAATGCAGTAATACATGTATACAATGCCCTTCAACGATTGTTTTTTTCAACATGGAAACAGCTGAGTTTGACATTAAAAATGTAGATATTATTTGCATCAAATCCTAATCTATTTCACAATCAATAATCATGAATTTCCCACAAAAAAAAAATCTCATCTCACACTAGTACAATGAATCATTATTAGCATATTAATTATGTTCTGAAAAGTTCTCAAATGCAGCAATATGATATCCAAAAATAATGGTTTACTATTCAACTTCTCACATTAAATATCCTCTTCTCAATACGACAAAAATTTCTCAACTTTACAATTTAAGTATTGTATTTTCTTAAAATGTAATATTATTCCAGTAAGTGTAAAAAGGGTTTCTAGATTTCATTCTTACATTGTTATGTTCTCCATAGTAAAAATGACATTAATCATTTGTAAATGGAATGGATACAACTTGTGAACAAAATCTAAATTAAAATGAAACTGCAATATGTTTCCTTTTCATCAAATGGCACTGTAGCTGAATAATCAAATTTTTAACCATTTTTTTAAGCATTTTAACTCTGTTCATTACATTTACAGATCAGATCATTTCAAAATTCCAATGTTATTGGATTCAGATGTAGGTATTTTATAAACCTCCTTCAACTTGTTGCAATTAAAAGCCTTTTAACAGTTAGAAATGAAGCTGATGAAATTTGAAAAACTGAATCCAAATAAATTATATCCATCAAATCCAATCCCGTAAGGAATCTGTTATAAATTGATTTTCCCCAATTCCTCTACGAAACTGCAATTGAAAGATTTCACCATCAATGACTTTGATTAATCTGAAAACACTTATCATGGCTCTCTCTAAGTTTGGATAGATACAAATCACTTTATACAATTAATAACACTTTGCTGTTTTTAAACAAACTGAACACATCTGCACATTGTATTTCTTCTTGAAAAGTCAAAAGTATAAAATTCCCTAAAAAGTCATAGTCTCCATTCTATAAAGTAGATTTACATGTCATATAATGATTTTCTTTTCAGAAATGATCAACTAAGTCAAAGATGTAGATTTAAGAAATAAATGAGAAATGTGTTTTTCCTCTACCTAAATTTCAGCATATCTTATATACTAACAGTATAGTACTATATGTTGAGGGGGTATGGCACATTCCATTACAATACAATTCTATGATTATTAGAAGTCAGAAATGAATGTTTCTCTACATCAAACCATCGTCATGGTTATTATGCAACTTTAGTTTTTTCAACATGCCATGACTCTCATTTATACCTGTAACATACATCAAACAACACAGATATCCTACACAATAAATTAGTAGTAATGATTATTTTCAAGGGAGGGTTTCAAAGATGTAATTTGGCAAAGTATAGTTTTCACTTGTAATAATGTCCTTATCATTGCCAAAACCTTGGGCAATGACACTGATTCCTGCAGTCAGCCCTACCCAATGTGTCCTTATTTTTCATATAAATTTCCCTCAATATATATTGCCACCCTTATTTACTGCTTATTTATATCTGGTCCAAAAGCTGGCATTATAACGAGGTATACTGCACTCCCCCTGACCCCTTCTCTTGCTTTCAAAAACACAATAAACTAAAACCTGAACTGAAGATAGCAAAAATTTTACTTTTCAAACTTTGCACAATTTCATGCTTAAATTACATTTAAAAGTGTTGCATTTTTGTATATTTACATTTTGAACAGTCAGCAGATGTTCATCTCATACAATTAAAAAACATATAACCATGTCTGCAATATAGACAAAGATGACAAACTCAGGAAGACAATTATGTCATATTAACAGTCTTTAGAGCATGAATGGCTTGATGCTTATTAAAGTATACACCTATAAATGTTAGCAATGTATGTATGCATAAGATTTATGCACTTGTGGTGCAAGGGAAAAATGTTTCTGTTCAAGTCTTGTAGCAATGCCTGCTGGAAATAATTCACAACTAAAAATCTTATTTATAATTTTTTAATAAAAAATAAGTCTCAAAAGGCCGGGTTGCATTATTTGTAACTAAATTTTGCCGAAAAATTCTAATATCTGGAAAAATGAGAAAAAATTCCTCAAAAAATTCCATAATAGCAGATCCATAACTTCAACATGTGTGCAATCTTCCTGTGAAGTTGCAGGGAACTGGCTTGACAACTTTAGGAAGAGTTGATTATACAAATCTTGTACCCTCTTTCGTAACTTTTGCTTAAAAAATGACTGAAAAATCTTATCAAATTATTGTAACTTATATTCTTAAGCAATTTATTTTGTCCACTTTTTTAACCGAGAAAGCAATTTTTCTCTTTTTCCCATGTCTCATTTATACAAATGATTCCTACAAACTGACAAAAGAACAACTTTTTTATTGTCATTCCTATAGAATGAGTAAGATATATATTAGATATAATTACACCATTTGATGACGGATATTTATATATATAAAACGCTTCATGTATGTAAACAGAATTTTTATCTACATATATTGTAAGGCTAAGTTAATGAATGCATGACTAGCTAACATAAATTTTAACCTTGTTGAAATTGCCTATTGATTGTTACTTAAAAGGTGAATATTAAGAACTTTATTCATTTTTCATTGCATCTACATAATAAAGCAAAAATCAACAACTCTGAACCTGATTAAATTCTGTCTGACAAATATATATGGTAATGTGACCCAAAATGGAAAATGACAAATTTTACTAGCTCCTGGACTGCATCTACATGTATCTTTAGTATAGTCATGCCAGTATTATCTGTGTACATGTATATAAGAAAGGTATCTTTTATCATCAATGTAAAATTTTCAACAATACAACCAGCTTTTAGACAAAAAAAAATAGCAGTTAGCATATTTGGCCATTAACTAAATCAGCTTATCATAAGTGGTGGGTACAGACAACAAACATTATATGGACAAATGACCTTGTAAAGCTAAATAAACAATGCATGTATTCAGGTTCAATGTCTTCCTAGTAAACAAATATTAATACCAGTATATGTTCAGGGCATTTGCATCACTGGTATATACATGTATATATGTTTACATACCTTGTTTTTTTTTATCAAAACCAGATAAAGAAATCACAAGTGTCTAAATATATATATATATATATCTTAATTATTAACATTGATTAATATATTCTAAATAGCTTTCTAAAACAGGCCACCCACTTAACAAATAGGCATGTAATTATCTAAAATAGATAAAGATATATTGTAAAGACCAGGAGTTAACACACCTGTCTTTTTAAATAGTTTTTCCCTAACCTATGTCCTTTTAAATAGTTTTTCCCTAACCTGACAGCCAGCAAGGGCATCACATCGATCAAGTACAGTATAGTCTACAGCCAGCAAGGACAAGGGCCAAAAGTGATTAGTAGTCCAAACAGCCAGCAAGGAGATAGGCCAATGAAGAAGTCTTCACAGCCAGTTAGACCAAAGTGTCTAATAAGTCAAACAGCGAAAGGAATGTGGTATCTACAGGAAAAGACCACACATCTATGAACTACCACATTCCAGAATATATGTAATAATAAGTCACAGTGTGTTAAAGTGCTGAACTACCTTTTAACCGAAAGTATAAAATTTAAACAACTCAAATATTACCTGACTGAGATATCATGTTTTAATATTGCAATACCCATACCTGTGTTAAAAGATTGATATGTGTGTTTTATCTCAGAGACAACAACCAAATATCATATAACAATAAACAGCTGCGCCATGAACTTTTTCAATAGATATAAACCAGTCACCAAAGTTTCATGAGAACTGCTCAAAGCATTTTTGAGTAATTGTCCGAAAACTGGAAAATCCCCCTTTTTTAATGAATAAAACCTTATAACTTGGGAACGTAAAACCTAAAATTATAAAAATTGAAAGGGAGCTCACATCAATAGACATAACAATTCACCAAAGTTGCATGAAAACTGTTCTAAGCATTTTTGAGTTATTGTCCTAAAACTTGAAAATCCCCCTTTTTTAATGAATAAAACACCATAACTTGGAATCGTAAAATCCAAATTTTATAAAAATCGAAAGGGAGCTCAAGTCAATAGATATAAACAATTCACCAAAGTTTCATTTAAATTGGTTCAAGCGTTTTTGAGTTATTGTCCGACATGTTGACGATGGACGGACAACAGTATACCATAATACGTCCCATAAACAGGCATATCAAAAGGCATCAAGAGTTCAACAAGTAGTCTTCAGCAGTAGACACATGTACAACTGTATACACTACATGTACATGTTTGTCAATCACTGGCCGTGGTAGTCTAAGTCTAAAAAATCTGACTTAATAAAACAGAGTTCTCAAGTCTAAGAAAAAGTACAAAAACTCTACCATAAACACATAAAAGATACAACATTCTGTCTATCATTAGTTTTACTGAGCAACTACAAACAAATGTATTAACATGCAAAGTACATCTATGGATCTATGAATCTGTAACAAAACCTAGCCAGAAAAGTTCACAACAAGCATCATATCATGAAAAAGTCATTAATTAAATTCTGCAGAAGACTGAAAAAAAAAATCCACTATTTCTGTGGACTAGAGTGCATAAAGCATACATGTCAGGATATAGTTAGGAAATTTATTGATTTGCTACATACAAAATGTTACATAATATGCAGTTAAGACATTAGGATGCCTCATAAAAGCTTCTAGAAACAAATAATTAATAGCATATTGTTTCACCAGTCTATGTTGTAAGCTTGTGAACAGTTTTATTTTACGAGTGAAAATGTAGTCAACATTAAACCAACACAGTAGCTAAATAATATTGCAAAACACAAAGTTAAATTGTATATTATACATATATATATATATATATACATTTGAGTGTCTATGTCAAATGACAAAAAATGTCACTTGGTGTAAAGCAGACAACAATCAATCAATCAATGACAAGAAACTTTTATGTTTGTTTGGGTGTTCAAGCCACGTTCAGCCACCTTGGCTGTATCATGTGT